CCCTCACGTCGACTGGCTCGCGCTCGACGCCGTCGATGCGGAGCATGAGGCCGCCGCCGTTGGGGGAGGAGGAGGCATTGTGGGCGGCGGGGTTGGTTGTAGAGGTTGTTGTGTCGGGGTGGTCGCCCTGCTGCATGGGGAGGAGGTGGGAGTCTGTGATGGCGAAGTCGGGGCTTAGGCTGGCGGCCCAGGAGACGGACCAGTTGTTCGCGGTTGTGGTGGCGGCGGTGGAGGTAGAGGAGGGGTCGCGGGGGGCGAGGTCGACGACGAGGGTGCGGTGAGGGGCGCCGGGAGAGGAGGTGTCGGCGTCGTGGTCTGCCTCGTGGGCGATGATGGACGAGGGGTCGTCGTCGGCGAAGAGGTAGCGGACGCGCGGGTGGATGGTCTCGTTTGTGGACGAGTTGGTCAGGAGGGTGAAGATTGGCTCGAAGCGGGGGCCCTCGGGAGCAGCGGCGGCGGCGTCCGGGTCGTCATGGTAGGAGCCGTGGGCGATGGGTTGTGGTGAATGCTGCTGCTGCCGATGCGCCTGAGGCTCTCTACCGTTGTCGGACATGGCGATGACGATGAGGGCGGTTCGGCGATATGGGGGTGGGGCTTGGAGAGGCAGTAGCCACAGCGCTGACCATCTTTAGAAAAGGGTTGGGCGGCGACTGGGGGAATCTTGGGGAGAAGTGTGAAGGCCGTTCCCGGATGCTGCTGAGCGGTGGATGGTGTTGGGGAGGACAAAGAGGGAGTTGTCAGCCTTATCAGCTGCCTTCCCACGTGAGGGCGAGGCAGCTGTTTCGAGAGTGGTGACGAGGCAACCCGCCTTTCCATCGGCATATGCCGTGTTCGGTTTTCCCGCGTATTTATCTGCATGCTCATTGGAAGGTATATTAGAGCGTATATTTTACTTTCTCGAACTGTTCACCTCGTATGGTCGATTGGTGGATTTCCCGAAGCGTCTCTCTCGTCGTGAACCTTGGATCACCAATGTGCAAATCTGATGTCAATTGTTGAGAAGCCGTGAAGCAAATAAAGTCAATTATGAAGTAATTGGGTAAATCTATAAAGTCATTCTGATCATAACATAAGGCAGCCCCGTCCAAGTCTATATTGTCGCACCGTACCGGCCCATGCAATAATCCCAAGATTAATAGTGCCACCCAACCCTATTTTCATATCCTGACCCCAGAAAGCAACGAAACGCTTCCAATGAAAAGAGGACGCCTTCCAATGCCATGTTATTTGTTTTAATTTTCTCTCGCTCCAGGCGAGGCAATTCCGGAAATCATCAAAATTGGTCAATTGCTCATGAAGTGTGGAGTGCGCGGAAGCCAGCCGCCACCAGGCTTCTCGATTTATCCCTCGAGTCTGCCGGGCCGTCCCAGTAATACAGTCCCTGCATCAGTGGTGAGCAAGTCGTGATTCATGTGCAGGAATTGGACGCAAAGATTGAAACTTACAGCCAGTCCCTTTTGCTTGCAATAGCTCGCCTTCAACTTCACGGTATCGGGGTTGTCGTAGGTGACGAAACCTCCATCATCCCCAACGCATTGGGCGGCAACATGGCGCTTGTCAACCACTTCCTTGCAGCCGTGGCGTGGGAGTTGGTTGTATTCGAACGTCCCATCCTCGCCGCCACCGCAACCTCTGAACCGATGTCCCGGCCCGCTGGTGTGGAGGAAGCTCCGGCCGAAGGTCGGAATACCTAGGAGGATTTTCTTGGCTGGGAAGCCATGAGATATGAGATAGGATACACCAGACGACCCGGACTCTTCATCTTTACTCATCGAGTAGAGTTGGGCATGGTGCCCGCTCTTGGAGCTCCAATATCCCGAGAAATTGTATGCCATGAGATTGAGGTAGTCGAGATACTCGGCAGCCATCTTGAGGTCAATATAGTGAAGGACTGCTCTGCTTGTCGGCAGGGCTGCAGTCAAAGTATAGTAATCCTCAGGTAGATGGATTCGGACCGCTGCCAGTAAAGCGATAAAGTCATGTCCCTGTTTGGAGTCGCTTGGATACTCCCAAGCAACTAGAGGGCCCAGATGGTCACTACAAAAGCTTCACAAAAGGCAGTTTGCCCAGCCAACTAGAGATGATTGAACTCACTGTCGATTCCGTCAAGGCCAGAGGCTTCTACCAGTCCCCGGACAGATCGCGCAAAGTTGTCGCGAGTTAGAGTGTTCGATGCCACGATGGGGAACGTCTCGGATGCCGCAGCGCCGCCAACTGACAGCACAACCTGGAGATGGGGATGTTTCTGTTTCAGATGCATCAAGGATCCCAAACCTCCTTGAACTCCATCCACCGGTGCCCTAGCATCGGCCCATTCATCGCTTAACTATAGTGCCAAATCACAGACATACGTAAGTATACGCGTACGTGGAGCCCACCCCCAAAAAGAAAGCAGCGAAAAGCTTAAAAAATCCCGAAAAATCTCCAAGAACAGGGCCACTTACAAAGACACCACCGTCCGCTGTAACACTAGCGTAGGCGTAGTAAACGTGGTTGATGCAGCTGTAGTTGAGCATGCCGGGGGTATCGCCTTGGTAGATTCGATGGTTGGGGAAATACACGGCGTTGGTGAACATGACCTTGGACATGTCAGTCGCTTTACGCGACCTCCGTGATGACGACGAACTCATGGCAGGGTAGGCTCAGTCGCTCCTCAACATTGTGTGTATAAGAAAAAGACGGAATTACGGAATGGTCCCGAGGTGGGAGAGTATAGGACGCCGAAACCGGGAGAGCGTTTGAGAGAATAGACGGCCTGCCACGATGGATGGATAGCTGGACGAGAAGAAAATGCCGTGTGGAATGAAGAACAGGAGCAGATCCTGCGAGTCCTAGGATGGCTGTTCTCTGCTTTATACAGCTGCCGTCGTTTTCGTGCTCATGTGTGCTCGAAAAGAGAGGCCCATCAGATTATTTGGCATACCCCTGGCTCTTTGATAAGGCAAACAAGAGCTTCGCTGGCTAAGGGGCGAAGGTTACTTTGTCTGTTATTCATACAACGGCGTGTATCATATCAAAGAGGCGCTCAGGGCGACGATCAGGCGCTGGTGGATCAATATACAGCCTTCCGCGAGGCGAAGCTGGTTATCAACATTCAAGCAGACATGGAGCTATTAATACGTCTCACCAAGAGGCTCCGACTGAGAAGCACGGCCGTGCTTAACGCACATGGTGGGTAGGTGGTATGCCATGAGTAGGTATGTGACATAATTGCGGGGGGCGTAGCAGTAAAGGCTATGAATAAGATGACAGGGACTTTAAGGCTCGAGCTTCCATGTACCGAAGAGGAATGGGGCAGAACACATGGAAGAATCACAGAAGGCGCCTCGGGTATGGCTGGGCCGAATGGTGGGAGCAGAGCAAATCTCAAGCTGTCAAAAGCGGGCCACAGCGGCCAGACGCCATGCTGAGCCGGAGGATCCAAGCAAAAGATTTGTGCTGGCGACCCGGTCCAGTGATATGGCCAAGCAAAGCATGGGAGAGTATGCCCGGCCGGTCCTCTGAGTTGTGGGAGGAAGAGGAAGAGGGCAAACCATCCTTCCCAGGCCAGACTCCTCTTGGCCAGCCTCTGGGGATCCTACATAGACCCGACTCGTGCGGCCACTCCTTCGGCTACGTTGGAGGACTGTCGGCGAACTGGCCTGGTGCTTGAGTCAACGTCGTCGGTCGTGTGTGTTGCATTGACCACTAGCAAGTGGTTGGCAACAGATTGTTCCGTGTAACCAGCCGAGGCAGGAGGGCTATTTGGCGAGATCGAATTCCAGAACACCAAGGTGCTAATTTGCCGAGTCATGGCTTGGCTGATGACATGTAGTTGCTCCTACTAGCAGTAACAGGATGAAACTGGAAGCTGCACACGGACCGTCTCAATCTGCACATCATTTCACCTCCATATTAAGCCCGGGCAACCTAATTATCGACTCAAACCTGGTCTTTGTCCCATCTGGTCTAGCCTGGCCCAGTAGCTTCAGGTACCCAGTATCACATTGCATTGCGTGCCTTTCCTGCCGTGTTGTCGACACTCAATGGCGATCTAACAATGGTTAATCTTATTCCGTTCATCCAACTGGACTCTGGCTGGGAAATGTACAGTTCCACGTGCATGAAAGAGCCAGGTGGCAGCCAGCCCCCAAGCCTGAGTAGCCCCCACACTGCGCTGCTGATCATTCTGGATACTCAGCCGCTGGCGTCCCGCAAGGCCGTTGCAGAGTGTTTTCAAACCGTCCAGCGAGTCAGCTATCACCTAATTAGTCGCCGAGAGGCAGACAGGGAGCCCGGACGTCGCTACTAAATAGGCATTGGCCCACAAGTGCAAGCAGTCTGCCATCGAAAAGTTCCACAAGGGCATTGTCCGGGAAGAGCAGGAATTGCTTCTTCTTCACCTTGCACTCAAGCCTCGAGCTTGACATGACTGCCGGTTGCGATGTGGCCAGGAACCCCTATCCACCACCTCTTGTCTGCTTAGGTATTATGGCACCAACAACCTGATCCTCGAATGGGAGCTGTTGGCTGTTGGCTGTTGCTGTGCGCGAATATCTGGGTCTATTGCCGCTAAATTCCGGATCTTTGACCTGACAGCTGAGATCTGCGCGTCCCCGGAGGCAGGGAACGGGCTCTGCTATTTACAAACCCCGTTTTGCGTTGGTCTTGGCCGTCCTTAAACATAGTAACTAACCGCTGTAAAGCCTTTCGGAGGCTGATCCTGGCGCTCATCATGCTTGCCATACCTAGTAACCCTGGATTGGGCCGGTTGCCTAAACGTGTATGTAAGACTTTTTCCATGTCGCATACTGGAATTCACGTCACAGAAAGTTGGAGAAGCTGAATCCACTGCCACCGCAGCTTGCTGCCTGTTCATGCAGTCAGAGAGAGGGAGGGTATCCATGTGACCGCGGTATCACCTGGACAGCTCCCGAGGGAGAATGGGAGAGATACTTGGGCACGTCAGTCGCTACTTCGGCCCGTCTTCTTCCTTCTCCGTGGCTTATCGCCCAATGCCTGTAGCCATTCACATCACACGGGTAACCGGAATTCGACCACTCCTTTGCATTCTGCATGCACGTTTTACCCTTGGGATGAACCTGGCCGGGTGTGACAACTGTTCGTACATGGTAAATTCGCTGCAATCGGAAACCTGACAATGTGTACTCGCCCAATGGGCATAGCAGCAGACCCAATTCATATTCTTAGGTATGCTTGCATACATGCCGATGACCCTTCCCCTGCCAATTGTAAGTGCTGAGTAGGAAGCAAGAAGCACTATATTGGGTCACGGAACAGGCGTTCTGGTGTGGCTAGATGGGGAAGCTTTCTCTCAGCATTCTCTTCGCGGCTTGGAGGCAAAACCCAATTACCCATGCTCGGGTTTCTAAGCTGTTGACTCCCCGGTTGTCTGCTTTCATGTATCAGGTAGAAACGTTGCTCTCACATCGGAAGCCTTTACCTACATATGAACTGAATCAACTGCCTTCTTCTGATGAGAGCTCTCGTTTTCATTCTCAATCGAGGACTTTGGCTGGACCATTGGGGATCAAGGCGTGCGTTGCATTCGCTTGCCCGCAGCCTCTTTTGGGCTTATTGAGCGAACTTTGGCTGAGATCAGATGACTCTAATGGTGTAACATATAGAGCCTACCCATGGTCTGCTCGCTTCCATTTGGAGGGTATCACATCACTGGACCCACTCGTATCTTGAGGGATTGCTGGTAGATGTGTTTTATTGCTGATTCCGCCTTGAGAAAACGAGTACCGACAAACTGGTAGCCAGTCGGACCACCTTCTGAATTCTGTCAAATGCCTCGACCAACAGCATAAAACACAGTATACTTGGACGAATCACCGAGGATGACTGTCACGAATCGGTGCTGTGCCTCTTTCGTCATGCAGTGTGATATCTTTCGAGTTCATCAATCACCAGGGAGGATCGTATCGGGCGGAGGGGTTTGCAATAGATACGGGAAAGCTGCCCACCTTGGAGGTCTTGAAAGACACGAGAGGACCAGATCGGAAAACCGTCTATTTAAGGCTGTTACGTCCTCGGGCTGGCACGCATGAATGGTGACATGGCGCCCACCAGACGCAAGATTGTCCACGGGCCATCTTTGGCCGAGCCCACCATCTCTTGACTGATTGGTGGCGATCGTGGGGGGATAATGATTTGAGAAGCTGAAAAAAAAAGATCACTCGTCAAACCAACAGAGTCGTGAAGGTAGGGCTCAAGTTTGGGTGCTGACCAGGGTTTGGCTCACTGCACGGTCCCCGCAGGCAGACAATGGGTGTAACCGACATACTGCATCACCAACATCGAGTTTCATCGCCCAGTAAGATGGGGCCAACTTGCTCGAACATGCCCTTTCTGGGCCAAGTGCGTACGCAATACTCGTGGTCCAGCCGCCAAGAATTTGTGAAGGCCTCATCTTGGGGGCTGAAGGATCCATTAAGGCAAGCCCTTTGCCGACTGCCAACAACCAACAAGGACCCTCCACAGTCTGGGCTCTGCACTGATAGGCTACATGCTATGCGTGTGGTCGGGTGGTCAATTGTATTCGGTGGCACGAAGCATTGCAGCCTGCCCTGGTGCATAAATGAGGCACACATGGTCGCTGCGAGCTTGGGGAGCACAGGCCTTTATAACAGCCACGGCTGATCACAATCTACCTCGCTGTTGTAGAAAAATATCTGCCGGAGGTTGAGATAATTTTCATTCTAGCCAAGTGCCGAGACAAGAAACGATGAATACGGACACAGATAGTGTGATCTCTTTTTCAACTGGGACAGGCCACGATCGGCCACTTACACCCTCATCATGGGCTGATCTAGAAGCTGACAGTTATGAGTGGATCAACGACAAAGGCAGCGTCTGCCATGGCCCCGAGACTGATGTCGACAGCGTCGACTTTGATACCCAGAGCCATACCTCGATATCTCCTAGTGTTTATAACTACGAGCATCAACATGACCGTCGTTACCATGGATACAAACGAGGCCGTTATCCTCTGCCGAATGATGCCCATGAGCAGAACTTGGATGAACTCAAGCATTTTATCATGATGGAGCTTGCTGTAAGCCTCGACTTTCCAACCTTGCGGGGTTTTTTTTTCAGGATATGAGCTGATACTTTTGTTTCCAATTCAGGATGGCCAACTTTTTATGAGTGATCTAGATGTGATCCCAACCAAGGTCATCGACGTTGGAACTGGAACTGGTTAGAGCGACCCTTCTCTTGTGGACTCCCGCCACATGTTCTTGTTTCGTTTGAGACATTTCTGACATCGTGTTTGAATAGGTACTTGGGCAATTGACCGTACGACCCAGAAAGCTCCATACGACATGGTCGTTTCCTCGTTGCTGTAACTGACACTCAGCTCCTAGTTGCGGATAAATACCCCAATTCATACATTGTCGGCACCGACCTCTCCCCAATCCAGCCGTCAGCTCTTCCTCCAAATTGCCATATGTTTGTTGACGACTGTGAAGAAGAAGATTGGGGATTTGACGATGACTTCGACCTGGTACATTTCCGGAACATGGCTTGGACACTGTACAACCTGGATGAGATGCTGAATAAGGCCTACACGTAAGTTTCGGCCCGGTCAATCTAGGAGACAGCGCTGAACGAGACATAGGAACCTCAACCCTGGCGGCTGGGTCGAGTTTCAGGAGTTTCTCCCTCAGATCTTTTGTGATGACGATACCATGAAAGCTGACGACCCGCTGCAAGCTTTCGCTCAGATCAGTGCGGATGGGATGCGCAAGCTGGGCTACAGGAGCTTTGGGTCACAAGACTTAGCGGAGAGCCTGAAGAGTTCGGGCTTTACCGACGTTCAATGTGTCACAAAGAAGGTACCAATTGGGGCGTGGACGGCGGACCAGAAGCTCAAATATCTCGGTGGGCTCATGCGGACGGTGGTCGAAGAGTCTCTAAGTGCGTACCTGGCGAAGCCGTTTGCCGCCATGGGCATCTCCCCCGATGAGAGGAATGGTTTGGTGTCGAGCGTCAAGTCCAGTCTCCAGGACCAGCGTATTCATCGCTATGTTAAGGTCCAGTTCTGCTATGGGCAGAAACCAGAGGATGAGGACGAGTGCGGAAGTACCTTTGACGGGAGTTTCTAGATGCCGTATTGTTCTTTTATTTCTGTTCATGTTTCTTAGGTTTATGGGACTAAGGTCCCCTTATTCTATTAATGGTCGGTTCGATACCGCGGACTGCTGGGCAATAGGTGATGGGGATAGGACGCATATTGAGCGCCATACTTTCATTGATAGGCTGATGATAAACCATATCTCGTGAATCTTGATTTCTAATCAAATTGAAAGGAGAAGGATTTTTTTTTTTAAATGAATGTGCCCAGTTGCTTAATACTGCCGCGTAGTAGCAGTCTCTGGCTTGCCACAGGCAAGTGCGACGGACCCGCTGACAAAACACCGGAGCTCGCCCCTGCTGCACTAATCACAAGCTTCTAGAACGACACAAGAGCTCCAACCAACACCAACAGCCTCAACCCTCGCCACTTCTTCCACAGATTGGAGTCTCAGAACGATCTCATCAAACAGTCCGCTCATCTTTATCGACGGTCGAATAGAGCAAACCTAGGGGTTTTTCCCCGCCGAATCAGAAAGGCACCACTGCGCGCCAGAACCTCCAAACCACCAGAAGCGCGAGCAATCGCCAGAACCACGAAACATGGCGGCCCCAACGACCGAAACGCCCGTATCGGCCATCCTCAACCACTCGGCCCCGACCTACAACTTCCACTTCTCCCCCTTCCTCCGGCGAACCTACCAGGTCGGCCTGCCCCCCGACCGCCCCGTATGCCGCGCCTTCCAGACGGGCAACTGCCCCAACGGCACGCGCTGCCCCGAGCGGCACATCACGGCGGACTCGCAGGCGCCCTCGGGCGGGCTCAACTCGCTCGTCTGCAAGCACTGGCTGCGCGGCCTGTGCAAGAAGGGCGAGCACTGCGAGTTCCTGCACGAGTACAACCTGCGCAAGATGCCCGAGTGCAACTTCTTCATGCGCAACGGGTACTGCTCCAACGGCGACGAGTGCCTGTACCTGCACATCGACCCGCTGAGCCGGCTGCCGCCGTGCCCGCACTACGACATGGGCTTCTGCGCGCTGGGGCCCCGGTGCGCGAAGAAGCACGTCAGGCGGAAGCTGTGCACGTTCTACCTCGCCGGGTTCTGCCCCGACGGGCCCGAGTGCAAGGTGGGCGCGCACCCGAAGTGGACTAGGGATCTGGAGAAGCCGAGGGCGAGGAGCGAGGAGCGGGAGGAGGAGATGATTAGGATGGCGGAGGCGGCGAAGGAGGAGGGAGGAGATCCTGAGAGGTCGAGGGATGGGCATCAGGGGCGGGATCATGAGGGCGGTGGCAGGTTCATGGGACGTGGTGGGAGGGGTGGACGATGGAGGGGCGGACGAGGTCGGTATCGGAGCAGAGGGCACTAGGAGAGTCCATCTAAAGGGGAGGAATAGAGGTTCTGATGTGAGGAAATGGGATATGGATGTGATTATATTATCTGGAGTTCATGTCTGCCGCCTGGCGACAACTCAGGATACACGGCGTTATGGGACCCAAAAGGAATTCTTTCTCTACAAGCGGCTGTCACAAACGAATAAAATCGTACGCTGAATGATCATCAAAAATGTATTCAAAATGTCAAGAGTCGTGATATCTAAAAGAGGCGAGATACATAATCCTCCAAGATAGGTTCGTTCATATCGTCACAAAGGTCAACCCCTTATGTAAGAGTAGCGAGTATATACGCCCATACACCATCAAACATATAGTCGTGAGATTTTTTTTTAGTTGGCCTTGCGTGCAGGAGACCAGACGTTGCCCTCAGTCTCGGCATGCCAGACGTTCTTCTCCTGAGGAACGGCAATGAAGTCGGTGCTCGATTCACCGTCCTCACTTTCCTCGGTGGATGAGCCCGCGTCGGAGTTTGTCTTCCACGTCGAGAGTTGGTCAACCTTTCGGATACCCATCATCCAAGACACGAGACCTCGGGGAGCCCATCTACCCACGAAGCCGTAGACGCCAGCCCCGAGGCCAACGCGGACGGAGGTGGAGGTGATGGAGCCGTCGATGACATCAAAGACGGAGTTGTGCAGGTTTCGCAGAGAGCTGCCCTTGAGCCCACGGATACGACCACCGGAGATTGCGGAACTGGACTGGGCAACAAAGTTACGACCGTAAACATGCCTTGCACCATCTGGCCAAACAAGGGTGTCCTCTGGGTTGCCAGCGAGCATGGCAGCAGCCTGTCGGGCGGGTACGAAGCCAGAGAAGTCAAAGGTTCCCAGCTGCATATGGGTGACAGGAATGTCAAGCGGCCGAAGCTCTGCGGTCAGAACCTCAGTAAAGGCGGAGAGGGCAGAGCAAACGGTGGCTTCGGGAGCGTGGAAGGGTGGGTTAATGGAAGAAATGATGGATGGCGTGAAGACAAGAACCTTGGGAGGGACCCATTTCTCCCCAACAGGCTGAAGTCGAGACGTCAGAAGAGGCAGGAAGGCTTGGATTGTGAGGATCGGCTGGAGAAGATGCGTGTTGAAGAGGTCGGCGAAACTGGAAGGTGGGATAGTGGCAATGGGAGAAGTCTGATAGTGGAGACTGGGGATCAGAATAATAGCCTTCAGAGTCAGCTGGTTCGGCTTGATGTTGGGGCCTGGAGCTTGAGGCGACTGGATGTGCTCAGCAAAGCGCTCGATCGATGATCCAGCTCGTGGAGGCTGGGAGGGGAGAGAGGTTAGCACAGAGCCAGGCTTCGAGGGGGTTACTTTGGGACAACTCACATCAGTCGTATCGATCACGAGTGGTCGGATATCAGGCCGGGCGAGAGCAGCGACAGTACTCTCGTCCTCGGCGGCGTTGCACACGACGAAGACAATGAACCCACGTCTTTCCATGTCCAAAGCAAGAGACTTGGTCAATGGAAGAGAGGCCAACCCCGCGATGACGACAACATCGGTGCGTCCACCGTTCCTTGCCCTCTTCGCCCGACGGATTTTTCGGAAAGACTTGTTTGCCAAGTATCCTTTGTAGGCACCATAGCTGCAAGTGACGACTATGAGGCCGGTGAGGATTTTGTGCCTTGCTACCCAATCCTGAAATCTTTCAAATCGAGATAAGGCGACGGCAGCTACATCTGGTGGCGGGGGAGGAGCGGGAGTGACTCCCTTGATGACTTCCGGAACCCATGGTGTTGAGTTTATTGTCTGGCGGACGAAAGTTGCGGCTTGATCAACATGGCCTTCAATGTAGTCGGCCGCTTCGTCGGTGTATTTTCGCAAGAGGACGGGTAGGGGCCCTAGCTATATAGTCATCTGATATCAGCACACCAACTCTTAAAAGAGGCTCTACCAAGGAAGAGAGGGATATCGTACATGACCACTCACGACATCCAGGAATGGCTTCTCGTCGTTAGACATGATGAAGACAATATATGTGAGGAGGATGAGGATGTGGACAGTGAACTGTTGGGCATCCCGGCCGGCCGTTGGGCAGGTTCTTGAATGACGATACTTTGCCCACAGCTTGCAAACTCACCTTATCTGGGGCACGGCGATAAGAGGAGGTGGTCGGGGAGCTACCCACCAGTGGCCGCTGATTGGCCAGCACGCCTCTCGTGCGTGCTCAGTTGCGAGCACCGACAAAATTATCCCAGAGCATGAAGGCAAACTGAAATAGAAATCAGGGGGCCCAGAAGAAGGGCATGGACGAATAAAATTGCTCCGTCATATCAATCAAGCATAGCATCCCCCCCTTCCCTGTCTTCCGCTTGCCTGAGGCGCTGTTTAGAAGTCTCGCGGTATCGGCCTCGATGCTTACATAAATCAGTCGGGATCTGGATCTGTCGGCATGTAGGTCCTCGAGATTAGAGGACGGCGGCTAATGCAGTGCAGCCAAATACAGAGATCTTGATTCGGTTGTTGGCTTGTTTGCTTCTCTTAATCAAAGCACCACGTAGAAGGCAGGCATAATCCTCGTCCCAAGGAAGAAGCTCTAAGTCTTTTGGATGACAGCCATGTACAATACTGGCAGACAAGTTTCCAGGTAGTCTTCCACTTAGACACAACTACAAAATTATATTCTCGATTAATATTACAGTTATATTTCTCAAGATCTGTTGAAATAACTGGTACTTGCTGACTTAATTTGGCATTAAAGTAGCAAGGGGATAGATAGTCCCTGCATTTGCACCCGTAAGGCGGAGACATGAGATGGGAATCAGAATATCCGTTGAAGAATTTATAAAAAAAACACAGAACGGATAAATGTAGCCACGCACTCATTTTCACTTTGTAGTGTCCGTATTTAAGCTTTCATATAGATGTAAAAAGGATACCCGTTTAGCAAACTCATCTCGAGCCTCAACCATATATTTGGAGTTGATCAATGTTCTTGTACAATATTCCACCCATTCATGACAATGATGAACACAAATTTTATATTCCCACCTATTGCGTCCATTTCCCGCTTCTATTGTTCACATATTATTTTATTTCCGGTAGGTTTACCGTTGCAATGTGCTGATTGATTGGTGTAGCTATTCAGTTCTCCTCCGATCTCGGCCTCCTCAGATTGCTATATAAACTGTCCAAAACAACCCCTCAATCATGGATCAATTTAACCAGGCTAGAAATAAAATTTGAATTATTAATTTGCAAACTACCCATATTTTCGAAAATGGCCCAGCAGCAAGGCGAAAAAGACCATTGGAGTGCTGGTGTAAGTGTGTGATGAATCTGGGGCTGTTTTTGGGGCTGTCCCGGCTAACACTGGACCAGGACTACCAGCACAGTGCCTCATTCGTGCCAAAACTCGCTGGGAAAGTAGTCACGTGGCTCGACCTCCAAAAAGACGATGTTCTCTTGGACGTGGGCTGCGGTGGTAAGTTTTGATGTCGATTGCTTACCCGTGTTTGTGCTGATGGGCTGATGTAGATGGAATTCTGGATGTCGAGTTCTCCAAGATTTTGGCTCAAGGAACCGGATCCCTTTATGGCATTGACAGCTCAGAGGCGATGATCAAGGCTGCCAAGGAACTGTGCAAGGATACTACAAACACTACCTTTGAAGGTTGGCTGATCCGAATGATACCATGAATGGGCTATACTAACCGCATTTCCAGTTCTTGATGCTACGAATATACCTTCCAACCCGACTTTGCAGAAAGGTACCTTTACCAAGGCATTTTCTAATGCTGCTCTGCACTGGATTCTGCGCAAGGAAGAGACCAGACAGTCAGTATTTGAAGCAGTAGCTGCATCTCTCAAGCCCGGCGGTACCTTTTCTCTTGAAATGGGCGGCCTGGGCAATGTAGCTGAAATGCGCACTGCTCTCCTTATGACCGTTAGCCGCCGCGTCGGCATGAAGGCAGCACTTGCTGCCGACCCGTGGTTCTTCCCAGAAGAGAAATGGATCACGGGTGTGCTTGAAAAGGCTGGCTTCAGAGTGGACAAGGTCGAGCGGGAGTGGCGACCAACGCAAGCTGACAAGGGTGGAGTGGAGGGATGGGTCAGGCTGTTCGGAAGTCAAATATTGCACGCTGTCGAGGATGAGAAGGAGAGGGAAGAAGTTGTCAAGGAGATTGCAGAGACGTTGAGGGAAGTTTGCAGAAATCCCGATGGGGGAGAGATGATCAGCTATGTAAGGCTGAGAGCGCTTGCTACGAAGCTGTAGAGGAATGCATGGGCTATTTTTTAAGGTACCTTGTCGCAAGTAGACGTTTAAAGTTATATACTCGTCCTCGTCGACAATGAAATTTTATTCAATCGAACCCAAATGCGAAATGCCAGTCGCAGACTCAATCTGACGTGTGAGAATGTCAAGAGAAATGTGGTTGGTAGGGCGCCGTGAAATCCAAAATGCGGTCATCACCATCAACCAGGTAGACGACGTGCGATTGTGGGATCCACCAGGGACATGCTTCCACTTTCGATGACAACAATGGCGCCAATGAGGGGGCTGGCATGAGAGGCTATGATCCGTTCAGACGAAAAGGTTGGTGGTGTGGGTGATCTGCCCTTGTCCCATGTCAACCTGCAGGACCCTGAGGTCCCTCTCATGCACCGTGATGAAATGGCAACCGAATTCGCAAATCAGGTAGGCCCGAGCAGAGAGCGGCTCACGGAGACGGGATAAGTGACGGCTGGGCGTCATCGCGGGGCGGAGTTGGTGTAAGGGGATTTGTTCAGACGCAGGGTCATAATAGTGAGATGATAGATGGGCTTAACTGAGCATGACGTCAAAGCCAGGGAGAGAACGGAGATGATCGACGGGGCGTGGGTATGTCATGCGGCTCGATCCAATCGGGTAGTTTGTCTCGGAGTGCTGGGCTTGGCAATGACATCGAGGCAGTTGGGTGAGTCGTAGGTGGTAATTGAGGACTGGCGTGTAGGGTGCCAATTACTGCATGCTGTGCTTCACGAATGTTGAGATAGCCGTTGTTGAAGCTGTCCAGGAATGACGGCAGTCGAGCCCAGCAAGTGCCGGCCGTCTTGACCAGGCCAGGCCCCAATGTGAACGTGGTCCTGGGACCTGATCAACGCCAAGACTGGTCTAGAACCCCCTTGGCCCCTCCCCTGCCACGCATCATAAGCGAGTTGAGCTGCGATGGGGAGGGGTGTGGTGTGGACCACAGGTTACAACAGTGAGGCGAACTGCCATTAGCTGCGGTTCATACGGTTTTCGAGCTTAGCATCGCTCATCAGTTCCACTCAAACACTCTGGCTCCCTCAGAAAGAGGTGGACCTGGCCGTGGCTACCTGCACTTCTGCTGTGCATTGTTTCGTGCACTCTGCATCCTGTGCTGCGAAAGGAACAGACTCGTGCGTGCGTGTTTGTCGCACAAAATGTTGTGAGGATATGGCTTAGTTCTAATATCGTGTGGGAGCCGGTTTGTGGCCTCTGCTGGGAAAACGCACCAACCTTAATATTGGCCACAGTTAGCTACTCGTATTGACCTCTCACGGGAGCTTCTCGAATGGTGCCTGATCTCACGCAGACCAGACCAAAGCACAGCTCCACCCAAACCATGTGTCTAGCATTGTGGGCTTTGTTAGCCCCGATTGAGGCTATACTGGCGCTCGAGTGACAGCCAGATGGAATTTCCCAGTGTAGGTGCATGGAAAATCTGCCAACAGAGGAGGATGCGTGGTCAATTTCCTGCACGCAGAGGCCTTCCGTGTCTCACGGGCGATCAAGGATTAACACAACTGCTCTCACAATTGGAGTGCCGAAGCTCAGATTGCTTGGCCGCAAGTGCCTTCCCGCTGCCGATTGTGTGGACCCTTGTTTTTTAGGGTGCTGATCGCCGCGTCCGGTTGTGTCCGCTTGCAGCACTTTGCACCATCATCATCATGTATGTACATTGTCGTCGGCCCTCGCCATCTCCCTTTCCGCCCGAAAACCCTAGTTTAGAACACGCGGCATAGTACACTCCCTCTGCTGTATGCTAGGAGTCATGGAGCTCAGTTAGGGTGTCTGCCAGGTGCTGATGGCAGGGCTGGTAGCTTGCTACTCTTCTCAAACCGAAGCTCTAGGGAGGTACCTGAGGGGCAATTCTTCAGCTGGTACGTAACGAGGCCGCCAAAACCAAAAAGCATCGACTAGTGGATCGACTACTGCTCCATCTCACACCCTCCTGCCACCACCAGCTCCTTCCTGGAAGCTGGGAAAAGCCTTTCATCCATTCTAGATCACGTCGAGATGCAATATCTAAATGCATTCTCACTAGAAAGTCTTACTTAGGCTACACGGACCTACATCCGTACATATTGCTCATGGCACACAACTGCAGCCTTCCTACTTCATCCATCCACATACCTCTCCATCTCAGAAACCAAAGGTTGCTCCCCGCCGAGGCCCACCGCCGTTCCCACACACCCCAAGCCCCCAAGATCCCCGCCCACCCTAATGCCTTGACGCCCCTCTCGAGCAGCGGTCCCCTTCTTAATTGAATGCAAGCCAGTGGTGCTGGTGTGCCGTTCTGGGTGTCAGGGTCTCGAGGTTCCCCATCAAGCAAAGCTTTCCTGCGGTACCGGTGTAAGTAAGGTATGTATGTAATCGACCACCCATCCACTCTTCTCCTACCGACTACCGTCATAACCTAGCCTAGGACGTTGGCTTTCCTCAACTAGCCGAAGGGCCAAGCTTTTCTTCCCTCCAATCGGTGTGGAGTGAACTAGCAATTCCCATCATCCTGGCTGTTAATCATCTTTCATCTTTCCCTCTCCTCCGCTCAAGCTTTTGTCATAACCCTTCCCTTTCCCTCAATCACTCACATGGGCCCGGTCCCCTTCTTCATCTGACACGTCCAGAGCAACCTGTTATCAGTATCAGTGACTGAGGCAAGCGCCTGCTCTCCTGCGACAGATCAGCGGCGGGTACCACCACCCGTGGACTGGTAATAACCACTGAGAGGGACGTCTATCTAGCGCCATGTCAAGACCCCGTCGATCAACAGAGTGTTGGTGATAAGTTCCGGGCTTCCCAACTGTACCATATCATCTGCCGAGGCTCAATCGACTTCTCCAGCCGGTCGACTGTGAATCCCGGACGGCATCCCCCCCGAACGACATGCTCTCCTCCGAACCGTCGTCTTCACAGACCAGCGAGCTGCGAGCTTCTAGGCCGATTATCGCTGTCACAAATTCTACGCCAGAGACTGAGCATACTCTTTCTATACCACTAAATGGCTCCATAGTGCCCCAGTTGAAGACCGAAACGGTTGACGAATCGAACGAGCCGGACCATGGCACCATCACAGATCCCACGCCCCTGGTAGCTGGTGGTCGGTTCTCTAGAGACAGCCGAAACTCTAGCAGGCCAGAGACCCGTACAGCTTCCCCGAATCCTCTTCGACTGCAGATGCCTGCAATTTCCCCCGGACAGCTTGCTTTTTCTGCCTTGCAGTACCTGCCTGTCCCAACCCTTGTGTTAAATAGCCTCAAAACTGTGGTGTTGGCCAATGAGGCATTAGGCAGGATGTTAGGGCTCGTCCAAGACAACGTCAACGAAATCGAAGCTTCAACAACCCTCGAGCGGCTCCGCGGTCAGACTCTGTCCCAAGTGGGCATCGATATGCTCCAAGATGGGCATCCTGTTTGGGTCACGTGGGAGGTTTTTCTAGACGCACTTGTTGATGAGATGGGAGTTCGCGCACATGCTAGTGAATCTCATACCACGCCTGGGCAAGGGGGAGAAGCCACACCTACCACTGCTAAAATCTCAAGTCCGATTCCCAACTCGAAACCAGGCAATCAAACTGTTCAGGATGCTGTTATTGACGTAGTCATTTCCCGAACAAGCGTGGCCGGGTCAACAGCCAACGATGTACACACCAAAGGGAAAACTCCCCCGGGACAGCAGGTTTTCGCGAAAATGATCATCTCTATATGGGAAATCGAGGACAGACAGACTTACTTTAGTCTCACATTCACTAACTCGGAATCCTCTTCATCTTCTCTCGTCACGACAAAAAAGTCGATTGCAAGGTCCAGCATCTTAGAAGCTGCAGATAGGAAGACAATCAGCACGCCGTCCATCGCTCACTCAAACCCTCCCTCCCTCGCTTCGAGCCGGAATTCCAGCTCGCCCTCATTCTACAGCCCATCCGCCGTCGTTATGTCATCGAGCCCGTTCCCACCGATGGGTCCCCCTACTGTTGCTACCCAATCAGCCACTCCATCGGTACTCCAAAAGATGATACGCCTAAAAGACGCCCTATTGGACAAAACGCAAATTCCCATCCTAGCCATGTGGAAAGATGGAAGTGTTACCTTTCCAAACAAGGCAGCCCGCCGATACTTCCGCAGGGACATTAACTTGGATGCGTCAGTTAGTGGCACTGATGTCTTGAATAACTGGGAGTTGTGGGATGAAGATTTCACGGAGAGACTGGATCCAAGCCAATACCCTATCACCACTCTTCTCGAGACGCAGGCCCCATGTGGCCCGACAAGGATCGGCTTGTACGACGAGAACAATGAAAAGGTCGTCTTTGAAGTGACTGGCGAAGCCATCCGAGACGAGGCCACCGGCGAATTTCTTGCCGGTGTCGTCTCTGGCCGCGACTGCACTTCCGTGATACAAGAGATCACAGAGATCAAAGAGAGCAATGAAGAGCGATTCAGGATCATCTGCGATACAATGCCCCAGCTAGTATGGACGACAACTCCGGATGGCCACCCCGAATTCTTCAATCACCGATGGTACTCGTATACTGGCCTGACGGATGAGCAGTGTATGGGGGAAGGCTGGATGCTACCATTTCACCCTGACGACCTACAGGCGAGCCTGCCACGATGGGAAAAGTCAGTCGCAACTGGTGAACCATTCGTGACAGAATGGCGATGCCGAAGCAAGGAAGGCAAATGGAGATGGTTTCTGGCCCGCGCAAGCGCTATGCGAAATAAGGAAACTGGCAAGATTGAGAAGTGGTTCGGTAGGTGTTTTGACTTCCATTCTCATTCTGATCCTAACTCACTTTGCAGGTACCTGTACCGATGCTCATGAGGGCATTCAATCGAAGATGGACGCGGAGCGCACTCGAAAACAGCTCCTCAGTGTTATTGCACACTCCCGCGTCACTATCTTCACAGCTGACCTGAAACGCCGAGTAACGATGCTGGAAGGGGCCCTGATTTGGGACAATGACAACCAGAACTATAAGAATAGCGAATGGTTCATTGGCGAGAATGTATATACAGTTTTCAATCGCCTCACCGAACAACTGGCTGAGGGTGAGAAGCCCGACTTCTTGCAACCCATCGAGGCGGTTTTGAATGGTCAAGCAACCGACGGGGTTGGTGTTGACGAGCATTCTTTCAGTAAGTCCCCATGCTATCTCGCAGCAGCGACTCATCATGACTAACAAACCAAAGATAATCGTTGGTACCGCACTAGGCTTCTGCCGATGTATTGCAAAGAGTCTCTCGAGGGGAAACCAACAGCCAAAACGGTCATCGAGGGTGTCATTGGTGTGATAATGGATGTGACCGAGCTGAGAGACCAGAAAATCGAAACGAAGGAAACACTAAAGCAGAAACGAAAAGCAGTAGCCAACGAGGCTGCGGCGAAAGAGGCAACAAGATTAAAAAGCCAGTTTCTCGCCAACATGTCTCACGAAATCCGCACTCCCATCACTGGCGTTCTCGGCATGGCAGAGCTTTTGGCTAGCATGGAATTAGACGAGGAGCAGAGAGACTATGTCGAAAACATTCATAGCTCAGCAACTTCACTCTTAACAGTCATCAACGACATCCTCGATTTTTCCAAAGTGGAATCCGGCCGACTTGATATCGAAGAAGTACAGTTTTCGCTATCAGTCATTGTCAATGAAGTCGTGCGGATGCTTCAGTTCGCTGTTAAAGGCAAAAGCCTGGACTTTCAATCAGACATCGGAGGTGATATCAAGGAAGATATGGTAGTGATTGGTGACCCTGGACGGGTTCGACAAATCATTACCAATCTTCTGACCAATAGCATCAAATTCACCAATCAGGGGTACGTTCGATTCTCAGTCTCAAAGGAAAAGGAAACGATAGATTCCATCGAGATCAAGTTTGTTGTGGAGGATACGGGAATTGGCATCCAGGAAGATGTCCTAAAGAAACTCTTCCAGCCCTTTAGCCAAGGAGATGCTTCAACCGCACGGCGTTTTGGTGGAACCGGACTTGGGCTTACAATATCCAAGAACCTCGTCGACCTCATGCATGGCCGCATCACCCTTGACTCGCGGGTTGGTAGCGGGACCACGGTAACATTTTGGATCACATTTAGCAAACCCCAGGGTAGAGAAACCTCGGAGTTGGCACAGGCAGGAGCTATTCCAGATCGTCTACAGTCCGAGCTGAGCCTGTCCTGCAACAGTTCTGAGCATGAGAATCTCACTTCTGCATCTGATGGGATTGTCCGACGTCCGTCATTGCGGACTACCCCCATTTCTGGCCAAGAAATTTCTCGAGCTGAACGAGGAAAGTTACATATCCTTGTAGTGGAGGACAAGTGAGTGCTTTCAATATTCAACACTTTCAGTGGCTTCCGCTAACAGTTACACACAGTCCCGTAAACCAGAAGATCGCTACCAAAACGATTAACAAATTGGGATTCAAAGTAACTGCAGCCTGGAATGGGAGGGAAGCCCTGGATTATCTCTTGGCCGTTTCAAAGGGCTTGAAACCGAAACCGGACATGATCTTGATGGATGTGCAGATGCCTGTTATTGACGGGTATAAGTGTACCCATCTGTTACGACACCATCTTCCATACAAGCATCTCGTTCAAGATGTTCCTATCGTTGCGATGACGGCATCAGCTATCCAAGGCGACCGCGAAAAGTGCAAGAAGGCAGGAATGGATGACTATCTGGCCAAGCCAGTAACAATGTCCATTCTCGAAAAGATGCTGACAAGGTGGTGCCTTAACAAACGAAAACCGCGGCCCTCGCCTGCTCCATCAGCTTCTGACTGCTCAGAATTGAACCAAACTTGCGAGAATGCCGATATACCTCACCTTGGGGTTGAGGATAGTGGTAGCGAACCCTTTATTCCCGAAAGCAGTAACAACAGCCCAATTACCCCACGCCCCCTAACAGTAAGCGGCGGCCATCAGCAAGAGCAGTCGCCATTCGACTCCCCTATTGCAGGGGATTTCGGCCCTCCGGCAAGGAGGCAAGAAGGAGAGAATGAATGGTCGAGCAAGCTCCAGGAAACCAAGCTGATGGGGGTTGCTGGTGGACCGTCGAGTCTTCGCAGCAACTCCTTCCAGGAGCTTCCGGCCGGCGAGGCACTCACGGAAGAAAATGTGAACAAACTGAAAATTAAGAACCAGCAACAACGACGGTGAAAACAATCACTTCTTGTACAAAGAAAACGAGGAAGATGTTAATTCCAAATCCGATCGCTACGGATTCAAGACGGCCCATGAACTGAAACTGCAGCCTTTGTTCTCTTTATTTTGCTCAGAATATACAATTGCTTGTAGGTGAGCAGGTATTACGAGGAATGTGTCGAGGATTTCGTTCTTTTTTATGTGCACTATGATGTTTACTTTTTAGGAAACGAAGTCATAGAGTTTTGACGAAGACTATGATTTTTTTTTTTTGGCCTTTTTTTACTGTTCATAATCTGGTGGCTCGAAAAAAACGGTCAGGAGCGATTTTCCATACTTGAATTTCTAATTTTGTTGCAGGCGACAATGGCCTTGATACATAGAGGGCGTTGTCTCTTCATCGGTCTTTTTAGCTAGGAGCACAAAAAGTATATACGGATAACGGGTGCGTCTGCATAGTCATGGACGAATTACAGCAATGTTTCAGCATATAGTTCTAGTAATCTATAGCACACTTGAGCGAGATTCAGCCTGACATGCCCAAGACTATGCGAGAGAGTGATTGTCTTGTTGCTTCCAGACTCATTCAGCAACTATGAAGGCTAGCAGAGACTCAAATACAGAACGTCGCCGTCCAGCAGCGGACGATACATCTTAAAACTCTCCCTAATAAGGGGGAAAAAACGTATTTTTGATTAAGGATTCCATAACTCGTGGCAACGCTAATATAAGATGGCAGTTTTTATGTATATGACAGGGTATGTACAGGGATATCGATATTTACAGATTCGATCAAAACAACAATGAGAAAAAAAAGGTATCGAAAAGGAAGATGCGGTGACTTAGAAATGCTCTTTCCAGAACGGGAAGTGTACTCGGCTTGACTGGGCGGCTTTGCATGCAGACTTGATATCTCGCGCTGAAAAGAGGGAATCAAGTCAGTTACCATGCAGCTGAAGGAGGAGAGAATGGGGGGTTTGCTTACCTGCAACGGAAGGACCGCAGAAATAGACACCGACGGTGGTGTTTGTCTGGCCCTGGAGGCCATTCATGTACGTCTTGTTCTCGATACCTTCGCGCATGTTGGTGAAGATCTGCTTGAAGTTGGGACGGCCAAAGTTTGTGCGGGACTTGAGCTCGGTGAGAGGGTCCGCATCGGCACCGACACTGTTGAGCATGATGTTCTGGGCCGTGTCGACGTCGAGCTTCTGGGTGAGGTAGGTGTGGATCTTGAGGAACTCGACCCCGTTTGCGCCCTCGGCGCGGGCTGCGTCGTTGGACTGCTCCTCGAGGGAGGCGAGGAGGTTCTGGAACCATTCGAAGGAGCCCGTGTCGCGGCAGACCCAGATGAACTCTACACGGCGGAGGCGGGTAGGGGCATTGGGAGAGTTGCGCTGGTGCCAGATGTTCTTGAGGATGGACGCCCAGGGTGTGACGCCAATGCCGGTGCCGATGAGAACAGCGATTTCGTTCTGGAACACGTCCTCGGCGGGGGCACCGAAGGGCCCATCGATGCGGATCGAGGGCATCTCCTGTCCATTCACCAAGGCGATTTCGTACATACCCAGGGGGTCCACGTCATCATACATCTTGGCCTGAGCAGAACCCGCACCAAGAGCGTCACCAAGCTCACGGGTGAAGTCTCCAACCTGACGTACGTGGATCGAGACGTAGGGGTCGTAAGGGCACGAGGTGATCGTGAAGGGGTGCCACTGGTGCTTGGAAATGGAAGGCACTTGGAGAAAGAGCCACTGGCCAGCGCGGTACTTGAAGGAAGGCTTGGAGAACTGGATCTCGACGACATCGTAAGGGTGACGGACAACGCGGGTAATCTTGGTCTCGCGGCGAGATCGCACTTCACGCCATATGCGCTCGGCAAAGTAGAAACCACCGGCGATAAGCTCCCATCTCCAACCTAGATATCCGATGCAGTGTTGCCAGTACTCCTTTCCTGCGAAGGGCGAAATAGGCTCGACAGAATCACGGACGAAGCAACCTGTAGTATGGGTATAGAGAGCCAGGAGAAAGGGGATGAAGAGATGGTGGGTGTACCAGAAGGTCTCAAATGACTGCTGGCGGATGCGGTAGTGGGCTGTTGTGTACATGAGCAACATACAGAAGAGCATAACATGGCCGGTGATGCCTCCAGCCTGAGCATAGTGAATTTGGACGGCAGCTTCGGCTCGAACTTGGGTGAGCTCAACATTGTAGAAGTTGACGTAGTGGCCAGCAGTATGGATGATGGTGAAAACGAGAGTCGCGTACGCTACCTGCCGATGAAACCAAATATTCTCGTCCAGGGGTAGGAACCGCAGCTTGGGGCGGAAGAATCGCACGATGGTGCGACACACCGGGATGAGGATAAGCGTACAATCGACACTGAGAACTAGACCGGCGCCTCGGGATATCCATACTGAATATTGTAACAGGTTGAGAGGAGCCAGCTTCTCGTTGCTGTATTGTAGGTACCTGCAAGAAGGCAAACGTCAGATTTTGAAATATCTTCGGAGGACAACCTAACAACAGGGTAAGGCAATGGAGTTCCATCATCGGAAGCTTTACTCACCATCCAAGTGCGAAGATGCCGAAGTGAAATCCCCAAAAGAGGAAGTGGAACAACAACTTCGCCGGTCTGAGCTGCTTCAATAGCAGCCCACCTAATCCTCCCTGCCCGCCCATCGCGGTGCCCTGCCTTCGATGAAGGCTTTCCCTATCCCAAGAACCTCCGTACGTTGAGGGCTCCACGGTCACTGATTTATCTGGAGCGTTTTAAATATGGCTGTATGCCCAAATTCCAGATTCCCTCGGATACGTTGGTGGCCGGATAGCAGTCACTCTTCTTGAGGAAAGGTTGACAGTGAGCTATTAAAATAGGAGCCGCACCGGCGAGATCGGGGGAGTTTGTAGGAAACGATTTGTCCCTTTCCCACTCTTATCAACAATAGAGTAGCTTTATCGTCCTAAGAATTGGGGACGAGAAAAAGGTGTCAATCTGGAAGCGAGGTTGATGGTCCGTAGCGGCAATGAATTAGCGGTCCAGCGTAAGAGAGAAGCGAGTCCTTGCAGGGTTGCACGTAGAAGATGGCCGAGAAAATAGCAACCAGATGACAATAAGATGCAAATGTCTAGTGAAGATGAGGGCTAGACAGAAACAGACAAGGAATCTTGCGTGGTGGAAACGAGATGTTGGTCCCGGTCGTGGGTTGGGTAATGGAAAAGGGATTAACGTTGTAGATCCAGAACGTCGGATCTACCAATTGCTTGCTTGGCTTAGGTCACAGTAGGAAACAATGGGCCGAAGCGCCCTGATGGTAGTAGCAGAAATCCAAATTAGAATGGTTGTTGGTTGTTGGAGATCTTGTTGTGGGTAGGCGCGAGGATATGTAAGTTGAGGTTGTTGGTTCTAGGTTGCCAGGATTTGCCTCGTGTTTTGGGGGGGTGATTTCAGGGTGGGCTCAAAGGGAAAGAGTCGAAAGATAATGGAAAACAAGCCGGGCCACTCTGCTGGGATCCGGCTCTCAATGCCATGATGCGCATGTGTGCTGGGGAGGTGTCGATAGGTTACGGCGGGATGTCGCAGGAGAGACTTAAGCGCCGATGCAGCATTGCAAAAGGCTGGTGGCAGGCCATGCAGGCCCTGTAGCCCCTGTAGCCCCCCGGATCAGGCCGCTGAGTGGCCAGGGTATATTTGGAACAGCGCAGGACCCCACCGAGTCGCTGCGGGCTGGACGGTTAGTGGCCACACCAACTGCCACTGGCCCCTTCTGGCACCCCTCCCGAAGTCGACGCTCCAGGGGTCCGGCGCTTACAACCAGGCCTGGGCCAACAAGAGTCGAGTGAAAAGGAAGCAGATGCCCCCAGAGGCCGCTACGACATCTCTTCTCCCGCACTTGGCATCGATAGTTCAGGATGCAAAGGTCAGGAGGAGGGGCAGCAAGGTGAGCGCACGGCCGGTCGTCGACGTACATGCGCCTCATTACTGGCGCCATCAGGCGCTTTGAGGGTCCAGGTTCGCTCTGTCCTCATCACCGCTTCTCGACGACGCTTACAACGTGGGTTCGATTCGTCGCCGGGTGTGACGACCCGTTAATGGATGTGCCAAGGGCCGGCCTTCACATCTTCGTCACACAGCACCACAAGCTGCATCACCGCAGCAATCAGGCTCGTACGACTTTGCGCTAGGCCATATCTCAGGAGCCCTCGTGGCCTTCTAGTGTGATGGACGAGCCGGTTTTTCTTTTTAGTGATAGCGATCGTGACCCAGGTATTGGTCTATCCGGAGATAATGGCATCGTCTTGACGCTTGGGTGATTAGTCGAAAGCGAACCCTTCCAGGGTCTCCTAGCTCGGCAAGTAATAATACGTATGCATGCACTCGCATATCAACAAGGGCCCAACGGCGCCGCGTACCATCAAATGCATGTGAGTGGGAAAAATTCTAAATTGTACCGGAAGAATTGGAACCGGAATGCATGGATTTCAAGGATTAATGAAATGGGAAGGAGCACTTTAACGAACGCAACAAAATCTAGGGTAGGAGGTTTGGATTAGGGCAGACGAGCAGTGAGAGTTTAATTTGACGTGGCGCCACCACGTAGATCATCATGGGGAGCTAATACCTGGGAGCTAGCAGCAGCTGGACATGGCCGCATTTGGTGATCCCGGAGAATTTCAATAAGTAGAGGACCTCAGGTTATGAGTTGTGAGCTACTTTCACACAAACACTCAATTGGTAGGTGTGTAAGGAGGATGAACCCATGACAACGGCCGGTTACTGACGCTCTTTAGAGTTAAGCAAGGGACTGTTCAGCCCTGACATGGAAGATGAGGAGGTGATAATATTGACATCTTTGACGGACACGAATAAGCATAGATATTCGGAAACAGTCAACTTTAAGATTGCGTATTGTCCGTACAATCTGGGGCCGGATGTGTTGATTAATTGACATGAAGCAAGCAAGGATATGTCAGTTGTCTTGGCGTATAGTGCATTTGTCCCGCCCATTGCCGATCATCGAGATCCGACGCTGGAGGTTCTGTACAATGACAACAGCATTATGTGTTTCCGTGAACAAGGGGATCGGCCAGAGGTCTGTGACACTCGAAACAAGGAAGAGCCCGTCATCAACTGCTCCACGTGGCGACGCACCCAAGGCATCGCACAGCGAGCGTACCAGAGAATTTCAGTGAGGTTGCAGTGGACAACGACCCCGGATCCCGGCTGCCCTATCCCCATCGTGCCCCAACAGCCACCAACAGAACAAACAGCGGATATATACGGCTTGGAGCTTATGACGTAACCCTCTGTTGCGCCGCCTCTTGGCCAGGTCGCTCACCAGAGCAGATGCAGAACAGATGGGCTCTTCTTCCCGTCCAGCGAGGCTGCCGATGGATTTATGCTTTCAGTCCGTCTCAGTTAGCCAATGAGCATAAAAATCCAAGGCAGCTGGATACCAGACCTGCCTCGCATCAAGCCAATTCACTAGCTCTGCCTGGTGTTAATCCTTGCTGCCGTTTCACCCGCCTCTTACGCGGCTCTCCATCCAAAATTTCTTGGCCAAAATATTCTGAACTTATTATCCATACGACGTCAGGAGGACCTGCAACTAACTGTTCTTCTCCCTAAAGTTCTCATTCTCTCAATAAGCGCATGTTTGCATTGTCATTGGCCCCGTTACCCCTCCCCGCGGGTGTGTTTCCCATTCCTACATCTGGAGTTCTGTATCACAAACCAAAACCAGACTACCTACTTGATAGCGTAAAATGTCCGGCATAGACGACCCCGATGAGCGTCGTCGCTATCAGGCGCCTTATAGCGCCCGGAATCCAATACCCACCATAGCCAGGTACCGCGAGGAGAAGGCCGCCCGGCAGCAGGAAGCCCTCAACAACAGCACAGTCGATGTCAGCAAGACATGTGACCAGCCCGAGACTGCCCCCAATGCGTCAGCAACCGCGAGCTCTGGCGCTGCGCCGGGTGGTGACCAGGCCGACGACACCTCACAGGAGCCGGGCCAGAAGCACACGGAGGAGCCCCAGGAAGAAGGAGCCGAGATGCTGAAGGACACCTCCGAGGTGGACCCTGCCGCGACTGACGCCAGGCTGCGGCGGAAGAACAGCAAGGCCTGGGACAAGGAGAGGGCGGAGCGTCTGGTGACCGACCCCGTGACGCACCTCCCCATCACCATCCACGACTTCACCGAGGATGCGCTCCAGGATGCCGACGTGGAGGGCGCGACCCCGGGCCTCTTGCACAGGATCGCCAACAGGCTGTCTCCTAGAAATTCGGATGAGAAGCTGCGCCTGGAGCAGGAGCATATCCAGATGGGCCATGAGATTTTGGTGAATCGGTTCCCGCCCCCGAGCTTTGATGCTCTGCGCCAGGAACTGTCCTCCATCCACCAGAAGGGTATCGCAATGGGGTTGGCCGGCGCCGCCCTCGTCTTGTTTGGGGCGTTTATTCTGGAGAGGCAGCTTCCAAGGATTGAACGGAGGCTCATGTTGACAGACATGGCAATTCTGCTGTGTGTTGCCACGGGAGCGATAGGATGTCTGTGGGCTCTTGTGAGTGGCGTCAAGGATTGGGTGGGGAGGAGAGTCGATGCGGTGTTCGAAGACGAAGTTTGGGAAGCCCAGCGGCAGCAGATCGTGCAGGCGGCCACAAAGTACGAGAAGGAGACAACGGTCTGGCTCAACTCGCTCCTCGGAGCCATGTGGCCCCTTGTTAATCCAGACCTGTTTGCTAGTCTGGGAGACACCCTGGAGGATGTCATGCAGGCATCATTGCCCAAATTGGTTCGCATGGTGAGCGTGGACGATATCGGGCAAGGAAGCGAGGCTGTACGAATTCTCGGCGTTCGGTGGCTCCCGGCGGGTGCTGCCACGGAATCTGTCACGGCGGACGGCAAAGTCACCTCGGACGAAAGCTCCGAGAAGTCCAGCAAGGGGAGCAGCGTCGTCAAATCTGAAAAGACCGAGGAACAGACCGACCCAAACGCCGACCAGGACGAGGCAGATGAGGACCTGATCTCGCCCGGCCTGCTCGCGGAGGAAGGGGAGTTCATCAATTTGGAGATCGCCTTTGCTTACCGAACTCGTAGCCAATCCAAGAGCTTCAAGGCAAAGTCCAAAGACATGCACATCTACCTTGCCTTCTTTCTGCCAGGGAACATCAAGATCCCCGTGTGGGTTGACCTCCACGGTATCGTGGGCACCATGAGACTGCGGCTGCAGTTGACTCCCGACCCCCCCTTTTTCGAGCTCTGCACAATCACTTTCCTCGGTCAGCCCAAAGTCAATCTCAGTTGTGTGCCTCTTAGCAAGCATGGTTTGAACATCATGGACGTGCCCCTGATCAGCAAATTCGTCCAGTCGGCGGTGGACGCGGCGATGGCCCAGTACGTTGCCCCAAAGAGTCTGACACTCGATCTTAAGGACATGCTCTCGGGTGAAGATTTCAAGAAGGACACGCACGGTCGCGGAGTCTTAATGATCCATATCAAACGAGGCTATGATTTCAAGATGGGTGACTCGGCCATCCCTCTCGTCAAGGATGCCAGTTCAGATCCATACGTATCCGTGGGCTGGGCGAAGTTTGGCAAGGTGGTGTCAAGCACGCGGATCATGCTCTCTGAGATGCAGCCCTGCTGGGAGGAGACATTCTTCATGCTGGTCACGCTGGCAGAGCTTAATGTAGAGGAGAGACTGAGGGTGCAGCTGTGGGACTCGGACCGGTTCAGCGCAGACGACGACCTTGGCCGCATCGAGGTGAGCCTCACGGAGATCATGTCGAACAAGGAGTCACACGGGAAGATGTGGGACCGTACCGATGGGTTCAAGGCGCTCAAGCCTGGTGACGAAATGCCGGGAAAGCTCGAGTGGAGCGTCGGGTACTTCCCCAAGGCCAGGATCCAGCAGTGCCAGTTCGACAAGCAGACCTTCGACCCGAGCGTCCGATCCATGGAGCAGCTCAGGGCCAAGGTCGACGAGAACGCCGAGCGGAAACTCCGCGAGGCCATCTTCAAGGAGCGGAAGACGGGGAGGAACGAGGACGAGCTCAAGCAGCAGAAGAAGCAGGAGCTCAAGGCCCAGCAGGACGCCATGATCATATCGGCGCCTCCTCCCGACGGCTACCCGAGCGGCATCTTCAGCCTGCAGATCCACAACATCACCGGTCTGGAGGTCGAGAAGCTGAGCAAGGTTTCGTCGGATAAGCACCTCGAGTCGGACGACGAGAGGGAGCAGGGCCACGAGGGCCTGCCCAGCGCATACTGCACAATCCTGATCAACCATCACAAGGTGTACAGGACGAGGACGAAACCCCAGAACTCGAAGCCGTTCTACAACGCCGGCTGCGAGAGGTTCATCCGCGACTGGCACGAAGCCGAGGTCTTCGTATCGGTACGGGACTCCCGCATGGACGAAGACGACCCCCTCCTGGGTATGGTGCATCTCCCCCTGTACGAGATCTTCAAGGAGAGGTCGCAGGTCATGGGCACCTGGCCGCTCGCCGGCGGCATCGGCCACGGGAAGGTCAGGCTCTCCATGGTCTGGCGGAGCGTGCAGCTGCAGGCGCCCCGGAACCTCCTGGGCTGGGACTTCGGCACCGTCGAGGTCAAGCCGCTCATAACCGGGCACGGGCTGCCCGACGAGCTCTACGGCTCCAAGCTGAAGCTCAGGAGCAACCTCAGCTCCGGGAAGATGTACGCGAGCAAGAACGAGAACAGCTGGCACCCCAAGTCTGAGGAGGAGAGTGTTCTCCTGGCAGTGCAGAAGCGCTACAGCACCTGCGTGTCGATTGCCTTCAAGCACAACCGAGTTTTTGGTGACGACGTTGTCGCCTTTAGTGTCTTGTGGCTCAAGGATGTGCCGGACGAGGAGGAGCTGGAGCTGGAGCTTCCCGTGTGGAAGGGTGATTTTAAAAGGGCATGTTCCAACTGTCTAGAAGCACCAGGCGAGAAAATCGGAACCTTGAGAGTGAAACTTACTTACTGGGCTGGGCTGGTGAGTTGAAAACAAAACTTGCTTACGAACTCAACATCTCAGATTCACGACTAACATGTATACGCATAGGGCATGGCTCACTCTGCATGGGCAAACAAAGACCAGAATCTCCGCGATATCGTCGAGGTCATAAATACGGCACAGGAGAACCAGGATCTCGACAAGATCGAGAGGAAGATCGGGATTGTCGACGCAGAGCAGTCCAGTGACAGTGATAGTTCTGATGGGGAGAGAGATATCCCCGACGGAAGTGCCAACGATAAGCAAGGCCCAATCGACCAAATCAGGGACTACAAGCGCCGCGAGAAGGCTTTGCATAGGCGGCACCGGGGATTAATGCAGTGGAAGGTAAGGCTTAATTACGCACAATTCAAAAACACACACCCGGTCTTCGAACATGAACTAACAGATCATCACAGATTCCTCGGACCGCCAAGTGGGTGAAGAACAAAGTTGAGGGTCTCGAGAAGCGGGTATCCGGAGCCTTTGACCGCACAACTGGGCAGGCTGGGATCGAGACTGAAGTGTAAAGCTTGGTATTTTCTTGATGATATGTAGAACACCGAGTCTTATCCAGTGGATGGGACATGACGACATGACCAACAAATAGAAAGCAGGCTTTCTAATCACGGCCGAAGAAACAGACAACCAAACATGAAATGCATTGCGAGGAATTGGGTATAATGCTGAACTTGAATGTTCATGAAATGATGACGGGGAATTGTAATCAAGCGGGGGAAATGCGAATAACTGGCAAATAAATATAAAGCACAAGCAAAACTTAAACCACAAAATTTCAAAATCTTCACCGTTGGAGAAGTCTCTACGCGTTAGATGACCTCATATTGCATCGGAGACTGATGCGAAGCCGTGACCTTTCTTCCTCAAGCATCCCAGGGCGTCGACTCGTCCGACGGCTCGGGAGTTGTGGCCTTGCCCTTCTTGTCCTTCTTCCGAACATCGACCGCCTCAGGCTGGGCGACGCCGTCGGTGCTCTCAACCTCGTCCCGGTAGGGCTCCTCGTCGTTGGCGAGCACGGGAGCATAATCGGGAGACCGACGCCGCTGGAAGTACTTCAGCCAGGGTAGCGCGGGGAGGTCAGGGCGGAGGCGCACGTTGCAGTTGGGGCAATCAGGCGGCACGGCGCGCCAAGCGGTCCATTGGACGAGGCCGTGGATGGCAAAGCCTTCGTAGAGCGCTACGGAGGCGAGGTAGAGGTGGGTGAAGCTGTTCATGGACAGGGTCAGTACAGTTACTTGCATCTCGGATCGGATAGTGGGGTTGGGTCAAGACGAACAAGCCAATGAGTAGGGGTATCGTTGCGTAGGCGGCAAGCATGCTGAGCGACGCGCTCCTGGTGTGCGAGGTCCATGTGAAGACGAGGACGATCATCAGGGAGGCGGCGAGGAGGATGTCCAGGGCGAAGATGGTGAGGGGGTGCGTGATCGCAATGCGGAATCGTTCCCTAGGAGTGGTGGTAGCATCCTCGTCGTGGTCGGCTTCCTCATCTTGCTGCTTGCTCGAGCGGATCCGATATGTGAGGATGGCGGATGCGACAGAGAAGCTCAATGGAAGCAGGCCAATGGCGGGCACGACGCGGTGGGAGAGGGAGCCGTGGGCAATGAGAAGAGCGAATGCCGGCAGGTACGATAAGATCAGGGCCCAGCGCAGCGGATGGGCCACTGCTGTGTCATGTATATGGAACGTAGTAGATTCGTCGTCAGCCATGGAGGGCGGCTTCTAGCTGGGCAACGAACAGGACAGAGGGACTGGACTGGGCTGGGCTGGGCCGATTTGGTGATATCTCGACTGTGAATGGGCGAGGAAGAGAAGATGAATGGGGAGGATTAGGCATCTACATGGTACACCTCCTGCTATTGTTAGCTTAATCCCTGGGATGATATGATGTCGCAACACCCTGTACAACCATGTTACATTGACCGACAGTCGCAGGTCGAGGCACTGGATGTGTGCCATGCTGAATAAGGGACCCCTATTAATCATTAGGATCCTCCGCGACCGATAAGCTTTCAGCCAATGAAGCTGGCACCTGGTCGGGCGCGCTAAGAGAGCAAAGTTGCAAGCCAGGTCCAGGTGCAAGTTGCAGGTTTGCTGGTTGGCCGTTGGAAGAGGAAATAGTTACGGCAATTTCACTGGTATTCGGACGCCAAGCTAGCGCTCTGAGGCTCGCGTTTCTAGTGCGACGTGCATCCGGCTCTCGAACCAGGACACCGCATAATTCCTAACCGGTTGGCATGCGGCAGTATCCGATGCAAAGTATTTCGCGGTGAAGCTTGGAGCATAGACAATGCACGGCACGATGCGGCGATCCACCGATTTACCTGGCCCTCTACCCCGGCCCTGGCGTTGCGCTTTTCTGGTCATCTGACCAACCCAAAATTCACTGAATCTTGGTGGGCTTCCCGTGGTGTTCAGTTCCTGGGACATTGCAGGTTGCCTACAATTGTGCCCAAGTACCTACTTGAATTGATAATTATGTTCTGTATCGTGATGGCTCAGTGGGGGTCTAATAGCGGGATTGCGGAATTACTTGATAAGGGAATTCCTTGCCTAGCTGCCTCTTGATTCAGTTGGTGTCAATGGCTGCTGCTAATGTGTCGTTGGAGGGGCTGGTTGACAGGCAGCCGGCGCCGGTCTACAGCTGTGGTTGACCAGCCCCCACGCAGCGCAGGCCTTGAATCCCCGGACAGTCTCTCCCTCCCGATGTTTCATTGACGTACATCTCCGGGAAATACATAAGAAGAAAAAAAGAAAAGTCCCGAGTATTGGCTGCCCGCCAGCTCTAAGATCTTCGACCCTAATTTTTCAATTTTTCTTTCCTTCCTCCTTCTTCCTTAATCCCCATGATACCTTGGTTTCACCTAGTCCCATACATAGAGATTCTCTTTTCCCTTTCGCCTTGACAGTAGTCGCGTTCATTCACATTCTCCCTTTCCCTTGGTCCTACTAGGACTGACCCCAAGGGATCTAGTACTATCTATCAGTCTCCCAGTTTTAGATAAACGTCAAATTTCGCTGCATTTGCCTGCCTAACACGGGCCCAACCGTCTGGACAATCTAGCCCTCTCAGTTTGGCTACTGCTCTTTCCATCACAACCCACAAAGGATCCAATTGCCATTGCAAGGAGAATCATGTCGTCATTCCTCCGTTGGTAAGCACCCAAACTGGCAGTATCATCACGACCCTCAACATGACAAGATAACTCATTTTCAGCACAAAGGTACAATGCGAAGTTGGCAGCTAAGCCACTTCTCACACAGAGTGTGACGACCGCAGTTCTGTTCGCCACTGGAGACATAACTGCCCAGCAGGCCGTTGAGCAGCGAGGTCTGAAGAAGCATGACCTTGCCCGCACCGGTCGCATGGCCCTCTACGGTGGCGGTAAGTTTTACCATATTTCCGACTCTAAACAGATATAGAGGGAACCATGGCTCTAATGTGTCTCCTTTCTCTCAAGTCGTGTTTGGCCCTGTCGTGACCACATGGATCAATTTCCTTGCCCGCAGAGTGAATATCGCTGGACGACCACGCCTCGAGACTCTCGCACGCGTTGGGTGTGACCAGGGTGCCTTTGCTCCTGTCATGATCGGTGTCTTCCTGAGCAGCATGGCAACCATGGAAGGCGCAAGCGCCAAGGAGCGGTTGGAGAAGACCTGGTGGACGGCGCTGAAGACGAACTGGTTGGTCTGGCCCTTCGTTCAGATGATCAACTTCACATTCATGCCCCTGCAGCATCGTGTCTTGTTCGCCAATGTCATTTCCATCGGCTGGAACAGTTACCTCAGCTGGGTGAACAGCGTGGAGTAGAAGGCAGACCATCCGTGTTGCTGCCGTGTTTTACGCATCTTAATTGGGATGCTTGGTTTGATGCGATATCAATGTCATGAGTCTTCGTTGCAAGCGAACATTCGAGGGAGCCGGGGCATCATTGCTGTCTGTACGTTTGGACCATGATTAAAGAATCAATAATAGATGATAGACTACACTAAAGGGACCACTGTGGTGAAATACTCCAAGACGGCCAATGTAACCATGACGTGATAAGCCATGAGGGTCTGGCCTGAGCTGCGCACAGAATCAAGAGTGGACTTGGCAAGCGCCATAAACACTGGTCTCCCCTCTTGCTAGATACTATCTATCTCAGCTTGTCCTCCTGAAATCGACCCATGTGGATAGGGCCCCATCAGATAACAATTACGTAGCAGATGCTCGTGACCTGAATCTGGGGTCATTTGAAAGCGGTCAGGCGAGGCTCCCACCTAAAAACCCGTAGCCTGCCACAGGCGTTTCAGTGCTCCTTTGTGGTGTTGCTTGTAGGTGGAGGCGCTGTAGGTCAATAGATTGCCGCCGTTATCGCTGCCTTAGGCCATCCATAGCCGGGGATCCACCACAACGTTTTCCCGACTCACCTCAGCAGATATCCGGATTTGACGTGACAAAACGCATCATTGGCCTCAAACGAAGGTCTCTGCGCCTGCCTCACAACCAACCCTCCAACGCTTACCACTCTACGATCAACGGTCTGGCTGTTTCGATCCCACAGTCATGTTGCCCTCATCGGTGCGGCGCGTGATTACCGCGGCGCCCCAGGCCAGCGGTTTGGCCGCAACCCTCGTATCATCAGCCCCCAAAGCCGCCGCTTCGGCTCCCTTCATAAGCCACAACCATCAGCGGAGGTTCTCTTCGTCGAAACCTTCGAGATCAGATAATGGAGCGAGTGATCTACCGGCGGGCCAGTCCGTCCCCGCATCCTCGGGTTCCTCTCGGGGCCAGGGCAAGGCAGGGGGTGAGAAGAGGAAGCGCAAGGCTGCCGAGCGTGACCCAACTTTGAAGAACCTGCCGAGCGTTCCTAACACGCATCATATGTCTGGAGAAGGTAAATTCAAAAGGATCCTGGGTCAAGACACATTTTGCACCAAGGAAAAGATTTTACGAGTTTCCCCGAGATCTTCCTGCTAACCTCTTTGCCTAGCTCTGGGACTTTCAAGTTTCTTTTCTCTGCACCGACCGATCTCTATCACCCAAACCATGCCTCGGGCTGTAACAGACGAGCAGTTTGCTTCCATCTTCGCGTCTCGATCGAAATCGAACACCGTTTCCGAGACTATGTCTACACTGTCAAATACCATCGACCAGTTGGAAGGACCCATGGCACAGATGACTATCAACACGCAACAAGAAGGCCACGGCGATGGGGTGCACCGCATGGATTTTAAGAACCCCGACGGAAGCGAGGCCAGCATCTATCTTGAGGTGGACGCCATGTCTGGAGACTTCCTCCCATTCCGCCCCCCTCCTCTGCCTCAACCACAGTCCGCCGCCGAATCCACGCCTGTCGTAGAGGCCGAGCCTGCTGAGGATGCTCAGCATCACCGCGTGTACAAGGCCATGTTCACGATCGAGGAGGCCACCGAGCCCGACGGCCAGATCAGGATTGTTGCCCACAGCCCCCGCATCATCCAGGATGCGCAGCCCAGAAGTTTCCTCGAGCGACTTGCTCGACGTCAGCTCAAGTTCGACGAGGCTCAGGGCCAACGGGATATGCACGCCATCAGTGTCAAGAGACAACGAAAGTTGAAGATGAAGAAGAAGAAGTACAAGAAGCTCATGAAGCGGACGAGGAACCTTCGCCGCAAGCTTGACAGGACATAGAATTGCACATCCGATGTATATACTCTAAATCCTTTTATTTTGTCACACTTTTCCCTTCCGCTACCGTTTCCTTTGTGCCAGCATTTATTGGGGGATTCACGGGTGTCTGGTATTCTGAGATGGTACTTGAAGATATGCCAGTTTCTTGGCATCGAGCTTTTTATAACCTTCATAGACTCGGAGGTAGCAATCATCACAGCATTATGAGCAAATTAGAAACAAATACTCTCTTCTCATTACTTGGATTTGGAAACCTTGAATGTATAGTCTCGGCTGGGTGGATGTGACATGAAACTTGTACCTTAACATATGTATCAACGATTTTGAGCCTATTACAACTGCTACTTTTGTTTCTAGATTTTCTGGTAAAATTTTCGTTGGCCCCTGAGCCAGCACATCAGGGCGCCATCCTCGGCCGCGGCTCAAGGGTTCGCATCTATCAGATTTGCGCTAAACTTTGCCCATCTTGCCATCCTCTGGCGAAATCCCCGCCATTGGCTGCCATGGACTTCGGTGAGGCTCTCGGTGAAGTCTCGGTAGACACCCCACCTCTAAGATCCACATATTCTACACCGCCCGGCAAAAAATGTTTGGATCGCCAAAATTTTGGGAAATTTGTACCAAAAGTCTAGCTGGGTGAGTAGCTTTTGCGACAGTGCATTCCGATTATTGAACGCTCGAACGGTGCCGAGAAGATGTCGCGCAAACAAATGTAAGAACTTTTATGAGCGAAACATGGGCCAGGACGCGCTAATTGTGCATATAGTGACTCCCGCATCGGGGCGCTCATCGACAATGCGGTGCAGGAGAAGAAGCGAAGCTTTTTCGTCGTCGTTGGCGACCAGCAGGCCAAAGATGTCATTGTGAACTTGCACTTCATCATGTCGAGGAAGAATATCAAGCAGAACAAATCTGTTCTCTGGGCATATAAGAACAAGCTTCTAGGCTTCACAAGGTTCGATCTCGAAGCCTTTAGTCCCCGTGGACTTTAGATGTTGTGTTGTCGCTAACGGTGTGATGTGCTAGTCATCGCAAGAAGCGCGAGGCCAAGATTAAGAAGGAGATCAAAAAGGGAATCCGAGAAGCCAATTCCGAGGATGCTTTCGAGCTGTTCGTCTCGCTCCACAACATTCGCTATACATACTACAAGGAGACCGACAAGATCCTCGGTCAAACCTTCGGCATGTGTATTTTACAGGATTTCGAAGCCATTACGCCGAACATTCTTGCACGGACGATAGAAACAGTTGAGGGCGGTGGCATGGTCATCATGCTTCTGAAGGGAATGAACAGTCTGAAGCAGCTCTACAACTTGTCAATGGATGTCCACTCAAGGTATCGCACCGAGGCCCACCATGACGTTGTCGCTCGGTTCAACGAGCGTTTCCTCCTGTCATTGGGAAGCTGCGAGTCTTGTTTGGTCATCGATGATGAACTGAATGTGCTTCCCATTTCCGGTGGTAAGAGCGTGAAGGCTCTGCCTCCACCAGACAAGGACGACTCCAAGACCCCTGCGCAGCTCGAATTGGAAGCTATCAAGGATGAGAACCACGACAGACAGCCCGTTGGATCTTTAATATCTCTCGCCAAAACTGTTGACCAGGCTAAGGCCTTGATGACGTTCACCGAGGCCATTGCTGAGAAGACTCTTCGCAGCACTGTTACCTTGACGGCTGCTAGAGGTCGCGGTAAATCAGCAGCGTTGGGTGTTGCCGTAGCGGCAGCTGTGGCATACGGCTATAGCAACATTTTTATCACATCCCCTTCTCCCGAAAACTTGAAGACACTCTTTGAGTTTGTCTTCAAGGGGTTCGATGCGCTCGGATACGCCGATCACGCCGACTACTCCATCATTCAGAGCACAAACCCCGACTTCAACAAGGCCATCGTTCGTGTCAACATTCATAGGCAGCACAGACAGACGATCCAGTACATTAGACCACAGGATGCTCACGTGCTTGGCCAGGCAGAGTTGGTGGTGATTGATGAGGCCGCTGCTATTCCGCTACCTCTGGTTCGCAAGCTTATGGGACCGTACTTGGTGTTCATGGCCTCTACTATCAATGGTTACGAAGGAACTGGAAGGTCGTTGTCTCTGAAGTTAATCAAGCAGCTGAGGGAGCAGTCAGTGGCTGCATCAGCAAGCAATGGCGATACAGAGCTTGCAGACCGATCCACGGGTAGGGCAGCGAAGTCTGGCGATTACCAGGCCAGTCGTAAGCTACGTGAGATTTCACTAGACGAACCCATCAGATACGCCCAAGGTGATGCGGTTGAAAAGTGGCTTAACAAGCTGTTGTGCTTGGATGCTACTCTGCCCAAGTCCAAATCTAAATTCGGGTGCCCTGACCCGGAAAAATGCGAGCTTCTCGTAGTGAACCGGGATGCGTTGTTCTCCTTCCACCCTGTTCCAGAAAAGTTTCTCCAGCAGATGGTGGCGCTCTACGTGGCAAGTCACTACAAGAATAGTCCCGACGATCTGCAGTTGATGAGCGACGCCCCAGCCCATGAGCTGTTCGTCCTTGTCCCACCTTTGTCGGAGAACACAGGCGCCTTGCCAGAGCCACTCTGTGTTATTCAGGTGTCGCTGGAAGGTAAGATCAGCAGACAAAGCGTTCTCAACAGCTTGAGCAGGGGCCAGCGCCCGAACGGTGACTTGATCCCCTGGCTTGTCAGCCAGCAGTTCCAGGATGAGAATTTTGCATCATTGTCTGGTGCTCGGGTTGTCCGCATTGCCACCAACCCCGAGTATGTGTCTATGGGCTACGGTACCAAGGCACTCCAACTGCTCACTGACTACTATGAGGGACGTTTTGCCAGTCTCTCCGAGGAGGACCAGATTATGGATGACCAGGCACGGCGACCAACGGATGCTGAACTTGTAAATGGCTCCTTGAGTGATGAAATTAAGGTCAAGGATAAGAACGAGATGCCTCCTCTTTTCGCCAAGCTTGACCAGAAGAAGCCCGAGGCCCTCGACTATATGGGTGTAAGCTACGGAATGACAACTCAGCTGCTCAAGTTCTGGAAGCGCGCCTCATTTTCCCCAGTCTACCTCCGCCAGACGGCGAATGACCTTACCGGCGAACATACCTGCGTGATGCTTCGGCCTCTCGACAATACTGCAGACAAGAGCTGGGCCGGCGCTTTCTCGCGAGACTTCCAGAAGCGATTCTTGTCGCTCCTTTCTTTCCAGTTCAGGGCGTTTTCTGCCGGTACTGCTTTGTCAATTGACGAGGCGGCTGTTCGTGGCGCACAGCTTGACACTACAGAGGTTGCACCCCTAACCAAGCCAGAGCTGGACCAACTGATGAGTCCGTTTGACCTGAAGAGACTCGAGTCGTATGCCAACAACATGCTTGACTACCATGTTGTGCTCGACCTCCTGCCAATCATCGCGACCTTGTACTTTACGGGCAAGATCCAGTCCAACGTGAACATGAACGGCCCTCAAAAGTGCATCCTCTTGGGCATCGGATTACAACGCAAGGATGTCGACACCGTAGCTGCAGAGCTCAACATCACATCCGGACAGCTTCTCGCCCTGTTTATCAAGATCATGCGCAAGGCAACCGCGCACTTCGGATCTCTGGTCACGGCCGCCGCTGTCGCTGAGCTTCCTTCTACCGGCGACCTAGGAATCAGCCGGGAGAATGCAAGCGGTGTGCACGATGACGAGATTGTGGATGAGCGGTTTGCTCCCCTTACCGTCACGCTGGACGATGAGCTGGAGGAGGGTGGCGACGAGGCTCTCAGAACTCTTAAGCAGAAGCAGAGAGAACTGATTGATTCGCTACCACTTGACCAGTAAGTTGATCTTTTTATTTTCGCAATTTAAAAAAAAGTCGCCACAGATTATGCTAACGGTTCCTAGGTATGAGATTGAAGGTGATGCTCCAGCATGGCAAGACGCAGAGAAGCAAGTGAGGAACGCCACCAAGGACGGCCGCTCCACTGCAGAGGTGAGCGTCAAGTCTGCAAAGCAGAAGAGAAAGGCGGGACAAACGGCAACTGAGGTGTACGAAGAGGCATTCGGAGAGAAGCCGAAAAAGAAAGTAAAGAAGGGCAAGAAGGCCGCCTGAGTGGCATAAAATGGGGTTCAAAGCATTTCTGGGCGTTAACATTGGTGTCTCGTATATTACTAGAGATTTGATTGCCGGTTATCCGGCCGTGTCGATAGAGTATCTTAGTTTGCTGGTTGATTGTTAATAATTGGTTGGATATTGACAAGTCATATTGATTTCGTTCGCTGTCAGCGTTTGTGAACGTCCGGCTAGTTCAGTGACTCTTTGTGCTTGAGTTGTTATAAACAAGCAGCATCACCCCGACGTGATCCTGAAAATGGTACAATTATTGAGACAGGGTAGTGAAATGCAGCACGAAGAAAGACTTGTCCTAAACCTAGAGCCATTCGAGTTTAAGTCCACTGTTGGAATTTTGCCCTAAGCTTCAAGATGATTTCATGTATAGGGTTTCATAACATCCTTTCTCTGTTACGAAATTGAATGATTTATAAAGCTACCAAAGGCCCTTTCAAAACCATTAACTCTTGGGGGACAAGTAGCGTGACCCTACTTGCCGCTTGGAGAACAATTATCCATATGAATCCCTTCATCACCTCTAGCACTTAAATTACATCCATTCGAAAGGTTTCGATTTGCGGACAGAATTGGCCAGCAACGACCGCCAAGCTTCAACTATATTGATACTTGGCGAAGCTCCTCTCCTCCGGTACCATGTGTAATCAGAGAATCTTGGCATGTAGGTTCTGTCAGAAGAATCTTTTTGAATATCGTGTGAGCCAATGCAGTCAGTACGCTGAGAGATATAATGATCTGATTGCAATGAGCCCGGACTTGACGGCAGTCGAAACCATATGCCCTGTCCGTCCAGAGCTCTGGTTCACTTCCACTACATGTGGGAATGCAACCTGCCGGCCCGGTATTGAGAACTACTCCCCAAATCAACGATATGACGGTTTGAAGACGCAATATGCTCCCACTATGAGCCTAAGAGAGCCTCTGAACCTCCCAGGAAAAGTCCCATCGGATAGCGCGATGAGCGTTGAAGACGAGTGGAAGGTTGTACGTCCTGTCCAGAGAGGCAAGACCGAAGTCATCTTCTGCAGAGACAAGTCAGGAAAATCCCTTCCGCCGAAGATCGAGTCGCCAATACAGATTTCGGAGAGTGCTCATACCGACGCTCAGGAACCGAGAATCGACCCTACTTGGCTCCATAAACCATACCTGCTTTGGCTAACAGCGTTTGCTCCGGATCGAGACTCTGGTCTGAGCTGCCCTCCTCCGGCTGGAGATTGCCTGCCTCCTGTTAGCGGAAGAGTCAGATCACACTCGCTCCAAGAAGGCAAACCCGGAAGACTCGAGGAGTCTTGGAATCTGCTCACCAAGATCAAGGATTGGGTGTTCAGTGACTACGGCCCTCCGATGGAGAATGATGGCTCGACAACAAAAGTCAATATAGCCTCCGGCGACAATACAAGCGCACAGGAGAAGATGGCGGGCACATTCCCGCCAGACATCGCGGACTTTCCCAGCTTCAAATTTGAGGAATACGACCCTTTTTTCCCGAGTCTCAAACCCTCAAGCAGCCTGATTTCCAACACAGGAAGTCCCCCTTTCACAGACTTGGAGGCTGCAATGTTGGGTCCCAGCTTCTTCGACTATTCTTCTGACGGGGAGCTTGATGCTAGGTTCCACACTGCTCGTGGTGAAGGCAGTGGTTTAACCAATGAGGCAATCTCGTCAGAACGTCTCTCCGACCAGGAAACTCTCTTTGGGAACAATGGGGCTGAGAAACTAAAACCAAGGCCACAAAGTCCCATGGAAAAGGGGCTGCCTGAATGCAGTGTCCATGACTTATGTGGAAACCCCACCGAGCTTCCCGAAGGCAGAGAGTCTCTTCTTGGAGGGGATGAGGAGAAGCCCAAGAGATCTTCCCCCAATGAGCCACAAGTCAACAAGCCCCGCTCGGGATCGATCCTTGAACGGGACTGGGGACTCAACTTCAGCCTTGGGACTAGTCAGTTCTATGACCTTTTTTAAGAATAGGGAGCGACGGGGCATGTAGTAGGAGGGTCAACCTGTACGATTGGAAGCAACAAGGGAGGGCAAGAGAAGTAAGGTAACAGAAAGTCTATGTGGAAGTTTAGGTATTCATTTGTACTACCCAGCTGTGTAACACATAGATGACACTGGTATTTCTTATTCTTTTAGTGTGTGGCAGGGCAAGTCGGTTCACCTAGGGGCGGAGGGAAATATGTGGCATCTGTTCCTTTACATCTGGGCTTAGTTTACTGCGTTACGTTCAGAATACAGGTACATTCAAGGTGGTCTACTCCCCTTGATTTCGATGGATGTTGAGTAATAGGAGCATCCTTCTCTCTATTCACACGTCCCTCTTTACACAGCCACCAGGTAATTCTTTTCAAGAATGGTACCGTAACGCCCAATAAATCTAACGACCTATACATGACAACCAAGCAGGTGGAGTCACCAATGGATTCGTTTTGCAAACACGTAATTCCCATGAAAATCAAATCCTGACGGCCTATCACGAACATTGTTTGGCAATGTCGTTTCACTAATACGAGGACGAGTGACGGGACCCCTTCTCGTAAAATCAAACTAACGGGGAACAAAGAGTACTGGGAGGACTCTCTTCTCGGATGTAAATCCGGCGATGGGGGCCATAAAGACCCGCCCCCGTTTCTTTCTCCGCGATGATGTCTCCAGGATCTACGTTTGCTTCGGCGTCGCATTCCTATTACGGCAGGGAATAAGGTAGAAATGGTCTTAGAACATGTCGATTGCTTCATAATGGGAAAGGTATGCTCCGTTAGTTCATGCGCATAAGATGTCTACATGCGCGGATCCATCTCCACACTCTCCCACCTGCAACCCTCCTGAGTGCGGCAGGTGAGTTGTCGAGGGATACAATCCTAGCAGGCCAGTTGCTTCTCCATCTCCATAATCTCGTCAAACTCGGCCATCTGTGACTCCAGCAGCATGCCCTCGAGGAGAGCACAAGGCCGGCGCGGCTGCCCTCCATAGCCGCGATATCTCTGCAAGGCCGCCTTGATCGACACAAATCCGCCCTTTATAGCCGCCCAGTCTCCCCTGGCAACAAGGCCTTGGAGCTGGGCAGCCTCTGCCAGCTTCCCGGCATGCCAAAGCCTGATCAGCTCCACACAGACCCGAGGAGCCAGGTTTCCCAGGCCGGCGATGACACCATGGCCACCTGCGGCCAGTGTTTGGATAGTAAAATCAGCACTTCCACCAAAAGTCCGGAACGAAGAGTCCTTGCTTCCGGCCACAACCCTTGCTAGCTTGCCCGTATTCCCACAAGTCAGCTTCACACCCACAATATTCGGGTGCTTTGCCAGCTCAAGAATGGTGTCGGAACTCAGATCGAGTCCTCCAGAGGCCGCCGGAAAGTTATAGATCAACACAGGGAGGGGGCTTGCATCGGCAACACTGCGGAAATGGTCAATGATGAGATCTGTAGTCAAGAGAGCGCCATAATAGGATGGAGGGAGGATCATGACATGTGTCCCGCCGGATCCTGCGGCCTCTTGACATAGCTGGATGGTCTCGCGGGTCGATTGAGCACCACAGCCCACAATCAGGGGCATGTCCGAGACCCCTTCCTGTTCACACGTCTTTCTTGTGGTCCTGTTGATGAGTTGCCGCTCGGTATGGCTGAGATGGACCGCCTCGCCGTTTGAGCCATGAGTGACGAGACCAGAAATGCCTGATCTGATCAGTTGAACGGTGTGGGATACCGTTGTCCCAACATCGATCGTGTCGTCCGAGGGGAAGAAAGCAACGGTGGGCACATATAATCCTGGCTTGAGCGGTGCCACTGGATGCAGGTTTCCTTCGTTTCCCTCGGCGGTTGCCATGATTGTAGAGATTTAGTTCAGAATATTAAATCCAACGATTAAGTGATAAATGATCAGAGTCGTCCCGCCGAGGTGCGAACGATAAAGATGGATCTCATGCTCCAGACCAAAGGAAAAGGAGGACAAAGGATCATTTTAATACTTACTCTCTCTCCAAACACAAACACATTGCCGCTGTACTAGGTCCACAAAAGTGAAGTTGACTATTCCGAATTATAGATGATAGCACCAAGCGCCGTTGGGTGTTACCTATAATCACAAGGGGCGGTGATGTGTGACCCCCACGCTATCTGATAAGTCTGTGCTGCGCGTCCATGCCCGAGTCACAGACATGCATGTAGCACATTCGCACCGACATTGTCAGCCTATTCATCGGGCGAGTCCCTGGATCGGCAAGTTGGACGAAGTGACTTGGGTAAAACAGAAAGCTAATCATCAATGGACCCCTTTTCTCTCCATGTGCAATAACTCGCAGATCGACAGTGACTTGCTGGCTAATGTAAACGAGGTAGCGTGGCTCCAGGAACAACTCGTTCGTTATTGCTGAATCGGCAAACAGAGCTGTTCGAGGCTGGCGAGAGGATGATCTTCTCTCTGCTTATCCAGAAGTATCGTCGGTCTTGGATGCAAGCAGACACTTGAGACCCCGCTGTCAGATGGGCATGTCTATCCTAAAGCGCTCCATGAATAGGATCACGGCCTTGACACCTCGCTTGATTCATTGTCGCAGATGGAAACTAGTAGCAAATATGGCATGACACTTAACATAATAAGATGCTGTTATCGCTGGCTGCTGATGCTCACCGCATCATGTTTCACCTGGCAGGCGTCAGGAGGCAGAGAACGTATTTATCAGAAGATTCGGAATCATAGATGAACGGCCACTGATTCATCTTGATAACAGTTTGTGGGGCGCGAGGGGGCTGGGAATCGAGGTGACATGATGAGATGGGGTGAAGTGAGAAGAAGGTGAGGAGGAATAATTTGGTGACAAACGGGCAGCCGGCTGAATCATCACCAGGTTAATGTTGAGTGGGAGCGAGGAGAGAAGGAAGGGAAGGTACTGTGTACCTTCTTGCTGTAGAAAATCAGTCAGTTGGGGAGGTACCCTCTACCAGGACTCCTGAGATTCATCGCATGGGGGGGCAGGAGACTAGATTCTCGACAATATAAGTAGCAGATGTGACAGGCCAGACACCTACTAGTAGGCAAGAGTTTAGTAGACGCAGGAACAGAGAAGCGGTCCATTGCGGGAGGCGTGCAGCCATTGTAAGTCTGCCGGTTGCCAGTGAGAAGCGACCAGCCTCGCCACAGCTGGCAACGAGTGCGCTTCACTTCCAGCGCGTTGGCCAGGACGACAACACAAGTCGCTCAATCCCACACACCGCGCATTGTTATTTCAAAATCCATTTCCATCCCCAACCTCTCTTCTTTTTTCATTTCCTCTTCTCTTTCCTTTCCTCATCCAGTTTTGAATTTATTTCCACTTCAGCGCCGACCAGCTTCATCATCTATCCATCCACCTTCTTCTTGCGAAGGAACACAACTTCGTCTCAACTTCACGCGCGAATCTCTTCTTCGATCGCCAACCCTTGCGCAAGAGGATAATTGTTGTCCAAACAGTGAGAAGCACCTACGCTCTCGCGTGAGTGCCAACTTCCAACTAAACATGCCTCAGAAACAACTTCCTGACACGGTTCGACGCGAACCACAGCAGCGCAAAACGTCCAGACCAAAGAGGCGAATCGCTAGCTAGTGTGAAGATACCGTCTTCACTTCCATCATGTGCACGAACCAAGTGGCGCTCTGCCACTTCTGCCTCTTCCAACGGCACGTCAGCTGGAAGTACTGCCGAAACTTCTTGAACAACCTCATCGACCACATCCAAAGCGTGACGACCCCTCTACCCAAGCCAGATGACTGCCCAAACGTGTCCTAGGAGGACACCATGACCATCGACATCCTGGCATGTCCCATTGAGGAGTGCGAGTCTACCAGGTTGGCAGTGATCAAGCGCGCCCAGATGGCGGTCGAGGCTGAGCGCATCAGAAAGATCAGGGAGGCCCAGATGCTGGCAGAGACGCGCCGGCGCGACGAGTTTGCGCGCCGATACCTGAGACCAAAGCAGCCCGTGCAGCCAAAGCAGCAGGCCAGCCTGCTCACCAAGGCGCTCGAAAGGAGGTGTCGCCTAGAAGTAATCGAGGAATCACAGAGCGGCTCTGGAACCCCCGACAGCGTCGCAGCATTGAGCTACTCAGACGATACCTCAAGCACGTCACGTCCCTCGCTTCCTCTCAGTCCCACTCAACCCGAGTCCCAGAGATGTGGTAGCCTCGTAGCCACTTTCTCGCAGCCCCGTACATACGTCGAGGAGGCATTTCTACTACACCACGTCGATGCCACCAAAGGGATGGGCAAGGAGTCGTTTTTCTGATTTATATTCTGCATACAACTTCAAACTTCATGTATAATGGCTCGAGGCTTGGAAGAACTCAGCTTCGGGCGTCATGACGGCTATACTGGACCATTTAAGAAGACACTCCCGGCTTGCAGATGCGGACGGAGCTTGGGAGGGACCTGGAGTTTATCTCACGAGGCTCGGTAAGATCGTATCTAACATGGCCAGAGGTAATAGAGATGTCGTTCCCCGATGGGGCGAGTCTTGCGACAGACGGAGAGAGATGCTTGCTTATAGGGATGATATTTTGCAGGATGGGCCGCGGATAATAGCATACACGCAGGCAAGCATTTAACATGTTTTTCAGATAAGGGAGGAGTTCTCCTTTAGCGCAGCCAAATGGTTAATGGTAATTCTGTATTCTGCATTACAAACTCGATCGCTTGTGATCTCTCAGAGGCCTCGTTGATTGGCTCTTTTGCCGGCTGCCGGATGCAGCGGAGTGAGTCTACTGCAGGGGTCTTCTGCAGGTGACGTCGGGCGGGCATCGAGCCGTGGGTTCAGGGCATTCCGTCTGTGAAGCGCAGCATGTGCTCAAGTGGCCGCAGAGGTCTTGTTTGCTCGCGGAAATGGGCGCATTCTCTCCCTGCATTGCCAATTGAGATCAAACCATCCCAATGGCCTACCGCCGCACTGACAGAAGATCCTGCCAGCTGCATCTGAGCATCTTCAACTGTGGGCTGTATCCGGGGCAGCTTGGATGTAACAGTGGCTGGCCCGCCCGTTGTACCCACCTTGCCACCCACTGCCCGATCCACTGAAGGGAGATGGCGCCCCTGGACAGTCCAAGTCCAGGGGTAACCTAGGCCAACCGGCGACCAAGAATTATGCCCTGATACAATGCGCCTCTTCGACACCCGCATTTAGATCGTCTTTTTTTCGCCTCAGTGATAAATAAAAGAGCTCACTCTCCCGAAATTCACGCTCTTTTCTCCTCCGTTGCTCCGGGTCCTCTCCTCCTCGCGGCTGGTCTGATCAACGGTCTCGTCATTCTTTTCTTTCTCACCGTTCTTCATCCATTGGAGGCAGCAATCTGCGACCCCAAAAACCCTCCCATCGCGAACCGCGTCTCCCCAAGCCCGCCGCCATGTATACATCAACAAGCCTCGGCGTCGCCATCGCCCTCCTGGGGACCGCTTCTGCCTTCCCAGCTGTTGAGAATGGCGCCGCCCCGGCCATCACCGCGGCGCCCGTCGCCCTAGACAGGCGTTCAGACAGCAACCCGTCCGCGCCGTGGGTGTCCATTGACGACGAGGGCCAGCCCGCCACCACCTACACGCCGCACATGGCAACCGACAAGGAGGGCTCGACCTACCTCGCCGACGCTCCCCCTTCCGTCCTGACGGAGACAGTCATTGTTCAGAACTACCTAGGCAACCTTTACACCTCCACCTACGCATCGCCGCCGGCCCCCACGGCCACCAACTCGAACAAGCAGGGCAGCTTCACCAGATGCCACAACCTGGACGGCGACCATGCGCCATTGTGCGATCCCAGTGCCGACAGCACCTTGTACAAGGACACGACATACTATGGTAAACAGCATTCTCCTCAATCCCCCAATCTCATCATCATAACAACCGCTAACCTCGCCTTTTTCAGTCACCTGGGACCCCGACTACTACAACAAGACCGAGGACAAGATCGACGCCAACACCACCGTCCTCATCTCCCTCCGCCTCGACTACTTCAACCGCACCACCCAGGACCAACCCGAGGGCTCCTGGACCAAGCTCACCGAGCTCGACAAGGTCCCCGCCGCCTGGGGCTTCTCCCCCCTCGAGGTCAAGAACGACTACTTCCAGGGCCAGTCCCCATACAACCTCACCGTCACCCTCATGCGGCACCTCAACAACTCGGGCGTCGTCACCTCCTCCACCGCCTTCAACCTCACCCTCGAGCGGTCCCGCCCCACCCCGCAAAAGGTCAAGCACAAGATCGACAACCAGGACCTCATCATCGCCCTCCCCGTCACCTTCGGCAGCATCGTCTTCCTCCTCATCGGCATCTGCCTCTGGAACCGCAAGACCCGCAGCATCCAGATCGGAAACATCATGGGCCGCCGCGCCCGCGGGTACCAGCCGGGAGTCGGCTCAGCCCGCCGCATGTTCGGCGGCCGCAAGAACAAGGACGAGGGCATCCGCCTCCAGGACCGCTCCGAGAGCCCCGTCTTCGAGTACCGCGACCAGCCCAGTAGCCACAACAGGCACGACAGTGATCTCGGCAGCCTGGTCGGCACCCCCGTCTCCACCACCTTCAAGGGTGCCACCGCACGCAGCAACCCCTTCAGGGATGAGCTTCGGAGGCAGGATGAGCATCGGGGCGGCCATGCTCTTTAGAAGAAGCTCAAAGCTGGCCATGTCGGGTCGGATTTCCTTTTGAATTTAAATTTGGAACAAATGTAGGGCTTCGACGAGTAGATGTATGCTTATGTACCCTTATCACGCTTACGAAATAAAGAGTAGATTAAAAGCATGTTTTCCAGTGTTAATTCCAAAGACCATGTTTCTCTCGACAAGTTGGAGTTGGACACAAATTTCACAAAGAATTAAATGGTTACCCTGGCTTGTTCATTGCCCCTCCAGGTTATTAACCGACATAATGAGAACGCCATATCATACAATTGGAAAAAGAAGGAGGAATTCATCAACTCCGAACGCCGCACCTGTCCAGTCCAGTCCAGTCCTGCCTTACCGTACCCGTCTAACGGTATTCATTATTTCATTAATACTCAGAGACCCGTAGTACAACCCAATATACACATCCATTGCACGCCACGCAGAGGTGCAACCCTAGACTCCAAAATCGACGACCAAACATAATGTAGACGGGCTTCTACATACTCCAAACGCCAAGAATCTATCTTCATCCCAGATTGATCCGCAGAAAGATTTGATGGGGTATCCGAAAACAATCTAACATCGCAGGCCTACAAGTCCAAATTGGACGCATTAGAAGACATACCACCTTTAATCCACTTGATCCTTTTCCGCGGTCGCTGTTCTTGCTGTTCCGTGGGTTCTTCGGGAGCGCTATCTTCTTCATCCAGCTCCCGTTTCATTGAATCAGGAGAGTCATCACCGTACGATGAGCATAAGTCAAGCCGGTCTTCGCCGTCCTCGATAATTCTCATGAAATCGCCAGGTATAGCGGTGGCCAATTGACAGGTAGCGTCACATGGTTGGTATGTTTCAGTGCTCCATGTCTCCTCGGCATAATTCTTGGCTTCCGCCAAAGTATATCCCGTACTAAATCCCTCGTGATATGCATCTGGGAGAATCACAATCGTCTCGCCGGGGCTTTGGTCAATCAACCGAAACGGAATGCCCAGGCGCTCCAGCTTTTCGGGAAACACAAACTCGGCACGATGCCTCATGAACTGCGAGCATCTTTCGTTGCGGCCGAGCTGTTCCTCGGCAAGGCCAACTGCTGCCGAAGGTATGATTATCCAAATTTTTCGTCCTTTGTACAAATGGTTGAGAGATGATAGACGGAAATCTTCGGCATGGAGCTGGAAGGTAGCACCAAAAGCAGGCCCGGACTCGTAAACATAAGGTGTATGAATACCAGGTATGATGGCCTTGGTCAGATCGAGTTTGTCACCCTTCAATGGGTGAAGGGGGCTCTTCTCAGGCACCCCAGCTGCAAGCCTCTGTTCCGCGCTCCAAGCCGGAACATCAACTCGGTACCGCACATCACGTATTTGGCGATTCCTGCTCTTAGAAAAGATTTTTGAAAGTCGCTTCGCGGCTTCTGTGGCGTTTCCGGTGAAGTTAGATTCTTTAATATCAGATGAAGACGGAAATTTGCCTGTTGTCGGTTTAGTGTTTACTCGCCAAATGCGAGAGGGGCGGAGCAATTGCGGCGTAAACGCATTTGCGTCAACTAGTTGAGCTGGCTTTTCGGGAATTGCTTCAAGAGCACCATCTGGGAGGACAATCTTGAAGCAACCATCAAGTTCCGCGTTGTGAGCACGCGCAAATGATAAAAGAGATGGGAAATCCTCCCACTGTCTCAACGTAGGTTTGAGGCGTAGAATATCGTCGCTCCCACTATCCCGTTCAAACTCGACATTCTCTTCCCCCTCAGCCTCCTGGAACGTAAAAACGCTCTCATCAAATCTATCCGAATTGAGGGTGCTCAGGCTATCAGTCGACGGAGATTCGCTGCGATCTAGGGATGGGAGAGTCTCCTCTGACTGTGTCGCCTCTGCTTCTTGCCGGTCACTAAAGTTGGCATCTTCCTCCGAGTCCTTTTGGTCCCGGTTGTGGATGATACCAAATGAATCACTAGCTGAAAATACCTCGACACCTTCCAAGTCAATCTGTCGACGACCCTGAGAAACGACCTGCGAAGCCATTGGAGGTATTAGAGCAGGTTCAGGGGACGGAAGGATGGAGGCGGAGGTCTGCTCGTTTGGCTCGATACTTTGTGCCACTAGATTACTACTGTGACGAAAGTCGAAATGAACTGCTGTCTCCAATATTGGCGGTGGATTTTGAATCTTTTCGACGATTTCTGGACTGGGAAGAGACGCATTAATAGGGCGCCCTTGAGATATGGCGGTGCGAGTGAGCCCGTCTGAATCTAAACTCCTGGGGATCAATATGCCAAGGAACTGCTCCTTGGAGGGTATTTGAATAGTAGAAGCTGGAAGCTCTTGGAGAATCTGTGGCTGCTCGACAATCTTGGGCGATGGTAAAGCAGCTAGCGGTGATGGTGCGCTGGGTGAAAGTGTATGCGGAATTCGAGGGGGGTTTGTACCCTGGAAATGCCATGATGGCAAATGCTCCGGGTCATATTTTGATAATGTCCGTAGTTCGGGGTTTCCTGGGTCTGGTAGTTCCTGCTGCTCACTAGTGAGGTTCATCGATGATTGCTGGGTCCCTGAGTTCTGAGGCATTTCATGTTCCAAGCGATAATCCATCATCTGGGGAGAGTATATTCTTCCCACCTCCGCCTGTGGCTCTTCAGCGGTGAAGAAAACTTGCGATTCCTGCGCCATGATGGACGATGGAAATTGACGTCAAGGTGGCCTCAAATTGACAGGGCGTCCACCCACTTGGGAGTCCCCGCGCACAGTCCTCCTATGCTTAGGTCCTTGGAAGATTCGGTCCTCTCACGAAAGTACGAAACTGAGAGTTGGATTTGTGGATTGCTGATGTCAGAGCCCAGAAGTTGCGCTGATGGATAAGATGAGATAGGGTAGGGTCAGATCAGAGGGGCGAACGTGGGGTCGCAGGAGGCTGAGGATAGGCACATGCACATGATGCCAGCCGACAAAGTTGGAGCCTTTTATAGTCCCTGGGCTGCGCTGCTTCACAAAGACGACAGACCTAACGGCATTGACGGGAAGACGGTGGTGAGCGCGAGTGAAAGGGAGGAACGGCAGTGGCACAAGGGAAAAACTTGTTGACAAAGCCACACCACAACAAAGGCCACTTGATCCTAAATTTTCTGGGTCAGCGCCATTTGCTTCGGAAGCGGCGAGTCAAGCCTTGGGATAGACAGAGGGGGGTCAGAGAGGTGTGGGGAATTCGGTTGTGCTATGGCGCCGCAGCTCTGTACTTCTGAGGTCAATCTTGGGGCAGGCGGTACTTTCTCCGTCATACCCACCAGGCGGAAGGCGACGTACCTGCTTGCCTCACTCCCCAAGTACCTACCAACCACGTCGTACCGCCACATTTGGAAGCAGCCATTCACCATCAAGGACGGAAGGAGAGTGGATGTTATACTAAGGGAAGGCAAGAGAATGTGGAGGGAAATAAACCTTGCCTAAACCGGCAACTTGCCTTAGAAGGAGGAAGGTACTACCGATATGGTTGAGGCAGGTACATTGGGAGTGTACAAAATTCATTGACCATTCACTGCCTGGCTCGCGCAGTCTGTCAGTGTCTCCTAAGTACCTGCTAACTGCTACTACGTGCAGTCTCACTTGGAAACAGACAGCTAGGTAGGCGCCTGCGTGAGCGGTAGCAGGCTGGGACACCCAAATGTAGCCAAGTAGACCCTCGGACCGCCAGGTACTAAGAATGAACGAACAATGTATCTTCCTCCCCTCAGCGGACTGTCCAAACATACATCAAACAAGGAAACAAAACAAGGGACCTAGTTCAATTCACGGACTCCCTTGTTAGTAGGTACAAATTGATAAGAATAGGCACGCAGACGCTTGCTACTAAGACTTGCGATACACAAACTACTAGCGGTGGCGCGTGGCCAGGCGAGACATATGAAACATCAACGCTTGTCGGGATCGCTTTGGCCTCCTTCGCAGCCAATCCTTCTTGGGAGGTAGCTGGGTGATACGCCGTCAAGATGGCAGCCACTCAGCTTTGCATTCTGGCGGGCCGTGGTTTTAGCCGCCTAGGGGGAGATTGCTTGTGCCAGTGGAAAGCCTGCGAGGTAACACTCCCGCGGAATCCTCAATACCTCTCATTTCGCATGTAGATGTGGTATCGAATGAAGAGTATGAGCCTTTGTGAATTGTCTAAGAAAACAACAACAAGGAAATCGGACAAAGCAAGGCCTATATCCGGACACTGGCGAGATCTGAGACACCACAGATAGTAGCTTGATGAATCGAGCTAGTCTACGGCGCCGTAGAACAAAATGTGCAAATCGAGGTACCTTTACATTCAAGGTGACATCCCATAGATATTCCCGAATACACAGCTAGAACGAGAGGAGCGTAGCGTATGGCCCTACTATTCAACTTGAGACCTGTAGTTCTCGACCACATGAATTTACCGACGCCTCATGGTTATCTCATGATATCAAGGCGGGCGGCTGTAGAATGAGATGCCGCGGGTTCGGTTTGCACGATAGGATGGACTCTTTCAAACAAATTGTATGAAGTTCTTCTGCCTAGCACTATGGACTTGTCTGACGTGACATCCATAGCAGGCGATGTAATCTTGTTTGCCATTTCCGATTGGGAACTGGATAGACCAAGAGACTAGACTAAGACTATTGTAATAATATAATTGACAAATAACGCCAGCTCATATAACGCCAGCTCATGAGCACATCTCTACCCAACCAATGATGCCCGTGTACTGTACAGCCCTTCTTTGTGATGATGATAGAACAGTGGAGAGCATCCCACGAGAAAACCCTATTGTTGTTACGCTGCTGCGAAAATGCATGTTCGCCACGCCTTGAAAAAGGAACCGCCTCATCCCAGCGATATGATGATGACAAAAGAACCGGCGGTAGTTGAAATAGTGCTGATAAAACATACTCGCTGTGGGACTGAAATATACGTTTGTTGGGTACAGACCAGAGTTCCCAGACACTCCGTGTTGGTATTCGCAAGAATAGAATGAAATTATGTTTAAAAAAATGTTGAGTAATGTCCATGTGATACTCAAACTCCGGGGCAGGTAGGAAATAACGGATCATTAGGCTCATTCAACCGTGGCTATGGCCGTAGGAGACCATTGAATCTTCATGCTCCGAATTTGACGAAAGGTCATTCGCATTATTCATGGTGGGAAAATGCACTGACGGCTATTGACCGCACAGCGCATTCTATGACTTGTTATCACCAAGTGCCTCCTGGTGATACGAGATATTAGTATCCCTTCATGCCTGGATAGCCCATACCGGCCCCGCCCCTCGCTGAGTTTGGATCAACAGACTCACGAGGAGAGGTAATGGGACTATATGCTGATGAGTCGGCGCTGCCGCGAAGGCCTCCCAGACCTTGGAATGGGGGTGGAGGGGGGAATTCGCCGCGTGGACTTGAGATATGAGTTGTACTTCGGGGTGAGAAGAACCCCGAAGACTCGACTGGAGTTACGCTACCCTCGTCATCTTCTTCCAGCTCATCGGCAGGAGTTGGTCGGATTTTGACAGCCCGGAGCAACTCAACAATGGCTGCAGTCAAGTTCGAAGCCGCTGCGTCAAGCAGGGATACGGGAGAAAGGCCGGCACCGTTTGCGAAGTTCTTCGAGGCAGTGATGAGGTTGTTGGCGGTTGTTGAGACTCGTCCCTTGAGCTTTGGTTTCTGCTCAGCAAAATCGTCGCTGTTGGGTGTTGCCTGATCGATGTCTTTCGTAATGCGCCGAACATTGACCACAACCGACTTCATAGCATCGATTACCCTTTCTGGGTTGTCATTCCTCGCTCTCTGCATCAGCTCGTCGATGGATATCTGGAACTTTGTGACGTGAAGATCCTTTACCATTCCAACTTGGTCGATAAATCCCTTTTCGCGGACCATGCTGCCAGCATGGTGTTCAGGAGTAAGGCCATTCGAGGGGGCCCTCATGTCTCCGAGTTGAGTTTTGGCACGCGCATAGAGTCCCTTCCATTCTCGAACATCGTGTTCAAGCTGCTCCACCGACCTTTCAAGCTCCAATTGCTTCTCGTAGTTCGCATTGCTCTTCTCTGAAAGTATCCTCATCTCTCTCAAGAACCCTTGCGCTTCTTGTCGGACTTGTTCTGTGGTTTCTCGTAATGTGCGATTCTCCTCAAGCAGAGTGTTGTCCGCCTGGCTTGCCGTTGCATTTTGCTGCAATTCTGCAATTTGATTTCGCAAATGACTTGTTTCGTCTTCTTGATCTTCTCGCATCTTGTCTAGCTCGTATTTCATCGATTCGTTGAGATTCTGTGCCTCTGCCAACTTATTTTCCAGACCAGTTCGTAACTCATCCCATTCAGCCTTCTCGGCACTCGCGCGGGAGGCCTGAGATCGCTCTGTTTCAAGCTCGCTATCCCTCTTCTTTGCTTCTGCTTCCATATTCTCGATCTTCTCCTTGAGCTCTTGGACTTGCGTTTGGTAGTCCGCTATTAGTTTTTTGTCCGCCTAGCATTCCCCGTTAGTGTATCGGCAAGAGAAGATTAGCATTTGTTGGATACACACCTCTGAAGTCTCACTGGGTCCCTTATTCACTTGCTCTGACCCTGCAGCCTCGCCCTCATCGTCCTCTTCGACCATCGTGCTCTTATTCGGTACAATAGTGTTGTTTTGGTTCAGCTGCTTCGGCATAGGGCGTCCCATCTGGCCAGGTGGTAGAACAGGGGAAGGGGGGACGCCATAAACATCAAGCGGCGGTGGCCCTCGAATCGAGCCCGCATCTGATGGCTGTCGCATCCGGCTGAGACTCTGACCTCTAGGAGGATGCCCATAGCCGTTCGGAGGACCAACAGGAGGACTGCGCATGGACATGCCGCTGTTCCCCCGTGGAATTGCAACCCCCACAAATCTTGGAAACCTCCTTTCCAACTCATGGCATACATCTTGTATTAGGTCTCGGAACCGCGGTGGTCCAAGAGATGACAGTCGTTGTCGGGCCTGATTTCGCTTCGGGTGGAACCCTTCCTCTGGGACAAGGAAACGTGGCGGGGCATTGGGGGCGTCTGGAGGGACTCTTGCAGCGGCTTGTCGACGGGTCAATTCGTCGTAGACATCTGTACTGAGCTCGAAAAACTGGTCGAAGGAGAGTCGCAATAGCTTGTCACGGGCTTTGTTCAGGGGACCCTTGTTGTTTGGATCACGGTTCATGAGGAAGAGCTTCAGCGCACGGTAGTGCTCGCTCATGGTGGCTTCGTCTTGCAATTCATTGCGCGGTGAGTTGAGGGTGCTGTTGCGGCCACTTTCGCTTCTAGCATAGATGGCAGTGCCCATACTCGAGCGGCCAACCGATGCCGGCGGTGATGGACCCCCATTGCTGCGAGGGCCGCCAGGAGAGAAGCCGTTGATGCTCATTGCGCTGTTGGAACCCCCGGATGAAGGTGGTGAGGCCAGGTTTCCCCTGCTGTTCAGAAAGGGACGGTCGTCGTGGTATTTTGCGGTTGGCCATTCACTTCCGCCTACAGAGACAGGAGAGAGCGGTGCATTGCGGCCAGAAATGCTCATGGTCGAGGGGTGGAATATGGAGGAAGCAAGTACTTGGGCAAGGCTGGGTGACGACAATGTCTTAGACCGAGGAAGCCAAACCACAGGACCACACAGCTAGCTGCGTAAATATCCAAGGAATTGGTGGCTTCCAAAGTCTGGCCCTGCTGAAGTGCGATTTCCCCTGGGGTCTTTGCGCAAGGTGGCTGGTAGCGAGCCACAATTGTTGGGTGGCGGCGGTTATCCTCGTGCGAGTATGCGGCCTCTTCTGCTGTGGGGTCGTGGGAGGGTTGTCGCAGTGATATGAATAGCGAATGAGGTAGAAGAGGAGGACAATAGAGGGGGGAAAGAGAAACACGCCGGCGATTATCTCTGCCAAGCTGCTGATCTCATGTGCGGAGGTTTGCAGAATCTTGCACATTGGACAGAGATGATCAGAAAGGCTTCGAGAAAGTCGAATCCAGGATGGTAAGCGGCTGGACACAGGCGGCGACGGCGACGGAGACTGGGGATTAGGAAAGACATACAGCGGTGGAGCGCTGCAAGGATGGGCAAGTGCCTTAGTCGCAAGCGCCAGACAGGAAGTACGTTCTACAAAATCCATCCACCAACAGGGGAGCCGGACAGGCCAGGCGTCTGGGGGATGCTTGCAAAAGGGGGTTCGACGAATGGAACGCCGAATCAGAACGTGCGTCTGAAATGAGGTGTTACTGTTCCCCTGTGGTTCCCTAAGATGGTGGTTCATCCAGCAGCTAATGGGCATGCCCCTACCTACCTGATTGAGTATTGCATTTGATTTGCCGCAGGTGGATAAAGCGCCAGGTTACGGGTACTTCCAGCGTTGCCGAAGAGGCAAACGCCTATCAAGGGATAATGAATCTGTAATGCAAGAGAAGCTTTCACGATGGCATGGCAGAACCCTGGGCCAGAACGTGATCCAGGCCCGTCGCTGGAGAAATCCCTGATGAGATTTCCTAACCATTCTTCTCCTCTCTACCCATCCATTCTGGTGCATTTGGGTAGTATCGAGCGAACTCTGCCCCTGCCGTGGTACTTCCATCGGTGTCGAGCATACCCACCGGACCCCCAATGTCTAAGTGCTGTTCCCGCGCCGCTGGCCCCTTATGCGCCCCTAGAAGCATAACCTTAGCTTCCATCCAGAGGCATCCAATACATCATTTCATGAGTTGCGAGGTCTGCTGTGCTGGATGCCAGAGAAATGAAACGTGCACCGGCTGGCATCTGTATGCCTATTTGGGCATTTAGAGGGTACCGCTCGGTAAATGCGCATTACGCACCCAGTGCGCTCCTGCCAATCGATGCTGGGCAGGTGCATCCATCCTCCAATGCCAGAGCTCCAGGGCCCTTCTGCCCCTGATCCCCTGACTGACGCAAGCCTCCCCCAACTTACAGGCTTCCGATTCGTCTTCCATCCCTTGTGAGAGGAAGCCCTCCCACTAAAAGTCGCCGCGCTAAGGCACCATCTCATACCCACTCCTCGACGGTATCTAATTAAGCTAACTGGTTGCTTACTAGTTGAGCCTCGTTGCCAGGAAAGGGGGAGACCGTTCAAGCAGTCCCAGACCAATCTGGAGGGTGATTTGCAAGTCCCGCTATCCACTAGAAGCAGCTTCCCGAATGATTTTAACTGCGCCTCACTCCTAGTTGGTGCCTGCATATGTACGGCTTGCACATCTTCATCTATCTCAGGGGATTGTGCCCATTGGCTGATGAATCTCACGGTTCTAGGCCAGTCGAGAGGCCAGGCTGTAGAACGAGGCCAGGAGCAGTTACTAGTCCAATCATAGGAGCCATATGTTCATCATTGTTAGGCCCAACTGTTCTCGATGTGCTGTAATACCAACAAATTATACGATCGAATCTGGTGTAATAAAAAAAGGGCATGCTATATTGCACAAACCGCAACCCAAAACGCCGTCATTAAACATTCAGCTCGCTTCCAACGTAGGCCTGAACCATCTGCTTCAGAACCATGCCAGGGTCCAGGTAGCTGGTAGATTTGGCCAGCGCTCCTGCCAAGCTCCCAGAATCTCGGGTACCATCTCGTCGAAGCTGGCCCTGCTTGACGCGTTGCCGCTATCAAACGCCGCGGCGCCAACAGCATCCCGCTGTTTTCTGGCGGCGGCGTTGAGGGAGTTGGCAAGATCAAGGATGCCTTGCCCACCAACATGTGCCTCCTCATGATTGTCCTTGATATCGACATTGATTACATGCACTGGCCGGTTCAATGGTGATCCTCTACTTAATAAGTCATCAATGACCGCGTCCCAGCAACGTTCCTCACAAGTGAAGACTACGTCCACCACACCACCTTCTGTACCCTCGCTTCCACGATCTGATGCGTGTTGCAGTCGGGGAACACCAATCTGCCAGTCTTGCCATCTTTCAGGACCCCACTTTACGCCGCGATTTCTACCAAGCATGTTGAGAATACCGTTGTTCTTATATAGCCGTGGATCTTTTGCTTCAAGCTCCTTGTACATACTGTCGTATGACGTCTTATTGAATTGGTAGACGTTGGGCTGTGTGATTGTTGGACCTGGTAGGCGGACGAGCGAGCCAGTTCCGAACGAGATCACGGGATACTCTGCTTGGGACAGGCGCAAATGTGCTTCCATTGATCTGTCGCGAGTTAGTTATTGGATATGAGGCTCGGTGGAAGATTGCGACGCGTACCTGTTTTGGTTACTGGCACATACTGTGCAGAATTTTAGCTTGTAGCCTTTTCCTGTATCACTGCCATTCTGACCAGCTGCAGCGCCGTTTTCAACCTCCATCTTATCTGCGATTCGAGGAATTAATTATACCGGTTGGCGCGCGCAAATGATATATCACATACTTCTCAGGTCGATGGAAAGCTTCAAGAGTAGCAGGTTAGTGATTGGCGAGGAATCAAGAGATGAATAAAGAGAAGGGGTAAGATGTGTCCATCAGAAAATTTGCGTATTATAAAAAGTTCTCAACAGTGTTGTTCAGACAGCTCCAATAATTAAAATCATCACGAGAGGAAGAAAAGACCAAACTGAAGTTTTGCTTACCTGTTTCTGCCTCGATGAGGTTGACCAAAATTACAAGGCTTTGTGGTGAAGGTCAAACTGTGATGTGCTTTGTAGCTGACCTAAAGCTTTGACAGAAGGTTCGGAACGGGATCGGTTAATCCGGTTGATCTCACCTACCTCGCCATTCCAAAACGAGCTTGATTGCACCTCGGAACCGGCTTGACTGGCATCTAGGTAGGTACCTAGCCTTCATAAGATCTTTACTGTTGAACCACAGTATTTCATCAACAAAACTGTTTATTCTTTCGTTCAAAGGTATATTTAGCAACATTGCCTAGCACCAGGGTGGCAATTAAGCTTCGTACCAAAATTGCAAACTGAGCTCTGTGTCATCCCGAAATCTTCATCTTGGGTGATCCTTGGATTTGTCATGATATGTACAAAAGATGATGGTCACACATGGCCCTTCTTTTTCCCAGTTGAGCAGAAAATTGCCACCACTGTAGATAATTTCTCGATCGCCTAGGCAAATTTTGTGTAAGATCATAACTGGGGCGCTGATTGGCTATGAGGTGGTCGCATAGCCTGAAACAAACCACCTTTTAGGGTATCCAATTGCAAGCCTGGTTCGGAGCCACCCAGACTCCAAAAATAGACTACGTACGGGAAGTACTCTCCTAGATAATCGGTTCACCTTCGAAATGTTTGGAGAGACGGGAAAGGCTCTGATAATTGTTCGTTCTAAGCCACGATGAAGGGACTTGTTCAAACCGAGGAGTCCAGGGTCCGGCAGTGACAGCTTGGTTTCATATGGTGAAATGAGCAATTGCCAGATGAGGAACGGTATGGGCCGAGGAACCAGCTCTGAATAGGCATTCATTTTATCAAGTCCCACTTCTCCGCTCTCATAGCATAGATCCGTTAAGCGTGATGCTACTTTCTGGGTTCCATCCTGGAGTGCGCTTGTCAGACCAGCAAGCATCCGCTGTAATAAGACGACCGTCATCCCAACTGGACTGGCTGATGTGAATCCTGCCGTTGCTGTGGCACATCCCACTATGAGGCACAGAAGCATCACTGGCGGCTAAGGAAGTCGGTGTAGAAGTGATAGGGACGTAGAGTTGAGTCCACAAGCAGGCGATGTTGAAGAATAGTATGGTTCATCCCGGCGTGTAAACCCTAAGCTCAAGGTTGCGGTCACCACTGTGCATATGGAATGCTGCTTAGAATAGAGTAGGCAGGTAAGCCAGGTAGATTTTACCCGCATGAAACAGCACAAGCTCTCCGGAGACTACTGGTTCAGACGTGGCCAACCAGTGGCGCTCCACAATCGAAGTCTTTGGGCCCCCATCGGTACGGTGCTGTAGTTCCTGGTTGAACAGTAACATCTCTACCTCGTAGACAGACTGAAGCGGTACCGAGCACAGCCAATTCGCCGCGGGCTCGTGTTCAGCCAGGGTTGTGAGTCAGCTGCGGATGCTGGGCAGACAGCTGCCGCTGGGTGGGCGCATCGAGTAATAACGCACTCATATGCGAGCACCTGCTAATTACTGCTAGTAGTTGCTAATAGCTGGGTACCAACAATAGTGGCAGAGCGTGTGGTGTGTGCCTTGTCGGGTGAGAGACCTAGGGAGGAGTCGGGGTTGCAAGCGCCGCCTGTGTTACAGGTGCGCAGCCAGAGTAGCGCCAGGACGCTCGACTCTCTACTGGCTGGGGCCGTTGACCTGGACCTCGCGCTCACCTCCACCTTCGCATCAACCAACCGACCATACTTGACTTCGCTTCGCTCTCATTCTCTCGAGGCAACCGACACACTGGTGCAGCTGGCCTTCTTTCTGCATCCTGCGAGCTGCCCTCACTTGCCCTCAATTTCTACCTGTTGCTGGCGTCCAACTACACACATTTTGCTTACCGATCCTGCGAGCCGCCCTCTGCGACCGCCTTCTTTGACCCGATTCGCCTCGACCGATTCTTACCATTGAGCGGCACCACCCACCACCCGCTGGCCACCACCTCGTCTTCCTCGTCAGCTTGGAACCGCAGTCGTATCTATACTGTTTAATATTCCATATCGATGACTGGCTGCCTTGATCTCGACCTGCCCTCATCTCGATTTGTTCCTGCCGTTACCCCACGCCCACGATTTGACAGCGCTCCCACTTACTAGGGCTAAGGCGAGCTTTGCGAACCAACCACTGCCTGTGCATCCTTAAGCAAGACGTCGACAATAAGGTTCCTTCCTTGGCTAGACCACCACATTATACTAGCCGCAAGGTTGCTCTGCGCCGCAGTCACCGGGCGCCCAGCATCATTACCAGAGTCTGTTAGCGCCAGATCGCATGGGTCTGGAGCTTCGCGGGACACTTCATCGATTAGACTTAATGACGGCAACCGTAGCAATGTCGGCCACCTCATCTCCAGCAACATCCCCGCTCGTTGTCCCACATCCTCCTTCGAAGCGGGATTCTTTGGGTGCGCAGCTAGAAAAACGACCACGACCCATGTCGCATGCCTCGAGAAGCCGGCTTTCTCAGTATTCAGTCGTGTCGATACCTACGAGGTCACGGCCCGAATCCCATGTGTTCCCCGCGTTTCCTTCAAGCCTATCGTATACGTTGGTTAGGGACTTCGCATATCCTGCTCTGCACCCCCTGCACTATGGTCCTCCTCCCGAGCCGTCTGGCCCTCCATCAGGGCTTACAACTCCCGTTAGCGAGCATAGGAGACTATCAGACCCTCCTGTTTCGTGGGATCAAAAGGTGCCCTGGGATTCATGGCCTGCTGATGGATTCAATCGAGGACATGACATCCCGCCGATCCAATTTAGGGATGGAGATGGACCACCGTATAGCGAGGATGAGGACCTCCAAAGTCCCGTTGTTTCCACGCGCCACCGCAAGCATAAATCTACATCCGCTGCATTGCTAAAGGCACACCACGATCATTACCCGGCCAATTACGACCATGAGAGGGGTTACTATGTTGGAAGGGGAGGGGATGGAAGCGAGCGATACTACGTTAGCCATGACGGTGAGGCGAATGGGCCAGGAGGTGAATATGTGACGTACCCTCCTGGCGAGGCACGTCGTAGCCGGGCATATCATTTTTCTCAACAACCTCGGATGGATGATGATGATGGGTTGGAATATGACTCAAGCCCAGTGTCCTCCGGCTTCCGTGGAGAGGACCAGTCCAGATATTCCCGGGATTATCAATTCACCATCACATCTCCGGATGAGGAATTCCACGGCAAGGCTGTCGCGCTATTCGATTTCGAAAGAGAGAACGAAAACGAGCTCCCCCTTATCGAAGGTCAAATTATCTGGGTTTCCTACAGGCATGGCCAAGGATGGCTTGTAGCGGAGGACCCTAAGACCCAGGAAAGCGGCCTTGTTCCTGAGGCGTATGTGCGGCTTTTGCGAGATATTGAAGGTGGAATGAATAGCTTGACCGGACAACTGGGCGACGGGCCCGGCTCTCCTCATGATGCAGGGACGCCTACCCAGGCCGAACCCAACAATCAATTCAACCAAATTCCAAGCTCTGGTAATGGGACAAATGGCTACCACCAACCTGTGGTGTCTGTATTCTCGACATCAAGCAAAGACCTGAACCCCTATCCCACGGAACAACTCGGCCTACACACGGGGCAGGTACCTCCTCAGGTGGTCCATTATCACGGACAGAGAGGGGGTAGCCAGGCAAACACGCCTACCCTCACCCAGTCCCAGGATGGTCTTGGGGGGCGAGAAGTAGGGTCTAAGGCTGATGACCCTGATTCTAGCCAAAGCCAAGAACAAAGGCAATCAAAGCCGGAGCAAACTGAGGACGCAGGTGCTACCGCTATGAACGAGCGGTGAAGAATGAAAATATTGTAAGAGTGGAAAATCCTGCGTCTTTTTGGCGTAAAGCCGAAGTATCAGCTTAAATTGCTGCTGATTTACTGTATAATACGAGAACCGAGTCGAGGTTCACCAAGGGCGACACTTATGATGTCTCACTTAATTATCTTATCGAATCTAGGTATACGGCCGATGCAAGAATAAGTTACTCTGCATAAATCGAGGGTCCCATGCTGAGGCGAAGACACCCATCTGGCGGAGTGTCACAGCTATCTGCATGCATGGAGGATACTTCTTTTTCTATGAGGACGAACAAATAGCATGACCAGTCAGGAATGGGTACCGTGACGGGTTACCATGGAAATATGGAACCAGCGTCGATGAATCATGGGTCTTGCTGGAACCTCATTATATTTCCAGAGATGCCTGTTTTGGATGTCCCAGTACAGTCTTGAATTGCATTTGGGGCGTACTGAGCGGGCATATAGTTATGATGGGAGCGAAATTTGCTCAACTACCTATGCATACAGGCAAATCAATGGCGTGGTACTTCCACATAATAAGGCGATATTTGCTTGGAAACAAAATGCATAGGTGCTCCGCGATCTGCTTGGATGTATGAATTGGTATTTGGTCTTGGAAGTTTTAGATGGTGGGATAGAGCCAAGTGCCTGCTTGAATTGGGAACAGACTGAGCGTCACAATATATTCCTGCATCCATATTATGTCTAATGACATGCCTTGACCATGCATCTTGTTGTAATTATTAAACAATAGCTGAAACCTGGGTGTCGACAGTAGGATTCGGCAATACGGATATGTAGGTTGACAGAGGCCAAGATGCTCTCAAGTCAATGATGTCAACTGAACTAAAGACATTGATTATATACCCGCATGGCTTATTCCCCCAGAGAAGAGCCACCAGGCAGTTCAATCCTTTGATGCTAATCATCCTCATTGTTTAGAAGATGGCAACCGATAGCTTGTTGATGGTGTTGATAGTGCAATTCGTAGGCCAGAGAGCGCGACAGGGCACGTGATCTGTACGTCATCTATCCAGATTCTCCGATTGGTAATAATTCTCCAGGTAGGTCCGAGCTCTTCCGTTCTCCCCACGGCCGTAACTACGACCCGACCCCTTCTGGTTCTTGTTTTATAATAGCCGAAGCATTTCTACGCCTAGTCGTTGTCGATTGATTCAATTCCGCGAGAAATAGACCAAAATGCTTTCTAGATCTGCATTCCGTGCGGTTCAGCCGCTGAAGATTGTGAGACTTTCCTTGTGCAGAGCTTCCTAGCCAATCATTTTGCGTTGCGCTCCCGCGAAGGTTAGCCGGCGCCCAGTTACTGACAATTGGTAGCATGCTCGTCGATATGCGACCGAATCGGCTGCCAAGGGCGGATCCAACGCCGTCGTATATGGCGCTGGAGCTGCCGTGGTTGGAGGTGCCGGCTACTGGTATCTCAATGGGCAGAAGGCTACCCCCAAGATCGCAGAGGTCGCCAAGCCCGCTTTCACCGGCGGCGACCAGGGCTTCCTCTCCCTCAAGGTCACTGAAATCGAGAACCTGAACCACAACACCAAGCGCCTCCGTTTCGAGCTTCCTGAGGCCGACCAGGTCTCCGGCCTAACCGTTGCCAGCGCCGTCCTGACCAAGTTCAAGGGACCCAACGACGAAAAGCCGACACTTCGACCATACACTCCCATCAGCGATGAAGGTTGGTTCTTGGGTTCAGGAGTCAAGGCATTGACATTAGAGTCGAGATAGCAGGCTGACAGACTCTATAGACGCCAAGGGACATCTTGACCTTCTTGTCAAGAAGTACCCCGACGGCCCTATGAGCACCCACATCCACAACCTCGAGGTTGGCCAGGAGCTCAACATCAAGGGCCCGCTCCCCAAGTATCCCTGGACCGAGAACAAGCACACCCACATCGGTCTCATTGCCGGTGGTACCGGAATCACCCCCGTGTTCCAGCTCGCCCGTGCCATCTTCAAGAACCCCAACGACAAGACCAAGGTCACCCTCATCTTCGGCAACGTCACGGAGGAGGATATCCTGCTGAAGAAGGAGCTCTCCGAGCTTGAGAACACCTACCCCCAGCGCTTCCGTGCTTTCTACGTCCTGGACAAGCCCCCCAAGGACTGGAGCGGCAACAGCGGCTTCATCACCCAGGAGCTTCTCAAGACAGTCCTCCCCGAGCCCAAGGAGGAGAACATCAAGCTCTTCGTGTGCGGCCCCCCCGGACTGATGAAGGCAATCTCTGGCAACAAGGTCAGCCCCAAGGACCAGGGTGAGCTCACTGGCGCTCTCAAGGAGCTTGGCTACAGCCAGGAGCAGGTTTACAAGTTTTAAGCGTTGCCTGTATTGCAAAGTAGATGGCAGTGTGTAAAGAGGTTCCGTGTACGTATAGATCAGATAGACATCCAGCTCATGGTTATGTCCAGTGGGCTTTTATCTTGATTGTGGGATAAAAGAGATCCTAACGACTTCCTAAAGAAATGAATCATGACCAATGGCAAATAGTGATGCCCTATACGGTTCATACAGCTCCAAATCGGAATCACCAGTAAAAAAGGTGGCAGTGACCTGCATGGCCCAGCATGGGTGATCGCCAACTTAGAGTTGTGAATACGATGGCCCGTGCATAAATAACTGTCCAATGAGGCATTTCCAAGTCGGAATCCCCATCGCCGCCCCAAGCGCAGCAACGAACGCTAGGCGTAAAGCAATTCGGATTGGTGCTGGCATGGCTGGTTGTCTCGGCCGGTGCGGAGCGAACCCCGCTTGACGCTTGGTGGTGGGATGGTTGCTGCACCTTGGATAAACAGCACCCACCGACCGATGAGATTGAATGTGACTTTAGCCATTGGCGATAAAGATAAGAAATACGCAGGTTTCTCGTGAAATGGATTGTCGACGAGGACCAAATTTGTTTACCTACTTTCCCCTCGATCGCGCCTTGACCCTCTCTACCTAGACAGAAGCAGCCCGCTTCCGATGGTCAGTCAGCACTGATTATCCGGATCATCAGACAGCTTGACCAAAGTGCAATTGCATGCTCCTGATTAGATTAGGCAGTTCATGCAGGGGTGCTCACACGAATGAATTCTAGTGCTTTCTGACATGTCCATGTATGTAGGTAGAGCACATATGTGAGAGTATGAATGCATATATGTATCAAGGTGGATTGGCCAGACCCACCAAGCTTTGGAGGGAGACTTTCTTGAAGCTTCTGATTCCGTCTCGGCTTTGCCGTTTCATCTCATCAGACAACATCCCCCATCATTTATTTAGCTCTCGTCTTTTGCTGCCAGCGAGGAACTGCCGCATGCTATTTTTCGAAGACAGCATCGCTGCTACCATTTGAGAGCCACATCTCAGAGATATCCCACTGCACAGGCCAGACCCAACATGCGCCATGGCCAGCCATGGCTGGGACGACCTCCCACAGGAGATAATGATGCAGATACTGGGCTGTGAGTAGCCCTGCGCAGCGCAAAGGGCGCACATTCTGACAACACACATCGTCTAGATCTGGACCCTTGTGACATTTCACCGCTGCTGCTTGTATCCAAAGGCGTACAGAAGCTGTGCCTTGACGACGAGCTATGGAAGCAACACTCCTTCCACCAGTCGCCGTGGTACCAGGCCCTGATCACACGGCGATATTCCCGCCCAGAGCCCCTCATCTTCAGAGCAGCGAACGCAAATGCGGACGAGGATGAGCCGGATCAGAGTTCCCCGGTGGCCGATGAGGACGACGAGGCCAAGGCGCAGCACCAGAGACGCCATCGCATCCAGGACATGGCCAACTGGGACCCCGCATTTCCCGAGGAGCGCGTGTCATGGTACGACGAGTACATGCAGCGCTCAGGGCCGGCCAGCATTAACTGGATGCAGACCCCAAAGGTCACCCAGGGCGGCATCGAGGCAATCATCGAGTCGCATGGCCTTGCTCTGTACAACCCTTATAACGGGGACGACAGCCTCGGGACCATGCTCGCCGTCAGCCCGTTGGAGGATGGGTCAGTCTGTCTGTGGGACGTGAAGGGCTCGAGGGGCAAGCAAGGCAGCATCGTGGCGAAGAGCAAGACGGATATTCTGTTCCAGGACGCGATGAACGATTGCCCGAAGAAACGGTCCAAGATGATTGACTCAAGCATCTCGGATCGAATTACCATCGACAACACTGGGCATAGAGCCTTCGTTGCAGTACAGAGCCGTAAGTATCGTTCCTTAGCCAGGGAGCGTCCCTGTTGTTTCTTTCTCTCTCTGGATCGCAGCTAATTGAAGAGATAGAGCTTATTGAGATAGATCTCAACAGACTAGATGTTGTGAGCCGAGAGTCCTTTGAATGGAGCATCATGACCCTCTCCGCAGTCCACGCTGGCGTGCCATTGACTGTGGGGACATCGCTTGGCATCCATCTCCATGATTTCCGTTCCAGGGCTCGCGTCCACCACGATGTTGTCGAGCGGGTAGACCGGGATCCGCTGGCGGACACGAATGCTTTCAAAGGCATCTTTGACCAGACGCCCCTACCTCCCTACGCATCGCTGTCCCAGGCTACACCTACCAGCATTCTACACTTGCCACGACAAGGCGCACCTGACCTCGCCTCGGATGACATTTACGTGTCCGGGCGGTTCTCAAACATTCTCCATTACGATCGTCGCAAGTTTCCCGTCATTTGCGGGACCATCTATTCCGGGGCATTGATCAACGGTCTAACCGCCTTGCCTTACCCTTTTTCCAAGGCGGACTACGAGAGAAGGCAGCAGGGCGAGCTCAGCCTGGAGCAGATGGGGCACAGCAAGACACAGGGTGGACAGACGCTCATCGCGGGCGGTGCGTACAGTCTGAAGGGGTCACTCGAGCTGTATGGGCTGAGCCCGGACTCGATGGATAGGATGACGATGCAGGGCGCGTGGAAGAACCGGTACACGGCGGCGTCGTCCACGATCCTCTCGGTGGCCAACCACGGGACCAAGATTGTGTTCTCGGACGGCTCGGGCCTGCTCAAGTGGTTCGAGCGAGACGGCACGACGGAGTGCCGACGCCTGAGGATCGGGCACAGCAGGACGGGGGCCGAGGGCTCCATGTTCGAGTCGATGCCCGGGACGGACGACGTCGCGCGCAAGATCCTGTCGACGCAGTCCAGGTCGGGCGAGGGAGACCGGCCGAACAACGACAACATCCTGTTCTGGACGGGGGAGAGGCTGGGGATGGCGAGCTTCGCCGCGTCGCCGCTGTTCGTCGAGAAGGATTTCGACATGGACGACCCGGAGAAGTCGGCGGAGGAGGAGGCGAGGCAGGAGTACGCGAGCCAGATGCGAAAGGCGCTGCAGCATTCGGCCGACGAGGTCAGATTCATGGGAAACCTCGGTCTTCGGTAGGCTTGCGCGTATGGAAGAGTGAGGTGTCAGGTGGATTGCTGGCACTCTGAGAGGCATGTTAGGGTTTGATAGACAGATCAGCTGGATTGGCACCCAGGTAGGCAAGCAGGGTAGGGCGGTAACAGCGCTGTTTGGTTTTATTTGACTTGGTACGATTTCACCCGAGTAGCGAATTACATTATAGCTATGACTAGTAATAGTATCTACACTTGATCTTCATGGCGGGTGATAAGATGGGCGGATGCGCCGTGTGCGCGTGTGTGTATATGACTGGACTGTGTGCGTGTGTGTGTGAGTTGGCGTTGATCCTAATGGCCATAAATAAATAAAAAATCCAAAACATGGGCTGGGGATCGATGGCCATGCAGTGGAGGGGCAACATTGTGAGGCGGCCAATGGGCGCGCGAGCTGCACCGCTGATGGCCAATCGAGGGCAGACTGGATTATGGATGGCCACGACTGTCTCCAACGCTTCCCAACTGGGCGCACGCTGCAGGAGCAATTGGCGTGTCTGGCTCTGCACGGCCCGCACCTGTTGATGCAGCCCGTCCATGTCTGATACGACGCGGCGCTGGTCGGTGGTAGAGACGAACTCGATTGGCGCTCCGGGATGGGACAGATCTAGTCCCGCCTCACCTCAGTCTGATTGCCACCACGACGACAACCTCTAGGTCCCTTCCCCAGCCCTGTCTCGCGCTTGGTGGTGGGACCCCGAAGCAAGCATGAATAAATCGAGCCCGGGGCATCCCTTCTGAGCGCGATTGCCATGCTGGATGCGGAGCCTGTGCATGCTCGATCCAGAAACCCGCCCGCACCAGTGTTGAGCTAAAGTCAGCCATGCCGTGGCATCGGCTGCAGCTTGTCTGTGTGTGGTGTGGGCTCCGCCAAGAGTTGATGATGCATGCGGGCTCCTCGCGAGCCTCGATATGGCCCAGCCCGCCTCCCTTGGGCTGCCCTGGCACCTGGTTCTTCACCGCTGGTGGGGGGACGCCCGCGACTAACGCATGCCAGATCAACTCGCAGCGTACAACTGGGAGCGGACGGCATCCGCCTGCTGTGCTGGGTGGTGGGTGTCGTGTTGTGTCACTGCCCAGATCGCCGCTTAGGCTCGGTGTTATTTGATTTGATAACATCGCCCATCAAATAGGGGCTGCTGTACGCTCGCTGCGCTGCACTGCGAGGCGCTCCACTACCTCACATACGGCCGCTACAACATGATGGAGGTGGTGAGGCGAAGGCCTACCGTATATTCCCACTCTACATCCAGGTCTCCTCCTGCTCCAATTCTATCTACCAATTAGTTGGCGGCGGGTACAATAACGAGGTACCTTCGTGGATGGCAAGGTCTCCCCAGCGTGCCACCACTGATTTGGCGAGGGCGACAATCATCTCATTCTGGCTCCCGCTCGCTTGCTCACCCTCTGTCCCCATCCCTTCCTTAAGCCGGCCTCCCTTCTCCCAACTATCTGCAATCTATTAAACTTCGTTGCAGCCGCCGAGGTGGAATCTCATTTTTTTCCAATTCTGGTCTTTCGGCTTACCTCTTTCGCCTGTCTGCCCGTTTGCTGCTCTCTGCCCTGGGCCAGACTCCTCCTTGCCCTCTCTTTTTCCATGGCCCCGACATCTGTGTCCTGGGCCATGGCACACTGGTGTTTTCTTTTAAACTCCATCTCGGTTTAGGCCCGAGCTTTCTTGTTTTATTCATTTACTTGCATTTTTCCTTTGCAACACTTACGTTCTTCGCATCGGCATACGGGGAAATTGCATTGCATTCATGGTCTTTTCCTTTCTCGCATCATCGGTGGCTCCAGCTCACTCCCCGACATCTTCACCGCCCACAGAGCAAATCAGCCACCTCCTAGCTCCCATCACAATCTTACTTATCTCCCCCTCAAATTTCTCCCAAACGACTCTCTAGAAAGTGCTTGGAATATTGCTCACGTTGACGCCCATCGAGCATGTCCCATGGCCGAGAGGGTCATGGGCAGTGAGAGTCGCCCTATTGCTCCCGAGCAGGGGTATTTCGTTCCCGGCGCCAAGCTGAAGCGTCGGATCAGCTATTATGACGAAGTCACAGAGTATGACCTTGACGGTGCTCATGAGTTGGGCAAGAGGGCAAAGGTAGAGGAGGATTGGGGATGCATCGTCGACCGCCATTATGAGCAACCCCGCAACCACATTCGTTGGCGATCCCCTCCTCCTCACCACCACGCACATGGGTCACATCCCCACCATCAACATCTGGTTGAGTCATATCACCATCGTTCGTTGCGACAATGGCGAGCGAGCCTAGAGTCAGACATCGGTCGTCCAGCCTCACCGACGCCGGCCCAACGAGATCAGAACCTTGCGTTCTTTGTTCTCCGAGAAGGAACCCCAAACCAAGACCCCTGTTCGGGCTATCCGTCACCCAGCTCTACATCGGCTTGTGCCATGGAGCGAACTCAGTCTGGAGTTTCCATATCGTCCGACGCATCAGATCTACAAGACTGTCAGCCGAGTTACAGCGATCATGACGCCGCTGAGCTGGTCCGCGCGCATGTTGCCTCGTATCGCCACAACACCCAATCCGAACGCATCCTCAAATCTCTTATCAACCCCAAGGCTCGTGGCTACGAGTTCCCCTTGGATAATGATGCTCTCCGAAGCATCTTCTCTGCAGCCAATGAGCTGTTCTTTGCCAACCGCCTCTTCCGTCGTGTAGCTTGGGACTGGAGCCACAAGTCTAGCTCTCAATATTCCCACCACGTTGTTGGCACCACGGCACTTAGGAGGTCGGTGGAACTGGGGGGCTATGAGACCCTCATCGTTCTGAGCTCACCGATCCTCAAAGACACCAAATATAATCGCCGCCTTCTCATCTCGACCTTCCTACACGAGATGATCCACAGCTTCCTGTTTATAACCTGCGGCTTGAAGGCCCGCGAGGACGGCGGACACACTCCAGGATTCCACAAGATTGCCCAGATAATCGACAACTGGGTCGGGAAGGAATACCTCCGCCTCAGCGACATGGAGGCGGACCTGGAGCACTTCCACGTCCGCGGCCACTGCCAGGAGCATACGGCGCGATGGCAGCGGCCTTGCACGAATGATGAATACGTTGCGCCCCGGGCGCGGAGCCGGTTCGTCAGACACGAAGAGTGGCAGTGGCATGACCAAGAGGGCTTCCGAACCAGCTCTACCGCCACAAGCCCTTCGCGTTGAATATACGTTTTGTACCTTCTTTCCATATCCTCTGGTAGCCGGACAACCAGGGCGGAAAGAGAAACTTATGAAATGGATTGTGCAGCATATTTGTTTTCCTTGCGTGCTTTTTTCTTTTGTTTTAATTTTCTTTTTTTTCAGGATGGGATTTTGGGATATGAACTTGGCGGACAAATTATCATGATATCAAACCAGCATGGCATAACGGAGTTTAACTAGAGCAAATTTCATTTTTGAATGGGGACGGTCGAATACCAGAAATTTGCCCTTGACGAGAAACATGAAACATAACTTAGATAGATTCAACTCAAAAAATAATTAATATATTAGGTACACCTACCCAACTGATAAGAAAGTAAAAATTTACCTCGGTGTATATCCTCCTCAATATCAATAAGAACAGATTCGTCACCCCATTTTATTTCTTCGTTTATTCCTCTAATAAGGCAGAGAGAGCTTGTTTCCAAAGAATAAAGAAAAGCGAACAACGCCATGAGAATGCGTACCGATGCGTATGCAGAAAAAAACAGAAAATATGCAAAATATGAAGTCCTAACTCGGGTATAAGTTCTCAACTTGGTGCACATAATGTCGTCATGTCTAGACGTCTTTGCATCGTTAACTCTACGTCTATTCCCCTTCCACTTGGAAAGGGGGTTAGGGGGGATACGGCGTTCAATCTGATTAATCCCTAGCTCGGACAGTCTCGACAGCGTTGTAGCTCTTCCCCTGGTCACGGGAATTGCCCAGCAAGGGCGAGTTGACGTCCTCGTCCTCGTCGCTGCTGAGGAGGGTGTCTTCGGAGTCGTCGTTGTCTTCAGCCTCGCTAAGCTCGGGTGTGGCGGTCGGGCCGTCGCCTTCCTGGATCATGAAGACGGGGATGGCGCCCAGGGCGGCGAAGAAGGCGAGGAAGGCGAAGGGGGCGACGATGTAGCCGTGCTCGGCGCCCCATGTGAAGGTCAGGCCGGTGAGGGCGGGGCCGGCGGCTCGGCCGAGGCCGCTGAAGGTGGTGGCGAAGCCGTTGAGGGTGCCGAGGATGCTGAGGGAGGTGGCGGAGTTGGTGAGGAGGATCGTGGTCGAGGGGAAGGCGATGATGATGCCGAAGGCCTTGATTGTCATCAGGATGGCGAGCGCGGTGTATCGGGCGGTTGTGCCCTCGATCAGGCCACAGTAGGGTGTGAAGAAGTAGGTGAATGGTAGGATGATTGCTAGATGCTGAGTGTTAGAAGGAGGGGATCATGGTATACAGTGTGTTAGGGTTGGTGCTTACAGCAGACTTTGAAACAGTTGAGAACGCCGTATCTGGTTACGAGAGGGGAGTAGATGAGGAACTGGATGAGACCACATGCAACGCCATACAACGATACGATGGTACCGATAGCGCCGATATCGAGACCGAAACCCCCGTTGAAGTAAAAAGGCATGTGGGTGTTATCTCCAGTATGCTTTTGTCGTGGGTGGTTCAGGTACACGGGGATATTCTGGTCATATGCAACTGAGTGGAAGGCCAGGAAGGTGTAGGCGACGAGGTTAATGGTGGACTGGCGCGTAAAGACGTCTCTGAGGCCGGCAGAGCGCGGCTTAGCTGCGGAATGCTTGACGTTTACCTTGCCAGGGACGAGAGGAGCTGTAGCCTCGCCATCGACAAAGGAAGCGCGTCGCTGTGCGGAACTAGGGTTCCTGCTCAGAGCTCGCCGAATCCGGACGCCCATCTGGAGACCCCAATCCTTCTCTCCTCTCTTCGATACCAGAGTTTCCTTCAGGAAGAAAATCGCACTAGTCATAGAGACGAGGAAGAATATTGAGCCCACCAGGTTGGGCAGAAGGTAGGGGAACTTCTTGAAGAGCTCAATGTTGCCAAAGATATCGGGATACTGCTTGGCGGGCTGGGCGAAGAATCCTCCGAAGCTGGGGCCTACAACAGATCCAATCGACCAGACCAGCGGCATGATGGAGAAGGCCTTTGGCTGCAGTACCCTCTCCGTGACCATCTCTGCTACCATGGTTCGAATGATGCCAACTATAAGTCATGTTATATTAGCACCGGTATCCCATAACTTGGGGTGTAAAGACTCACCATTGCCGTTGCCGGCTCCTTGTATCGCACGCACGGTAATCGCCATCGGTAACGACGTTGACATGCCCCAGATGAGAAAAGTCACCATGGTGCTCATGAGCCCGCAGATGAGCACCGGCTTTCTACCAAATCGATCGGATGCCTTGCCCCATGGTACGGCGGTGATACTTTGGGCAATAGAAAAGACGGCTGATGTGAGGCCTGCCCACCGCGCCACCTTGTTCTGTTCAACTCCAAAGTCGCGGATCATCGCTGGTAGGTACGGGAAGACCGATGTGTAGGCAATCGGTTCGGCAAAGCGTGCCACAGCTGCGTAGAAGTGTCAGTCATCATCTGGATGAAGTTGCCGTGTGGAAGGGGTCCGTCTGGCGAGGAAGTCCAAGAGGTGGGCCGCAGGTTGATCACTCGGTAGGTGACGATCTTGTATTGTTGAATGTTCTGCTATGAATGAAATCTAGGCTTCATTCAACCTAGCCACACAGAGGATTGTTGTGGTGAAAGGACACAAAGGCAAAATCGCAATCATACATCTGAATCTTCATCGCAGCTGTGATTCATAAAACCGTGTCGCCACCGCCATAGCGACTGGGATGAAAACTTTTCTTTTGCTCTAGTAGATGGGTGTTGACAGGTAGATTAAGACGAAAGAAGCTCACCTAAAATCGAGAGCTGCTCTATAGGCAGCCTCGGCTTGGTACGTGAACCCGTCATGACGGCGGCTATGGAGAGATACGAGTGGGAGAGGCAAAGGAGGCCGTTGAGCCAACTTGGATCATCAATGGGAGAACAAAAATTATTCACTTGGCGCAAGACGGAGGCAGTGGGGCCGGTTTATATGCTCCGGCTACTACCCCGCGGTCAAGAGACAATGCAATGCAAGCGTATGAAGGATCTGATCTCTCCTGGATTGAGGTGGGCACAAGCAAGGGGACACAAACACGAGGCTGGGCGGTAGGGGAGAGGAAGAGGAAGGAAACAAACATGCAGCTATTCGAGGACGTCACGGGCAGCGAAAAGAGGGTGCATGCCGGTGACTGGTCGCCCGCTTCCGCGGCCGAGTAATCAAGTCTAGTTGAAATTTTGCTTGCAAGATGAACCGCTAGGATGTACTCCGCATGTATCAACTGCGTCCACAACCCATGCGGATGCATGCAGACGGGGCTTTGAGGTTCTCACGGCCCACTTATACACCCTCACGTGCAGGCAATCCTGGGCCTGAGTGTCTTAGGTGTGCACCGGTATTTCTCAATTCTGCCTTCCCTCGAGCGGGGAGAGGGACGTTTGTGCAACCAGTGTACGACCTGGCGGGCAGCGGCCTATGAGGCACCTTGCTCGGCTCACCTCTCCTGGCCGTGGAGGGCACCCATGATGGCTCCCTGTGAGAGCCTGCTGCAGCCGGTGGGAGTCATTGCAGACGCCGGGGGGCAAGGAGGCAATGAAATACCTGCCTGTACCTTGCTAGTACCGCTAGACTCCGTCTTGCTCCCTTGCCGTGTGCCGGTTGATCGCCAGCCCGTGGGTAAGAATTTGGCTGCTGGAGGCTGGCTGAAGCGAAGGCTGGGGAGCCCGAAAAGAACTTTGCGAGCGTCATATTGGTCAGCATTTAGATTTCTCGATCAAATGACGCGATCAACCCATGCCTCCGACAGCGGAGATGGCCTACGGGCCGGGTTTTGAGACACTCGTCCATGCAGCGCACAGGCAAACGTGACCACTGCCCACCGCCTTCTCGGTGTGTAAGACCAATGGCTAGCATATGCATATACTTAGCTGCTTGAGAGCGCTTGGCCCAAGCTCCAACTCTCCCATCATCGTCACCTGCATTCTAGCCCGAGATGACATAGCTGGCTGGAGGAATTGTCCGAGCCAGCAATCCAAGAGTCTACGTATCTACCCTACGTCGATTTTGCAGATCTAAATCTGGAATGTAAGGTCCATCGTAAATCATCATTCGTGGGGAAGATGTCGAGCTCCTTATGGGCCTGGCGATGGTGTGCTCTGTAGGCCTGTTTCGCCATAGAATCCCGTTCGTGTTACCCACATTTCTCCTTCTCCAAGAAGATAAGAAGACCGTCGCTCGTCTTGATTGTCAATTGACGACCGTTTCGTGTCAATATATGCTTCCCATCGCATGTCGCCCCGTCTGCGATTAACCTAAGTTGTCAGCTTTCTGGGTACTCCTGCTCGAGCCAGCACAATTACATCACCATGGGCCAGCCGTAAGTGGCTACCTCCATTCCCCTCTCCCCATCCCCCCATCTCAGTCTCAGCCAGCGCTACTCTTGGTTGCATCTCGTGCCTCACATGATGAATCGCGATTGGTGTGCCTGGACGTGATATCTGCGAACGCGCGCTTACCACACTTCCCCTCTAGGTATGCCGTTCAGGCCGACGACAAATTGGCCCGCGAGAGCCAGTTGCGACCTCGTTGGAAACGGTCTCCCCGAGGCACTTACCGACGCTTCCTTACCATCGGCGGTGCCTGTTTGCTTCTCACCGGAGTCGCCAACCTTGTGTCGCACAGCTTCTCTGGCCTCACCGGGCACCACTGCAACCGTGATGGCCGCTTCTCCCAATCGCGCGGTCAGAACGGGCAGAGTTTGAGCTACCAGGAGCTCGAGTCGATATTCCTCGAGACACCATCCTCCGAGCTTGCCGAGAAGTGGCTATACTACTATACGTCAGGGCCTCACTTGGCCGGGAAGAATCTAAGTCAGGCCGAATGGACAAGGGACAGATGGGAGGAATGGGGCGTTAGCTCTGAGATTGTCTCCTACGACACTTACATCAATTACCCCGTCGACCATAGCCTCAGCCTGCTGCGCGAGGTCGGCGGCGATGGAAATACCAAGACCTGGGAGGTTGCCTTCAAGGCGTCCTTGGAGGAGGATGTATTGGAAGATGACCCGACAACAGCTCTTGAGGACCGTATCCCCACGTTCCATGGTTACTCTGCCAGCGGCAATGTTACTGCGTCCTTCGTTTACGTCAACTATGGCACATACCAGGATTACCAAGATCTAGTCGATGCCGGGATTCAGCTCGAGGGGAAAATTGCCATTGCAAAGTACGGCGGGATCTTCCGAGGCCTTAAGGTCAAGCGTGCTCAGGAACTGGGTGTAATTGGTGTGCTGATCTACAGCGACCCTGGCGACGATGGCGAGTACACCATCGCCAATGGCTATGACAGCTATCCCAAAGGACCTGCGCGCCACCCCAACAGTGTGCAGCGTGGCAGCGTCGAGTTCTTGAGCGTGTCTCCTGGTGACCCGTAAGTTCCTATTCATGCACATGCTAACGCCAGACATTGATGAAACTAACATCCATTAGGACCACCCCAGGATGGCCTTCGAAGCCTGGTGCACCCCGGGCGCCGCCGCACAATGCCATCCCAAGCATCCCCAGTATTCCTATTTCCTATACGGATGCCCTGCCCATCCTCAAGGCGCTGAATGGCCACGGGCCCAAGGGCACTGATCTGAACAAGTACTGGGGTATCAATAACGGCCTGGGCTATGCAGGAGTCGAATATTTCGTTGGTCCTTCTCCCGACGACGTTGTTCTCAACCTTTATAATGACCAAGAATATGTTACCACACCACTGTGGAACGTCATTGGAATTGTCAACGGCACTATCCCGAATGAGGTTATCATCGTTGGAAACCATCGAGATGCTTGGATCGCGGGAGGAGCTTCCGACCCCAACAGCGGCTCCGCCGTCATCAATGAAGTAATTCGAGGTGTTGGCAAGGCGCTTGAGGCAGGCTGGAAGCCGCTCCGAACTATCGTCTTCGCCAGCTGGGATGGTGAAGAGTACGGTCTCATTGGTAGCACCGAATGGGTGGAGGAGTACCTGCCCTGGATCCAGGATGCGAACGTTGCATACATCAACTTGGATGTTGCTGTATCTGGAGACGTGTTCCATGGTGGCGCGACACCAACCCTCCACAAGCTTCTCCGAGATAGCGTAGGCAAGGTCCTGTCACCCAACCAGACCATCGAAGGCCAGACGATCGGTGATCTTTGGGATGGTGTTATCCCACCACTGGGTAGTGGCAGCGATTTCACCGCGTTCCAGGACTACGCCGGTGTCCCCGCTCTCGACATCGGCTTCAAGGCAAACCCCAAGAGCCCAGTTTACCATTACCACAGCAACTACGACAGCTTCCACTGGATGTCCATTCTCGGTGACCCGGGCTTCAAATATCACAAGGCGGCGTCGCAGCTTTTGGGTCTGATCGTTGCAAACCTTGTCGACAGTATTGTCATTCCCCTCCAAGCCACGGCGTACGCAGACGCTCTGGACAAGTACCTAGATGGCATCGAGACACAGCTTGGATCCACCGCCGAACCCGTTACTGAGGCCGAAATCTTTGTTCATCGGGCGAAGGAATCTGCTGGTCCCGTGCAGGGCAGCTCCGACGCTTTCAAGGATAGCCTTTTCGCCATTCGCGAAGCTATCCAGCGCCTGCACATCAGTGCTGAGAGGCTCGATGGCGCGTCTGCCTGGATCAATCAGCAGCTGGAGGAGGGTATTCCGTGGTGGAACTTTATCAAGAAGGCCAAGGTTGCTCTGGCCATTCTGTCAGTCAACAAGAAGTACAAGCTTTTGGAACGGAATCTGTTGTATGAGGGTGGTTTGGATGGCCGTCCTTGGTTCAAGCACGTAGTCTACGCGCCTGGATTATGGACGGGATACTCTGGAGGTAAGCTTGGTCTCCAAGACTCATATTCGTGTTGTTCATGGCTAACTTCTAGCAGCTGTCTTCCCCGGTTTGACAGAGAGCATCGACGCTGATGATTACATCTCGGGACTCAAGTGGGCAGGGATTATTAAGAAGGCGATTGACAGGACGTCAAGAAGCATTCACTAGAATGACTTGCGAAAGAAATTGTTGAACGCAATGTGAGTTGGATCGAATTTTGAATAACGGCCCTTTGAGCGATCCTTGGAAAGGTTGGAATATTCACTGAGATTGATATCATTGACCTGTTTCATGGGAACACTAACGGCACGAATGATGGTATGGTGACAAGATGAATAGGTGGGTATATAAATACTAAATTTAGCAATCGATTATTCCAAAACCATCATTATTGAATTGCTTCTCTGCAATCCCTTTGTATCCATTCTGACATCCTTCCCGTTGGTATAAACACCAAAACGCCTTTCAGGTCACAGCAACCCGATGTGTATCCAACAGCCACGATGACCTCGGTCTATCCTCGCTTCAGATACGTATAGTGGTGGGATTTTAGTATTGGTGCTGCTGAGCTGGGACGGTGTACTGTGGCACTTGGCCGGGAACGGGTGGCTGGCCGGGGTAAGGCTGCTGAGGCTGCTGAGCATAGTATTGAGCATTGGGGTCGACGGGTTGGAAGGCCGGGGCCGCCTGGACGGGGTAAGGCTGAGGTGTCATCTGGTACTGCTCCTCCTTGGACTGGGGAACGGTAGTGGTGGTGGCGGCCACAGGCAGGCCGGGCTTGTTGCGGAGGCCAGCGCGGCGGTGTCGAGCGACCACGACGGCGTCGACGATGAGGGCGACGATGAACATGATCCTAAAGTGCGTGTTAGGGCATGGAATTAAAAAGCAAGCGAAGGGGGAACGTACCAGTTGAAGGCGCCGAAAACAGCCATGACGGCGTTGACGATGCCGTAGATGGAGCCCATCCAGAAGATGGAGGCGATGGCGCTGAGGGCCCAGCCGATGAGGTAGAAGATGAAGAGGAAGACGTCGAAGGCGATGGAGGCCCAGTAGTTGAAGGCCTGGGGCGCGCACTGGCGGGCGGAGATGAGCCAGATGGAGATGGCGAAGCTGACGAGGGAGCTGATCATGATGAAGACGCCGGCCAGGGTGGGCAGCACGGCGAGGGCGAAGCCAGAGCACCCAATGAGGATTATGCTGAAGATGAGCTGGATGACATTGACGGCGACGTATCCCTTGGGGTAGTCGGGGATGTGCTCCCGGCCTGGAAGTCGGACGGTTTGGGCGCTCATTGTGGCGGTTTGATGTGCTTGAGAGAGACGGAGAGAGTACGAATGAAGGAGAGAATGGATGAAGAGCTACAGAATGATCACACAACTCGCGCGAGAAGGAGAGTGAGGGGCCAGGCGAGTGCCAGCTTTCTTATACATTTCAAACCAAATATCTATTTTAGAGTTCCTCCCGTCAACTCATACCACTTGCAGGATTAGGTCTGACAGATAGTATCATTTCAGGGGGGCCGACCCGTCAGAAGCCACCAGCTAAACGAAAAACGAACCCAGCTAAGAGGTTCAAGCGCTGGGCTAAGCCAGTCAGATCTGCATTGCTGGCGACGAGCGTGCCCTCGACCGGCAGTAGTGTGAAAAAAAGCAAGTCGTGTTTGGGATTGGCTCGAGAGCGCCAGGTGCGTGCGGCTGAACTGGGCGGCAGGGGTCCGTCCTCTTAGGGCGATGCAGGCACGAGCCGTGCACCCGATCTAATTTCGGGAGAGAGGTCAGCTCGAGATGGACGAGCTGGGTGACAAAACCCCAGAGGAGCCTGCTTTGCGAGGAGGTGAGAGCAGGTGGCTTCTTGGGAGGAGGGAAACGGGTGAAGTCCAGGATAAGGGGCTGAAGGCGGCTTGCAACCACCAACATTGCTGTCTGTGGATCGTGTGGTAGATCTCGTCTAAATATGGGCAGGGTGAGGCCCTGGCCGGGAGATGTTGGAGGCATTAGCGAACCAACTCAGCCCTGCGGCTGGGGTCGAGCCCCGCCCATGTCTGCCTTGCGGCCAGAGTCCATTGGGTTGGGCATGCATGTCGCTGGCTCTCGCTCCGCTACCCTTGTTGCAGCTGGACGACGGCATCGGCTGCAAAGAAAGGGAGGCTTGAGCGGTCCAGCCTTTGCTTCGGGGCACGAAACACACACTTGGGACTGGCTGCAGCTCCCCTGTCATTTGCCGAAGCAATGCATCATGCATCACATCTCAAGCAGGAGAGCAGCTGGACAAAGCAAAGAGTGACAAGTGGCGGGTCCTGGGGCACACCACTGGATGAAGTGCCAAATATATCTCGACATCTGGTGCTAGCATTTACCGCCACTTTATGCCCTCCACAAGACCCAGAGATCTCCCAAGTTAGTGTGGTTCGAGTCCCGAAGACGGAGCACTATTAGAAATGGGAGCCTATTGGTGGACATAGTCTGGCAAACATTGAATGTCTCTGAAAACATTCATCTCTTATTTGCGAAACGCCTACCTATCTGCGTCTCGCCTGCGTATGTATCTCTTGGCAGTACCTTGGAGAATTTCACTTTCTACGAGGCTGCAGGCTTCTCAATATGTGGAGAATATTGCCCGCGATATTGATTACCTTACCTATGTTATGCAGTAGAGACAGTTGGGTGTGGTGTTGCTACAATATTAGGTACGAACGAACGATTGCTTTGGGCGTACCAATGCAGTGTAGCGTAGGTACCTTGCATATGCTCTTCTCATGTAGATCAGCGAGGCCGTTGCCATCGCACATACGGGTACCGAGCTGCGTGAGGTGGGCTTTTAGACATGCAATAGGTGCTTCTCCTGAGCCTCACGACATCCGGAGAGGTCCTATGAAAAGAGAGAGTAAATGGATCTTGTTGAATAATAAACTGAGAAATTTTTGAGTCTTTTCTGATTTTGTGACGTCCAGAATGACCGCCTATTGCACATCTTGAACTCGCCCTCCGCAGCTAGGTACTTCTTCGTGTGATGAACGCGGCCTTGACACGATAGACGCGGTTGACACAACAAACATCACTCTCGAGTCTATGTATCTAGTACTCACTTGGCGGCAGTCCCTGCCTTCTTTTCCAGGTATCTGCTACCACCAACGTTGGCTGGCGTGATTCCTCTTTCTGCCACCCATCAACATCAACAATCACCGCCTTGGCCAAACACGCTTCTTCCTTCTTCCCGCACACCTTCTTCCTCCTAACTCACCACCACCCTCCTTCTCACATCACAACCTTCCTTTTACTCAGATCAAACAAACAACTTAAAGCTTATCGACCCGGATATTCGAGTCTGCTCAACCACTGCCTGATACCTAACAAGGCCCAGATGGGCGTAAACTTGTAACTACCTGCGTTTCTTTCTGTTCAACTTGTGATTTCGAAGCTTGCATTACCATTTCTCAACGCGCCTTTTCATGGCATACAGCACGGATTCTCGTGGCATCTACGTTTCAGCCCCGTGGTTGTAACTGTATCGATATACCCTACTCGTCATCACCAGAAGGAACTACACTGGCAGTTTCTTCTCGACCTACAGGCTACTTACTTCCACCTCGCTTCCCAATTCTGCACTTCCCTCTCGTCTACTTTTCTTTCCTTTTTTTCTCAGTGAATCACCCCTGTCCCCCCTCTCACTGCCGAGCTATAAGCTTCGAGCCACCACTGCCGGGCTGAGGTTACCTCCGTGTGAGGCACTATGGCATCAGCACCCGAGCCTGTAGGTCTTTCCCTATCACAGCACGTTATGTTTGCGGTAATGAATGATTTTAAGTGATATTGGTTTGAACAAACAGATTCTAACATTAATCGAGGACCAGGCTAAACAGCATGGCGCTTCCAAAAGCACCAGCGAAATCGCCTCGACTGAGGCGAATTCGTTTACCAACTGGGGTCATGAAAATGACACACCCTTGGAGACACTGCACAACCCGTTTCGCAAGCATGGGAAAAGGCTTAATAACTTTTCAACTAACCAGATAGATATACCCAAGATTAGTATTTCGAATGATGCTGGACTGCGCCGTGGCCACTCTTCGCTGAATATCGGCATAGCAGTATCGGACTGGGAGACTGTCGCAACCGAAGATGAGGTTGACCAAGGCAAACATCCAGCGACTTCTCCACGTCGCAATGGTGTCGAGCCCAAGTGCCAAACTGAAAATCTCATTTCTTCTGAGAGCGGTACTCTTTTCCTGCCAGAGAGAAACTCCATTTTCGGCACCCAGAATGCCTCGCCAATGGTCCATCCCGAGCACTCTCAACAGGCATTTGCGAGCCATCCCTCTTTCTACTCATCTTCCAGCTGTTATAGCGACACGAACAGAGTCGAAAGCGTCGATGGAGATAATTTCGGAAACTGGAATCGAGAGGATGTTGATTTGGCAAACACTCCTGTAGCAGACCAGACACTTCGCTTCGAGTTGGTTCCAGGGAATCGATTCTCTAAGATCGGTAACCCATTCCAGCACGATGATGGCACGCCTACGTCAATTGCTCAGGGCAAAAAACCAATTGAACGCGATGGGTTTCAGCAAGTTGAAATCTTCCCAACTGCAACACGAGCCTCGAGTCTTGAGTTGGACCAGGCTGGGCCCTGCGAAAATATACGCAGAACCGATCCTTCGTTTTACAACTCTACTGCCATTCGTTCGACCTAGAAATTCGACGATGATGTCAAAATCCCGGTCAATGCAGCGGGTGAGAATGAAACCCAAAGCAGCTTCCAGAGACCCAGCGGGAACGACGGCATTGCTGTGACCATCAATGTTGGAGCAAACGTAGATGCTGAAGATGATTGGCGAACAATTACGACTTCTAATCCGTACAATGGGACGCCACAGGGTCCTGGAAATTCAAGCTATCTTTATGCCAAAGAAACGGGAAACAGCCTAGCTGATGTTTCTGATTCCGCTGGCTTATGCAACTGCAAGTATCCCTCGTCGGAAAATATCATTCGGCACCAGTGGTGTGAATGCAATCCTGCTTCGGACCATGACATGGCTGCAAACCAAGCAGTGTCAAGACTTGCCAATTATGAAGAAAACGTGACGAACCACAGGACATCCCGCAAGGGATCTATCGCAACAGCAGCGATCCGTCGCCTCTCAAACACATTCCGGATGAGCCAAGTACCTGAGGTCCCAGCAATCCCGCGGGTCTTTGAAATGCAGCCATATGGGCACCGCTATGGTAGCCTTGGATCGAATCCCAGCCCTGACGAGCATGCAACAATCACTAACTCGGAACATAAAGAGCCTCGTCCAATTTCAGACCGGCCCATCCATAATCATGTCGTCCCTGGTCCCAGTCAGGCGCCTAACTCTTCTCTTGCAGCTCGTGACAGCCAGAGATATCAGTTTAAATTCTCACTGATCAGCTTGCCCGAGGCGTCAGCGATACAGTTACAACGCAGAGAATGCGGAGAGGAAGACCATACGGAGAATGGTAGCTCGTTCAGAAGCAAACCGAGATCCGCTACTTTTAGTACCGCTTCTTCCCGGCGCCCTCAGACACCAGGGTCGACGTTTTTCGAGTATGGAGAAGCTGTGGCTCATGAGCCACTGGAGGCTCCTGCTCCTGCTTTCATTCAGCGAAGATCCAGAAGTCGAACACTATGTAAGTAGGGAGTAATTGAAGATCAAAGGAACATAACTGACAATTAATAGTGAGTGAGACTAGCACACGGCTGCCTGGTTTCGACTCTCCCTCTGCACGACGCGGACTCGAGATGTCCCGCAGGTCTTTGTATAGAGGAGGTCCTTATGACAGCTGGTCAATCCTGGCCGGTGGAATGCCCAACTTTCAGAGATTCAGAGGAGAAAATGATCACCATCGGCCCAACCTCTCCGGCTGCTACAAGGAGCACAGTCTAACGTGGTCCGATGGAGTGCCGACATCCTCCTTCCGAGAGACAGTTCCTTCCGGTACCCACTTTCCAGATGCCTCATCTGAGGAGAAGGGAAAAAAATTCTTTCTGGTTGTTATGGTTTTGACTATCATCTTCCCGCCTGTGGGCATACTTGCACTCTCGGGTGTTTTCGACTCGACCATCTCGTGGTGCACGCATGGCGAACTATCTGCTTTTACTGTTGACCAGCGAGGCACACTGAAGCAACAACTTATTGTGGAGGCGATCCTCTATCCTGTGCTCATCATCGCTTTGGCCGTATCTTATTCTCTCTCTGGCTAATGTCGGACTCTAGGCGGATGGTCTTGACTCTGAGAATGGCTAGCGAATGTCGTCTTGGGATAGCTATGAAAATCTCCAGTACCTGGCTAACAAATATGGCAGTGAGAAAATGTGGAATGCGCAAAATGGAGCCGAAAGCCTGCCAATTGGAAAATGGCTGACATTTGGCATCTCTTGGGTGCGTTGACATGCAGGCAAGGGCCTGCTCGATTTTCTGAAAGATGGGTGATTAATAGGTACGGTAATAAGAAGAGTCGTCTTGGGCTGGATCGATCTTGTTGTGTAGTTTCATTGCGGCCATTCATGTGCCATGTCTTAAACTCGAGCTTGTGTCTTTCGATGACACCCAAAGAAAGCTTCATAGCTGATCTCTTCATATGCAGCTATCTGTCTGTAACTCTAGGATCTGGACTTATCCAGTCAGTTCGTTTGCAAATAGGAAAACCGAATGATACCACGTCTTCATCATCATGATCATGTGAATGTAACGCTCCAACTTCAAGGCTACACCTACCCATACCCCAACATTGGCAGGGTAACAATCGATTCTAGAATTGAATTTGTGAGTAGTGACGTTTAGTCAAAGGGAATCCACACCCTTCTTAATTGAGACACCGCCCGATTCTAGATATTCTTGGAAGTTACGGATATAAGGTTCGTTGTGCGAGGTGGTATCGCATTCCGACCCCTCTTAACGTCATACGCATGGATGATGTTATATGGATATAACGGCAGCTTACAAATTCGGGAGCCCACCTGAACGAAGACTGACGTTTCACGTATAAATGCACGACGAGCCTTGTGTATCTGCTCAGATACTAATTTGGTCATTGAGATAGTACGATTTGATCAATTTCCCTCCATCGAAGCGCTCTACTTAGGCCATAAAGCTCAGATTTCCAGCATCAATCTGATAGTCATGGGTGGCAAGATCTTTCTGTGCGTAAATGAGAACTCCCACGGGCTTCCTCCCCTGAAAGCTAACAATATTCTGCATCAAGGACCGGGGCGACTGGTATGGGTCAATACAGTGTTTAACAGTTTGTTTGACTCCCGGGCTGACCTCTATCGCAAGGCTACATCGGAGGCACAGCTCTTGCGTGCCTGGCGACAACACACCCCGACTACGAGTTTATCTTGCTTGTCCGAAGCGAGGAGAAGGGGAAGCCAATCAAGGCCAAGTATCCCGACGTCAAGCTGGTCTACGGTGGCCTTACCGACTCCGCCTTGGTAGAACAAGCAGCCGCTGAGGCTGATATTGTCGTCCGTAGGTCTTGACCCGCACCTAGAGTCTGCATTCTTCGATGTACTCACCTGCTTCTGAACCAGACACCGCGGATTCGTCTGATAACGTGCCCGGAGCCCAGGCGATTGCGAAGGGACTTGCTCGCGGACACTCTGCCGAGAAGCCGGGATACTGGATCCATGTCTCGGGAACATCCATCCTGACATGGTTTGATAGACAGGAAGGGAGGTTCGGCGAAGGTCCCGTGCCGGCTCAGGAATACCACGACGTGGATGATATCGACCGCATCGTCACCCTACCCGACGAAGCTCATCATCGCAACGTCGACAAGATCGTCCAATCGGCCATCTCAGACGCCGTCAAGGTCGCCATCCTGTGCCCGCCAACCATCTACGGCAAGGGCTTAGGCCCGGTCAACACTCGAAGCGTCCAGATCCCCGACATGGCCCGCATCGCGCTCCAGAAGGGGTTCGTGCCTGTCGTCGGCGCGGGCAAGACGGAATGGGACCACGTCCACATCATCGACCTGGGCGACCTGTTCAACCGGCTCGTGGACGCGACGCAGGATCCGTTGCTGGCAACTAACCCGGAGGTGTTTGGGCTCCACGGCTACTTCTTCGCCGAGGCCGGATCGCATCGATGGGCCGACGTGGCGGGGTGGATCGCCGAGGAGGCTAAGAGGCAAGGGTTCGTGCGCGAGGCGCGGACCGAGTCGTTGACGCAGAGGGAGGTCGAGCTGCTGGAGGGGGGCTCGACGGCTTCTTACGGGCAGAACTCGAAGAGCGTCGCGCAGCGGGCGCGGAGGTATCTGGGCTGGCGGCCGAGGGGGCGGGCGTTGAGGGATGAGGTTGAGCGTGCTGTGTCTGAGGAGGCTGCGGCTTTGGGGTTGGTGTCCAAGGCGTAGGTGGATACTCCGTACTTCGTACTGCAGGTAGGATTATGCTGGGCGGTTATTAACTACCTTACTCGTTATGAACTATGCAGATATATGCGGCAGCTCAGTGTTGGTACCGCCAGGCAATGCCTTGTCTGTGATAAGTTCTCGTGGGGACTAATTGCTTTAGTTCTATAGTATGTGTTGTCTTGATATCACGCTGAGGTAACTTCAAGACATTGCATTACACCTTCCTTAGCCAGGATCTGAGATACAGGTATCAACACATTAACGGGTCAATAATGAGATATGAAGGAAATACAACATTCTCCTCGAGCACGATTCCGCCAGAGCAGCCACAGCAGCTGCGACGGGGGAAAAAGGAAACGGAAATCTACTATTTGCCTGCCGTTGGACCAATTGATGGGACAATAAAACGAGAGCCCTGATGGTAGTGGCGTATTTCTCATGCCACCCACTGATGCAATGGTATTTTGTAATTGTGGAGTACAATCTTTTGTGGGAGGATCGTGCAGCCTCCTCTTTTTCTAAGGCGGCGGGACCTGCCAAAGTGGGTGGGATAAGATAAGTCGCCTGTGCTTTGATCTTCTTGCCAGCCAATATGATTGAAGAGAAGAAGTAATTCAAAGGAAAAGAAATCTGCGAAGTCTTCCTAAGTCTCAAGGCATCATACTATCTCCTCTCTTGACATTTTCCTTACCCCTTCCACTTCGGAGGAGGCAGACGAGATGGTTCTAGTATCAAAGCCGAAGTAGGAGTGCACGAGTAAATACCACTACAGTCTTATGCCACCCACATCGCCCAACATTTTGGTCAGATTTTCACTGCTGTTCGGATAAGCACAAGTACCGCGGATGTATCCCTTGAAGTCCCATCCAACCAGAAGCACTTGGCAGGCCACTGGAGCTACCTCGCACAACTGACTCTCATCGGCTGCGACTTACTCAGCGCCCTGCACTACAGCCAAGGGTCCTCTAGCACCGGAGAAAGTTGGCAGGGCTGTGATTGGCCGTCTCCGGGCGGGGCATGTAGCGCCTAAAAAGTGATTCGCCTCTTTGAAAGCAGCGCTGCGAAAAAGAGGGAAACCCAAGGTGGGGCCACCCGGCCGCAAAAAAAAAAAGTTCTAGTGGTGGTGCTGGTCCCCTCAATTCACAAAAATTTGGCAGCGCTGGAAGAAATTCTTCTCACCGCGAGGCCCACCCCACGTTGGATTTATTCCTCTTCTCTTCCTCCCCCTCCTCCATCCTACCTTTCCTTCATCCATCCCCTGAAATCAAGTTTTCAGTACACATTCAAGATGGCTGACGAAGTTTACGACGGTGCCGTTGGCATTGATCTGGGTAAGTGCTCGAACCCTACGATTTTCTCTCACATCCCACCAACCCCTCCCTGCCTATTTGTGCGTCGAAGGCCTGGGCAAGCAGGAAAAATTCGCTGACCAGAGCATCTCCCTCACAGGTACCACCTACTCCTGCGTTGCTACATACGAGGGCAACAATGTCGAGATCATTGCCAACGAGCAGGGTTCTTTCACCACCCCTTCTTTCGTTTCTTTCACCGACAAGGAGCGTCTGATTGGTGAGGCTGCCAAGAACAATGCTGCCATGAACCCCCGCAACACCGTCTTCGATGCTAAGTGCGTTCTTTTGCCCTCATAATTCTATCGCCAGAAAGGCAGTAGAAGCATAATGCAAAAAACCGGCTTGTGCGATATATACTGACCCGTCCTGTTCAGGCGTCTCATCGGTCGCCGCTTCGATGACCCCACCGTCAAGAAGGATATCGAGTCTTGGCCATTCAAGATCATCGATGACAACGGCAGCCCCAGAATCGAGGTTGAGTACCTCGGTGAGACCAAGACCTTCTCCGCCCAGGAGATCTCCGCCATGGTTCTCGTCAAGGCAAGTTGCACCCAAAATTCCTCAGGCCTGGGTCTCCACGAGTCAAGACCAAGGGTTGAAATTTTTATTGCCCGACACCGGCTAACCAACTCCGCAGATGAAGGAGATTGCTGAGGTCAAGCTCGGCAAGAAGGTTGAGAAGGCTGTCATCACTGTCCCTGCCTACTTCAACGACAACCAGCGTCAGGCTACCAAGGATGCTGGTGCCATTGCTGGTCTCAACGTCCTCCGTATCATCAACGAGCCTACCGCCGCTGCTATCGCCTACGGTCTTGGCTCCAACAAGTCCAACAAGGAGCGTAACGTCCTGATCTACGATCTTGGCGGTGGTACTTTCGATGTCTCCCTCCTCAACATCCAGGGTGGTGTCTTCACCGTCAAGGCTACTGCCGGTGACACCCATCTCGGTGGACAGGACTTCGACACCAACCTCCTCGACCACTGCAAGAAGGAGTGAGTTTTCCCGCTCGAAGCAGCAGTTTACTGTGGGCTAGCCTTACTAACCATCCTCTAGCTTCAACCGCAAGACCAAGGCTGATCTCTCCGGTGACGCCCGTGCCCTCCGTCGTCTCCGTACTGCTGCCGAGCGTGCCAAGCGTACTCTGTCCAGCGGTGCCCAGGCCACCATTGAGATCGACAGTCTTTTCGATGGCCATGACTACAGCGTCACCATCACCCGTGCTCGTTTCGAAGAGCTCAACGCCAAGGCCTTCAACGGCACTATTGAGCCTGTTGCCCAGGTCCTCAAGGATGCTGCTATCGAGAAGAAGGCTGTTGACGAGATTGTCCTCGTCGGTGGTTCCACCCGTATCCCCCGTATCCAGAAGCTTCTGTCCGAGTTCTTCGACGGCAAGAAGCTCGAGAAGAGCATCAACCCCGATGAGGCCGTTGCCTACGGTGCCGCCGTCCAGGCTGGTATCCTCTCTGGCAAGGCTACCTCTGCCGAGACTGCAGACCTCCTTCTCTTGGATGTGTGCCCTCTCTCCCTTGGTGTTGCCATGGAGGGCAACATCTTCGCCCCTGTCGTGCCCCGTGGCCAGACCGTTCCCTGCTTGAAGAAGCGCACATTCACTACCGTCGCGGATAACCAAGCCTCGGTACAGTTCCCCGTTTACCAAGGAGAGCGTGTCAACTGCGAGGACAACACCTCCCTGGGTGAATTCACCCTCGCTCCTATCCCCCCCATGCGTGCCGGTGAGGCCGTTCTCGAGTGTGTCTTCGAGGTCGACGTCAACGGTATCCTCAAGGTCACTGCCACTGAGAAGAGCTCTGGCCGCAGTGCCAACATCACAATTGCCAACTCTGTCGGCAAGCTCTCCGCCGGTGAGATCGAGAAGATGATCAACGACGCCGAGGAGTTCAAGAGCAACGACGAGGCATTCAGCAAGAAGTTCGAGGCCAAGCAGCAGCTCGAGTCCTACATTGGTCGTGTTGAGGAGATCGTCACCGACCCCACTCTGGCCCTGAAGCTGAAGCGTGGCCAGAAGGAGAAGATTGAGCAGACCATCAGCGAGGCTATGGCTGCTCTGGAGATCGGCGACAGCACCGCTGAGGACCTCAAGAAGCAGGAACTTGCCCTCAAGCGTCTCGTCACCAAGGCCATGTCCTCCCGATAAATTAATTATCATGTGTACCGCCAATTATCCCCTGGCGGTATAGGGGCGTGAGTTGAAGAGATATGAGTTACACGATTTTGGAGAGCGGATGAAGAACAAAAAAATGAAGAATGCGCATTATGCATATTTGTTGCCTTAGGGCGTTGGGCGAGTGGCCGAGGCAATTTTTTCTTTCCTTTTGTTTCAACGGTCATTCGGAATGGATGAAAAGGTACCTACCGAGGCATATGGGAAAAAAGTCCTTTTTGTTTCAGCGTTTTTGCCTATATCGAATCTCAAAGTAATGATGCCATCCTGTGCCGGGAGTTTTATTCATGACGGATGATTATGGTAGACACTAGTCAGATGACGGTTGGGGGGCTGGCTACGAACCCTCAGGCCATGCATCAAGAGATCGAACGCGGCTCACTGAGGCTGATCTAGGTGGCAACGTGGTAGGGAAGGGCTTGTGAAATAGGGATGGATAGACGCCGGTAGAATGAAATATATTGTTCAACAAACAGTCAACTGAAATACTGAATATGCCCTTGACTGAATTGCGGAAGGAATGAACAGAACTTGTAGAGGTTTTGCAACATCTGGAATTAAGATCACGAGTTGACGATTTGCTGCAGGGGCATCACTTGCAAACCTCAGCATCTTTGACACAACCCTGACTGATAGTTTCATCGCTGTGTTACCATCTTGTGACTTCGGTCTAAATGTTCAGCTTATTCCCATTGCCCTTGCGCCTAATATATCCCGTTGAATGGCATTGGTTTCCGGCAAACAATTCATAGTTGGACTTGATCATGGGTTGGCATGGAGATGCCATGGGTAGTTTGATAACGGAGTAGGTAACCCCGTCAAGGAACCTTAAGTTGGGAGCTCGGCCAATTCAAAGCTGTTATCGTAAAGCCCCCACCTACCAGCTGATTTCATTGATTCGCCTTGTCTTATTGGAGGTCCTGACGGCATCGACTGGGCTCGCCATTGCACAGTCGGTCGTCGGTCCGGATCTAGGAAGGGGGTGTTCCTTCATTTATAGGCTCAGCAAACCCAGTTATAAGCTAGAGGAGAGGAAGCGAGAGGAAATACACATTAGAAGGGGGGAGGTTTAGGAATCACGTTGCAGTTGAACGCTGGCGCTGTAGCACGTAATGGCCCTTCTCCTTGTGCCTTGTTCGATCACCGTCCAGCATCTGCTCCATGACGACACGCCAGTGCTCAAACCAACGCGGTGACCTTCCCGGGAATCTCTTTCAACAATAGCCCCTGTGGCACAGTGTTCAGCGCGCTCCCGCCCGTCCTGTCTGCGAAACAAGGGACCGGCATTGATGATCAGACCAAACTGTAGGTGCACCCACCCTTCCCAAGTAAGTTAAGGTTGGGGGACGAGTACATCGCACAGAGGGTGGCAGGAGAGGTCCTCGGTCCGAATCCGAGCAGAAGCATGTTTTTTTCTTCATCTTCTTAATATTTTTTATGTTTCCTGTGGCTCTTGGAGGGAATAGTCTGTGATGCAATGCGGTGTCGGGCGTTGGAGGTTCTTTATTCAATTCGGTGGTAGCATCCTTATTTCCCTGTCTAGTATCAACTAGATCTTCTATCATCTAGTTTGCCATCCCGCTCTTTGCGCCACTGCTTGGTTTTGACGGTTTTATCTCTCCTCGTCGCTTCGTGGATGTCATCTAGAGAGGCCTCAAACCGTCCTGGGGAAGAACTGGTCCAGGTACAATGGTTTCCTTCTCGAATCCCAGTACGAGTAGCGCCAGGTTAGGGGCCAGCTCTGCTGTACTGGTTCGTACAAGCAGAAAACTGCAACATCCCTAGTGACGTCTTCGGATTGCGAAGCCTAACACCACGTCAAGCGTGCACACCGTTGAGCGATGGCTCACGAAGTGCAAGACCATTTTCATCAACTCAAGCTGGAATTTCACAGATTGATCATCCTCATCTGGTTTGAGTGGAAGCTCATAGTCAATCGCTCTGGCTCTCTCTATCCTGTTGGTGCCTCGCCCAGCGCGAGTTCCTTCAGGATCAGAAACCATATAGGGCATGAGCAAAATTATGAAGTATAAGTCCAGGTCCTTTTACCCAAAAGCTTCCAGGATGTCCTCGTCAACTACCTCACTAGATTGTTTTGTCAATCTAGCTTTCCCATCATGGCGGATTCCAACTGAGGGGCACTCAGTGCTCGAATCTAGTTGCAGTCTGGGTTTATCTTCTGCTGATTCGACATTACAATATCGAAAAGATCATGCTGTGTACATCCCCAATCAGAGAATACAGGTCGCAGGAGCCATACCTCCATAGGTTCAGTTGCGGTGAGCGTCTCCTCAGTTCCAGCGGTAGGACTTGATATGCAGCCAATTATTGTTCTGCGCAGCGACCTATGAAAGAGAGCTTGTGTTCATGCGCCTCAACTATGCCAGGCACTAGAGCGACAGCACGATGATTCCCATCTATGAAGGCGATCGCAGCGGGGGTGTCTCAAACTTCCTGGCAGAGATTTCGTAGTGGCAGGTCTGGATTTCACAATGGAGAATGTTGAATGGCGGCAGTATCGGAGAGCAATTTCTGATGGTCGAGGGCCTTCAACGTCAAACCAGTCCACTACGTGCACATTCCTAGGTACGGAAGAAGGTTCACTCTAAATGAACTTCCTGCCTGGTCGCCTTGATTTGACGGATAGCATTCTCGAACTGGTCTCTAATGTGAAGATAACAGGAGCATTCAGGGCTGTCTGGCTCCAAATCACAACAGACTGTCGTCAATGTCGCATGTAATTTCGCATATCTCGTGATCAAGGCAAAACATGTATTGCTCGACGGCGACGTCCTTCAGGTTAGCGAGGTTGGACGCCACCTTGGCTTAATAGAAGAGCTTTTGATATGAATGCGCCTTTACAGCGAAATAACTCACGATGTCCCAAAGCAGAATCGAGGAGCGACGAAATTGTCAAGATTCTCAACCTTCTCGAGGGCAAGTTGTCCCGCGCCTGCTGTTCAACTACCGTCTCAACTGCTTCTTAGTTGCCACCAGCATCAGCGACTTCGGCATCCGATTCACATAGGTTCCATGAGAGGCGGTACCGGGAAACCCGAAGAAACCAAAGGCATACGTGGTATGCGTGATAAGATGTTGTAAGTATCTAAAAAGCCAGGATGAGGAACAACCGCAATGAATAGCGCGTCGTTGTCAACCACTAGAAGTAGCTACGGGAACGTAAACTCGCATTATTGCAGTCCGCAGTATAAGGTCGCTGGGATAAAATCAGCAACGTCTTATAGCGACTTGCTGGGCAGGGACCAGGCCAAACATGCGGTGCAAGATGGCAAAATCAGTCACGCCCTGTTACGAAGAGGAAATGTGGATAGCCATCCTCGGGAGAAATATCCAGGTTTTCAGGTTGTGTTTGGATGTCTGGATATCTGTTCCACTTAGACTCCCTCTTTCCTCGCTTCAGGGTGATAAAGAACAGCTTCGATGACATGTACACCGACATCTTCAATAGGACCAGACGACTTGGTGAGTTGAGTTGTAGACAGCCTTATCTTCACTAAAATATTCAGACGCAAAACGCAGAAGTTATTTTCTCCACTCCGGTGGTGACAGTGCTTGCAGAGAAGAGGTTAGTCCACCGGCTTGAAAGGTCTCACGGTGGCTCGAGATGGGGGTAGCTGAAAAGTGCTACGCTCTGTGGTTTTCACACGTAGACAAGATACGCGAGAGCAGTAGGGTAAACTGTTCAGTTGCCGATTTAGCAGTAAGTGCGGATGGCAATTTGAAAGTCCTGAATGCTCCCGCGACTCGCTTTCAGCGGAGTGAGAGATAGGTGATAAGCGTTGAACGGCGTGAGATGTCTCTTTTGAGAGGTTAGATTGTGGGAGATCAGGCATTATGCAAGAGAGATTTCTGGCTCCTCTACCCAGGGCGAAAAGTTGGAGAAGACCACCATAGCGAGCGAGCGGACTTTATCGACGTTGGGTCTATAGAGCAGGTGCTTCTCTCCAATGGCACAGAGTTAATTAAAGAAGCGGGGGAAAGCCCTCCATGGTGTCCAGAGGCCGTCTTGTCTTCCTTTAACGCAGTCCCATGGGTGTGAAGTCAGGTAATCTCTCCTTCGGGGGAAGTCGCGCCGTCACGAAAGTGAGCTGAGAGGACTGAAGCAAATCGAATGAGGCGAGGATTAAAAGGCGAGTGGCGTGAACCGAAAGACGGATAGGTGATTGGCTTACTATCGGTAGCATTCAAGCCAACGATGGCGCGTTGCAAGAACATGAGGTGAAAGAGGAGAGCTCGCGGCGACAAGTTTACCAAGGGGGTCAATCCTCGATGTGCTATCAAATGACCCCAAGAAACCCACGCCCAACAGAGTTTTTGAAGTGTTGCAGACTTGGTCTTGGGCCCTCGCGGCGGAATTCTAGCAAAACCAAAGATCAAACCTCTCAGCTAGCTCTCGTTCTCTGTAGTGGTTCTCCATGCGATAAACTGCCCGTCCAGGATCATCAGCGTCTAAATGCGAAGGAAACAATTAGATGGCGATACCGATTTTAGTTATTGCCAAAGACATGAGCTAGAATAAAAGCATGCAGAGTTTAAGAGAGGAAATTCTATACATCAAGTGGCACGGCCGACTCTTCGACTAGGACAAGAGCTTCGAAATTATGATAAGGGCCATAAAACAGTGAACAATCCTTCCCATATTAACGTCAAATCGTATGACGTCCAATGTATTATTTCAACAGGAAACATCCAATGCTTTATTAAAAAATGTATTTTGCTTCTCCTATGATTAATGTTCACATTTCTAAAAGAGACGATCTTGCTAGAGATGCTTTCTAACATGGAGCAGGCAAATTAACCCCTATGAAACTTCGCCTCATCACTAGATGTTCAGCGCAATGTATAAGAATCCGAGACCATTTCAACTCCCCACCCTCGGACCAAATAAGATGTCGTTGAAGAAATCCGAGATCACGCTGCTGATGCTTGGACCTTCTCTTTGGTGTATGTAGGGTAGGTGAAGCTAGGGTTCCGTCAATGAGAAGCATATTTGAGATGTCTTTCTCCTACTTGTGATAGGCTATTTTGCGTATATAGAAACTCCAAATGATGAAAGTTGGCCATTGATTTTTTAAAAGATCGCTATAACTCACTTGAAAACGTTCAAATGGATGAGGCTCTGTAGAGTTTCTGCGCAGGGCTGTCAGCACGTGTCCGAACCCCACTCGCAGCTACTGGCAGCGACGATCGCGGGGATAACTTCATCGAGCACATCCCTGCCTTGCATACCTCACCCACGCCTTCAACAATCCGGTTCTACGAGTGTTGCGTGTTCTGTCTCTTGCCGATTGATTACCCGCTCTCACCAGATAATGTTACCGGTCAACTCCACGTGGTCTCATCACACAACAAACCGATGAGCTGGAGCATCGCTTAACTGCAAACATGGCACGCCCCGAGCCCATGAACTTCCTGGAGCTCCCCGTCGAGATCCTCAGCCAGATCCTCCAGCCGCTACTGACTACGCCGGGCCACACGCCCATCCTGCTCTGTCCCTGCTCGCCCGCCCCGTTCCCTCCCCGGTCCGTCCTGTCCATCCTCCTGACCCATCCTCGTCTCCACGCCATCGCCTGCCCACTCCTCTACGGGCCGAGCAATAGCTTCCTCCTGGACCTCACGGGAGAGCACAGCTCGCACGTCCGGAGGAGGCGGGAGGTCTTCGAGGCAGGCAGCCAGGACGACGTGTTCCTGATCAACGACATTGGGAACTCCCACAGGCACTCCACGGCGGACGGCTCGTTCTTCTCGCTGCCCGCCCATAGGCGCCGCGGTCCCCTGCTGGCTACCGCGCCCGCCCTGCGCAGGCTCCAGAACCTCACCATCCGCGTGGACCGGCTAAGGGGCTGGATCCAGGACGACATCGTCCCGGTCGTCTCGGACATGATCATGCACGGGCACCTGCAGCAGCTACGCCTCTACCTGGCTACTACGACGCTGGAGTCTCTCCCGTCGTCGTCGACGTCCCGAGCCTGCCGCCCTCGTATCACATTCCCTCCTCCCCAGGCGGCAGCAGGACGGCCACCGCTCGCTGGCCTGCTGCGGCTCTTGGCGGACCCGGACCTGGGGCACTCGGGCTTGTGGATTGAGGGTCGCCATCACTTTGGATGGGATCAATTCCAAAGCGACGACGCGTCACAGGAGGAGCTGGGGGCGGCGGGTGGGAGCAGCAGCAGGCGCGACGACGACGGCCAGGATGGGCGAGACCTCGTACACCATCAGGAGCAGGCGGTTGAGCTTGATTGGCGCAAGCTGCTGGAGAGCGCAGCTGAGATGCAAGCTGTGGACTGAAAGGCTAGCGTCTAGTTTCAAAAAGCAGGCTTCTGAGCTTTCTCGTGTCTTTTGGCGGGGAAAGGGGGTGGGGGGTATACGGTGTTTATTGGCTTCGTGCTTCATCTACTATTCACGGCAAGCGGGTGATGGATGTGAGAACTGAGAAACCCAAGCAGCGCCGCCATGGCCTCCAGTATGTCGAGCTTTCACGCTCCTAGCTGCTGCTGCCGTTGTCGACGATACACGCTCCACGAGGACAGAATAAGAACACCATACGCAATTTCAAATCTACCAACTGTTTCTGCCCAGATTTGTAATGTCAATGACTCTCGTCAGCACGGAATCGAGGAGCAAGGTTGGCAAATTGGTGTGTTGGGCCTAGTGTCACAGGCTTGCACGGCGATCACGGTGCTAGTGGCCTTCCTGTGCATGCATGGCCTGGCATTGCACAGCAGCTGGATTGGGAGCGGGAAGTTGCTGTTCGCTTGCCCGAGACTGGCCTGATTCTCGTGTCTCTTGGGCATGTGGTGACCGGGAAGCTCCAATCACCGGATCAATCTACGTCGCAGTACCTATGTAGTAATATTCAGATCCTCGGCTGGATGGAGTTTTGGACCAGAAGGAGAGAGTCTGTGTTCCCAGAAGGGGCAGGAAAGAAAAACAGAGCCAAAACGACAGGCTTCAAGAACGACAGGGGGCCAACTCGCGATGGCCTGCCCGGACGTGCATGGTAGCAGCAGCAGGACAGGACAATACAAGGCCAACCACGGCGAGACCAGCCTCAGAGGAGCAGCGTTTAGCTCTGGCCCGTGCGTTGGACAGGGCCAGAGTGAGGTTAGATTAGCCCGTCATCCATGTGCTGGGCGGGCATCATCTCCACTCCCATCGTCTTATCTCGCCCGAAAGGGTTCTTGTAGTATAGCGTCTTTCAAGCGCGCCTGCAGCGGTGCTCCTCAGACACAACAGACTTTCACGATCCGGCCATTCCTCAGCGCGTGCCAGCGGTGGATGCTCGATTCTCTGCTACTCCACTCCTCCCAAGACTTCGCGGGGCAAAGGATATTACCAAGACGACCGGGCTCTCTACTCTCGCAAGACATCATTGCCCATTGTTCCCCGAATCCCCCGAATCCCGAGCAGCAAACCCTTCCTGTCTGCTGGCCGTTGCAGCGTGCAGGTCCAGGCGAAAACCCACTCCCGCCCACATCACGCGCATCGCATCGCATCGCATTACATATGCAAATTTTCCCTACCTGCTGATTTAATCTCCCCTTTCCTCTTCCACCCTAGCCAGGTGTCTTGTGCACGGCGAAAATAAGATCAGGGTATGAGACAGACAGCCAACATGATTGGAACCTTGATGAAAAGCACGGACCGGTTGTCTCTGGCTTATTCTCCCCCCCCGCCCCCCACGATCCCACCAGATATGCTGTTTCTGTCTTGTCTCTCTATAGTAATACATGGTACGCAACTCAATTGAATCCCACGACTCAGCCCAGCCAGTTGCCCTCCGTTGGTGTTATGACCCCCATTCTCTGCGCGGCCCCCCCTTGCCCTCGGTATTGCCGCAGCTATCCGACCGGAAAAAAAAAACAACCACACACAGAACTGAAGGCACATGTGCATAAGAAAACTGTTTAGAAGGGGGGGGCATGCAAGTTGTCGTACCCCGGCTGGCAGAGAGCGCAAACCACCCACTCTAATGGTCGAGAACTCTGCTTCCTCCCCCCCGGGCCGGTATCTTACATGTGGCGACACTCGCATGATCTTGTTTCCCCCTCGCCCTCGAGATGGGAAGAAGTGGGAAGGGGGTGGGAGAAATGGAACATGGGAGTTGGGGGAAAAAAATTAGGATAGTCAAGAGACACAGAAACAAGCACCTTTGTCGGTGGCGCGTTGCGCAATGGGACACAAGACAACCGGGCAAGTTTCTCAACTGGGAGGGGGGACTTCCGCCAGTCTATCCTATCCCATTTTGACTTCTGAACCACGGCAGCCTAGCACGACAGGTAAGAAAACAAATAGCAGTGAGACAAGGGGTCATCTGACCAAAGCCATGTCTCGCCGGCACGCCGCAAATCTCAGAGTTAAATGTCCAATAGCGGCAGGGGTTTGGCCTGTAGAGGGAGGGAGACCGGCTAGAGATCAGATTTCGCGTGCTGGAGCAGGGCGAATCACAGCGCCCCAGACTGGTCTCAGAGCTTGTTCCAGAGGTTCGTTCGGCGACATGGATGCTACGCTGGCGCCCCCTCCTCACGCTCCTTCTGGGGCCCTGCTCTATCTGGCTTGTGTTCCAAGAGAGTGTGGAGCGGCGAAGCACCAATCTGCATCTCCACACCACCTTGTATGCAATGCAGCCTGCAACCCCCCGCTCCACGTTACGGTGCATGAGGAAGGGAGGAGGAAAAAAAAAACTACACAGAAGCCGAAGACAGAGGTGAGACTCCTGTCGGTCTTATCGTGCCTCGGATCTGGCTTTCGTAGTTACGGCTTTATGCACCGGGCAAGGCTGTCCATCGTTATGTAGCCGACTGGCCACTCACAACCGTCGCCCCCCACCAGCAAGCTCATTTCACAAAGGGTAGCGCCATAACGTCATGTGGTTTGGGGGGATCGGTCCAGCTTACAAGATCCAATTAATGCATTCTTAAGCCATTGTCATTCATAGTCCAGTCTGGGCCCTAAAGATACATTTTCCCCCGGTTCATAAAAGTGAAAATAAGCCCCTTGGCCAATCAAAATCCGTCCGTTTGAGATCGTCGAATATCATATCACGCTTGCCAGCAAATAAATCAAAACCCAATCAGAAGTTAGTAGAAGAAACACGGAAGCAAAGCCCAGTGCGTCATGGGTGGCCAAACTTTCAGCCCCTTGTGACCACTGCCACTGACAAATTGATCCATACCCTCGTTTGTTTTGTGCTTTTCTCAATGGTGAAAGATCCTTGTAACTTTTTTTTTGGTGCTTTAGCTTCAAACAAAAAACCAAGCTCGTTCCCGCCCGTTCCAATGGCGTAGAAGAGGGGTGGGGGGAATGGGAATGGTCATTGCGGACCCTTGCTAATCAAAGGCCCCCAGGGGATCTGCCCCTCTCAATGGTGGTGTGTGTGGTCCATTTATTGGGAGATCTCATGGAAATCCTCCTTGTGCTCATCCAGGTGCTCCCCCCAGTGGACGGGGCCTAGCTTGAGCACTCGGGAGCCGCTGCTCACGCTCGAGATGCGGCGGCGAGGCTCGGGCTGGGCGCCATCAGTGCTGCTGACAGAGCCACGGCTCACGGGCATCTGGGGCCACGAGGATGAGGTGTCGGGAGCAAGAGAAAGGAAGGTAGAAGAGCGGCGCCTGGGAGGCTCTGGCTCAGCAGTAAGGACGAGGAAGTTGTTGGTCCTGGGAGGAGTAGCCATTGCGTGAGAGTTGTAGTTTTTCTTGGGGAGCTGTGGCACAAGAAGTGGGCGTAGATTTTAAAGTCTTTGCTTGCTCTGGAGGAATTGCTCAAGGCTTCTGTCTATAGTTTGTTGATGAAGAGAATAAGGAACCAAGCTTCGATATGAAAGCCGGAGGGACGGCTTTTATAGCTGGTCAGCTGCTCACAAACTTGAGACAGCATTTTCACAAACATAGTGCATATGGACATGGACACACCCACCCGCCAATGCTCGCCAATAGTCTGACGCAATGTCGCAACCCACTGGTTCCAATGCTGGTACCTACCCAACCCTACCGGAACGTGTGGTGATTGATCTGAGGGTGTATGGCCAGGGGTGTGCACAGCACATGCTCTGTGCAATTGGCCCCCGGCTGCTATTCACGGCTCAGCGCGATGGCCAGCGGGGGGCACCGATGGGGGGACAAGCCATGGCCATAACAGAGCGGCTTGGTGCGGCAACTGGAAAGTACCTCTGTACCCCTGTGCCTCTGTATCTCCGGTCTACCGGCTAGGCTCTACATGTCTACATGTAGGCCTAGCCCGCTTCCTCTTTGACACCCGTGTCCTCAACCACGCCGAGACGACCCTCCCAGCGCCAAATCCTCGGGATTACCCCCTTCGTCCCTCCTCAGGCCGCTCGTGTCAGAGAAAGGAAAGTAATCACGGTGGCAGAGCGGCCCCTTGGGTAGGGTAGCCCCAGCGCAATGCCGGCGCCGCCCTGAGATCCACTGCACTTTCTCGGTCTTTGTAATCTATCACCCACCAGATCTGACTGCCAAGCCCGGGGTATTCCAGGGGCCTCGGGAGCTAATTTGGCCTGATTTTTCTCCTCAACGGGAAGGGATTTCTCGGAACAAGGCGGGAACCGTTGACCCTTGTCTGCCTTTGCTTCCCCTCCAAAGCGAAGAGTGCGCCTGAGGCGTGTTCCATTCGTTCAAACTCATGAGCGGGAGTGTCAGCCTTGTCCAGCCTTTGTCCGTGAAGAGTCATTTTGATACCATTGCATACCTACCCGCCAGGCTCATTTCAGCTTGGCCCACGCAACCTTACTTACAGCCACAGTCCCTCAAATCTCTCAACCAGAAATATGTCCAGCTGGAATGAGGGGTTGTCGTTGGGCCCTCCGGACAGGTTCTCTCTCTGCCTGAGCCTCGAGTCAGCGGACAGAGAACTGTAGCAGAATGTCAACTCGCTGCCGATACCAACGCCTTGGATCTCTGTTGTTTGTCTGAGACCAAGAATGCGATCTGGTGTGTCCCATTCGCGAGCCGTCTCCCTGGGCGGCCTAATTACCTCTTCGGCGCCATACTGATGGAGTGGCTGTAGAGTTCGTATATTCGCTATGCCTATGTGTTCGAACTACTAGGTCGACACGGAGTAGATGCTAGAGACGTTTTAGCACCTTTGGCATTGATGTAGTCTTCGAGGCACTTACCAAACATCCAGACTTCCGGAGTTCGTTTCTGTTACTTTCCCGCACCAGGCACACGCAGTTCGTGCCTGAATGCGGACTCGCTATGCTGCGGCTCCGTGGACGCCATCGCCATCGCCAGCTATGATGGAATGAAAGGGGAGTAGACGTGGAAAGGCAGTCTGGGGAGAAGTGGCCATCAAGGGGATTGTCTCCCGTTAGTCAGACTATAAGACCATTTCTCTTTGAGCACATGTCTCCTCCACCCTCCCACCTTGCTAGCTTATTCCAAGCACTACGTGGCAAGCTGGGGCTCTAGTCCGAGCCATCTTGATGCTAGACACATCGACGGCCTCCCGGATATGGTTCCCGCAGACGTTGGTCCGAAGCCTTGCATTCTGGTCAGCTGCAGCCTTGATCCATGTTCCATGCCGTCAGTCCCATTTTGAAAGATGAAATTGAGCACCAGCTGTTCATGACGAAGGGGCTACAGCTCGCCAGGGGTGGAAACCCCATCAGCCTGCATTAACTTCACGGGGCGGCCTGATTTCGCTTGACGAAGGTCACAATATTGGTGATGAAGGAGGTCGGGTTGCAGGTACTATGCGAGGCACGCCTAGTCGGAGGGACTTGGGCGTCTCAATTTACGAGCTCATGCTCCATCCTCAACCCTTAGGTTTCCCGCTGTGGCGCGAGGACCCATCTGATGAAGTTCTCGTTGGGCTTCGTTGGCCGCGGCTACCCCTGCTGACCTTAGTTGGCTGTTGCTCTCAGCCGCAGGCCAGAGCAAACATGCTCTGTTTAGGCGCCAATAGACGAAAAATGTCCACGAATAGAGCGTTGCCAATTGGATCTCGAGGCTCGCCCAACTCGAAGTTGTGGATGGTAGTTGACGTATGTGACTGGGGCGGCGCTAACATCAGGCTCTCATTGGCCCACCAAGCCCACCACCTTCACACGGCGTCAACGTCTGCGCGTCTATTAACGCTTGTTGAAGGCCAACAGCTGTTTCAATTTTAGCCCTAAACGAGAATTCATCGACGCGGAAAACGGACCTAGCGTCTGTCAAGGGTTTGACCGCTCTTAGTGCTACCATGCAATTACACAGGGTCAGCTACTGATGCACTGCATCAGCACCACAATGTCTAATCCACGATGACCCTCGTCGGATGACCCTGTTCATCATCTTAGAAGTATGGCGGGAGGATGTGATACCAACTTACATCGTGAGGGACTTTCGAGTCTGAGCTTGCATGCATCAAGTTCTCAAAGTGGTCGATCCATCAGAACGTCCTCAGAGCGGCCCTGGCTCCCATGTAACTCGGGATTGGCTCACCAACCTTGTCATACACCAATCTCAAAGACTTGAAAAGGAGGAAACACTATCATTGGTATCAAGAGAATCATATCCAATAATGAGTAAGTAACTGACATACGGCAGAGTTGTTCAATTCTGCCAGATGGCTGAGCCAAACAGGTATAGGCTCAAGGCTAGATGATCGACATGGCCGGAGAAAGCTGTAAGCACACTGTTGGTCTCGGCTGGCATTGCCCATTAAGTTTCAGACAAACGGATATTGGAGCAAGGATCAACTGAAGACGTTCCAGCTGCTTCCTCTTCGAGACACCTGCACATCCTCATGACCTTTTGGGAGCCAAAATTTCATCTAGCTGGCTCGTCTGTATCTCGACCTAAGGCTTGCATCCCTCCATGAACCAAGCCCGGACGTCTCCGCTTGCTAATGCAATTGTAGGGGGGTGTGGCAAGTCACTTGACAATCGCGAGATGTGCCGGAGGGGGCGGGTTGGAAGGGTGGAGGATCTTGGCAAGGCGTTCTCCCCATGTAAGGCCAGACACGAGCTTCGTGCCAGCCAGTGAGAGAGGCCAATCGCCAAATGCATCAGGGTTTGCTGGAGTTGACGTCAAATCTGGCAAGGATTAAGAGACAGGCTTTGGAGGAAGGGAAGTCCCGCTGTCTAATGCAAGTCCCAGGTGTGATACCGAAGATGGCAAGTAATGATGGCCAGGTCGCATGAGAGGCCGCATGAAAGTAGAAACCGGGTCGATCAGGTGTGCGCCGAAGGCCAATGCGCAGGCGTTTATCCCCCCCTTGTCGCTAGACTCGCTAGACGAGCCAATTTCTCGTTTAGACTGCAGCAACATCAACCGCAGCCGCGATGACAGACGCAGGTATGAAGTGGTGCCCTATCGCCGCAGCTGCAGAGCCAGCTGCAACTCGAAGTTTCTCCACCTACAATACGCCAAGGATATGTCATTGTTAGATGCGTAAATTGTTGTAGCAGCTGCATATCGGATGTGACCAAATCCTAGCAGTGTGCATTTGCAGGTGGGCTCGAAATTGGTCGGTCATGAATCTCGCGGGTCGGTGTGAGTATCATGAGCGGCCGAATCGGTCAGCAACCCTGGTCGCCCAGTTCGTTTGAAGTTCAAGGACAGACACACAAGGCTTACAGGGTCATCATTCAGCCTGAGTGGCCAGGTTCAGACCAACTCCCATGAACGATGTGGGTATTCGCGCATATCGGCGTCTAGAGTATGGGGCTGGCATGAACCAGAATGGAGCAAGGGCAAGGTGAGTGGCCGGTGCGACGAGGAATTAGAAGAGCAGAATCGTATAGCCGCGCGGAAGACAGGGTAATGGTAACCTTGGGTCGCGACATAAATTTAGCACTAACAGGCGCATCGGACAACGTCCAAAGTCGCTGTTGGTGGACGGCGCCAAAACCCCCAACCCAAGCGTTTGCGGAAGGCGTTTGCGGACAGCCTCGTCGGCCGAGAGCTGAAGGTTTCTAGAAGAGCGCCTCATTTGCTGGCAGCTTTCCCGCGCATTGCTGGCATTCAATGCAGCCCATAGCTTTTGGCCCCCCTCGGCCCCCCTCATCTTCCCTCGCAGGCCCGATACCGACAACGCAGCCAACAGATGAGCTGTCTTCGCCTTGCGGCCGGTACCCTCATATTGCCGAAACTAGCGCCCCCAGCCTGAGAACTTGTTGGTAGATGAGGCAATTGACACACGATTAGGAGCTTGGCGGGAGTTACCACGGTCCTCACATGGGTAGATCGGGGAGGGAAAAAACGCAAGTCCCTAGGTTGGGCTGATAGAAGGATATCCATGGAATTCACAACATATTTTCGTTGGAGGTTGGAAAAGCGAGGTAGGTAGATCCCCGCCTGGTTAGTTCAAGGTAAGTCCTGCCCAGAAACAGACTTGATTATGATGGCCATGTGGGAAGGTGCACATGAGGCAGGGCGGGCTCCTTCCTCATGCTTCTCCGAACCCCCTTCCCACTCTGTCTGTGGATGCCGAGCTAGAGCTATGGGAAGGCTCGACACATCCATTGCATAAGTACCTGCCTGCCTGCTTCACGAGGCTGGTTGATAGCCTCCCCGCGCAGCTAGTCTAAATAGGGGTTGGCTAGCACATGAGGTGGCATAGGATGGGATGATGGACTGGTCCATGGCTGGAAGGGCAGGAGCATGCGTGTGTGCGATTTCCCTTCGTCATCATCCATTGTAATCGGCCCATTGCTGGAGACCGCCGATGCTCTACGCCGGCGGAGCACGAACTTAGCTAGAAAGAAACATCCACCTAGATCTTGGTCGATGGTCCGTGTCCTTCTGACCTCATGTCAATAGGGCCCGGCAAAGTAAGGGGTTTGCTTACCCAGTGCAAGCCTAGAAACTTAGGGTCCGGTGTTTTGCTGTCGAGCAAGGAAGGGCCAAGTAGGGGGAACCTTGTAAGTATGGATGTCTGCACCCGTACGGCAATCAATCTCCTTCTTCCCTACGATGAGTTGTACCGGCGGGCACATACACCACCTACACGACATGCACACCACCCTGAGCGTTGCTTTCACTTCGCCCTACCTTGTCATCCTCTATAGACAGATCAGTTGCGGACAGGCACTTCCCCCCTGCCGTTGTGAAAGAGTTTGAGGCCTCGATGACGGGCTCCAATAACCAGTCCGAGTCGACTGATTACTATAAGCCCGGCCCCCATCTTAGACGGAAATTCCGATGTGCAAAAGGCTGCGGCAAAGGATGAGGATCCGTTAGCTCCTCTTCCTAACACTATCAAGTTAATAGAGTGTGTCAACATCGGTGCTAGCATGGATGCCACGTCTTGGTTTAGTGCGGGCCGCTTCAAGATGACAATGGAACCTTAAAACGGTCTGAACAAGTAATTTATCCGCACTGGTTATCATTCTCTCTGGGGTCGTTCGTGTCAAGACATGGCATGGTGCCCAGCTCCGCCAGCTCCGCCAGGGCAGGTCTGTGACAGGGCTGGACATGTACTAGACGTGTATCATGCGAGGAAATCACACGTCGAAAACAGCCTCCCACCATTCTCGTAGCCCCATCCAGATCTGGGTAGGCTACAAGAAGATTTGTCCCACATACGGCGAAAGTAGAAGAACCGTGAAGATGAGAAAAGAAGGCCCCGAAAAGCCAGTTCGCTCCACGAAGGAGACAACAAAACAAAGCATTCATCAGCAGGCCCCAACTAAGACCACTTACAACCTAGTGTGTGAGGCGATCTGGATCCTAGTTAACTAGCGTATCGGACGCACATCTGCTACGTCCGATGATCAAATGAGGGTGAGGAGCTCCAGGCCCTCGTCTACCTTGCCCGTACAGGGGGCGCCATAATATGAGTTGGTCCCATTGCCTGGTTCTCGTTCTGCATGCAGCCACCTCTAACCCTTCTAGGATGAAGGGGAGGGATGAGGGATGTCAGGACTTTGCTGCGCATCATGTGTGACAATGTTTGGCTGGCTCCACCTCAAGAATCGCTGGCCAAGGGTCGAGAAGAGTGCAGCATCTAGTCCAAGAGGAGCGGAAACTGTAGGCCAGGACTGTAGGTAGAGGTACAAACTGGTCAAGAAAAGCCAAATGGTCAAAGAAAAGAGGACGATGCGACCACATGGCTTGGTAGGTAAGGTAGACATTGCTTTGATCACCCCTCCATTGTGCCACCCACACTACCTGCCAAGGGATATCTGGAGGCTAATTGTGACGTGGGGAGACAGAAGGGTTGATTCTGCTCGGCGCAAGACTTGCTCGCCAATAAGTCGTCAAGTTCCTTGCTAATCCAACGGGCGGGAGTAGGGCCAACAGA